TGGAAAACAGGGCTTCCCGTCCGCTCAGCCGTACTTAAGCCAGTATTATCAACGCGACTAGAAGTTATATGCGCCCCTGAAGGCCTGCTGCTTAACGGGCGAGAGACACTAAACCGCAGGGTGAGTGCGGGTGAGTGAGGATGAGTAAAGGTAAGCTGAGCAAGGCTATCCAGCGGCATAGGTAAGCATGGGTGATCAGTGGGTGAGTAATCCTGTGGTGACTGGACTCCCTGTAAATTCTAGGTATATATACTAGAAGCCATATCCCTCTAGGAAGGACATGATTATCCTAACATGGGACCCATTAATATTCGTATTGGCAGATCTACATAATATTTAAGGCTATTCTTGCTGTTAGCCTGTAGCTACACATTTAAGAATCAAGATTATGCATAGGTACATACGGTAACTGTTTCTATGCGCAGTGATGTAAAGGCCAGTATATAATTTACTATGGTGGAAATGGATAACATGTTAATGGTTAAACTTGCAGGTAGTAGTAAGAATTGTATAGGGTGAATTTATCACAGGGTGTGATTGATTATGCCTCTGGCATTCTACATTATGTTTATGCTTACGATGGTACGATTGTGAGAAGTAGGAGAATGATTGATACCCAAGACTGAATGCTATTTATGCTTGATAAAAGTTACCCCACGTTGTGTGTGCATCTGGCTCTGTCTGTCCTGGCTCAGAGCTTCCATCCCACATTGTCTGCGTACATGGCTCTGTCTGTCCTGGCTGAGAATTGCCATCCCACATTGTCTGTGTACCTGGCTCTGTCTGTCCTGGCTGAGAATTGCCATCCCACATTGTCTGTGTACCTGGCTCTGTCTGTCCTGGCTGAGAATTGCCATCCCACATTGTCTGTGTACCTGGCTCTGTCTGTCCTGGCTGAGAATTGCCATCCCACATTGTCTGTGTACCTGGCGCTGTCTGTCCTGGTTGAGAATTGCCATCCCACATTGTCTGCCCCCCTGTCTGCCCCTGGCAGTTGAGGTATACGGCTAGTTGATGTTAGCTAAAGGCAGTCAAAACGCAAAAGGAGGAGGTACCATTAGCAAAAAGTGCATATGAATCCGCATTGTTTAGCGCATTGTTAGCACTCAACGCCGTAGCAGCGCTGTATCCATAGCCCAGATCCTCCGTGCCAGGCGGGTACACACCAGGGGCATGGGTGAACTCATGGATGATGGTGGTGGCCTGGTCCTGGCCGTGGCAGTCATTTGTCACCTCTTGGAGGGTGTAGAAGAGCTCGCAGTTGACGACCTCGTTGGTCGAGGGGAGGGTGTAGGCGAGGACGTTGGAGTCGCAGTAGCCGTAGGGGTCGGAGCAGTAGTAGGTGGTTGAGCCACCCCCGTTCAATGAGGCCTCGCTGGCGACGGCTTTGAGGCGCGCGGCGACGGCGCTGCGGATGTTGCCGGAGGTTGACTTAAAGTATTCAGCGAAGAGCGCGGAGGAGCCCGAGGAGGCGGCATTGGCGGCTTTACCGGCGATTGAGGCGGCGTTACGGAGGGCTGTGTTAAGGACTGCAGCGCGGTCGCCAGTGCAGGACGAGGTGATCTTTGTGCGGCGATCGAGGGGCTTGATACTCGCGGGCACGGCGACAGCCTTCACAGCATCGACCTCGAGTTCGAGCTCGTTCGAGGAATAAGGGATGTAGCCAGCGATCTTATTATTCATAGCGATGGGGACGAAGCCCTGGGTTCGGACTGTGACGGGACCGCCTTGGGTGAGATTGGCGGTGCTGGCGATGTCAAACTCATCCTCGTAGGTGGCGCCGGGTGCGAGGGTGGTCAGGGCCTCGTTGGAGAGGCCATCGCTGCGGAGCCGCTGCTTGATCCCGGTGAACTCAACCTCGGTGGCTTGAACTCAGGTTAGCGATGTTTCCTCGGCGACAGGGAGATTTTACGGGAAGGGAGAGAGATACCATTGCGGTAGAGGGAAACCTTCTTAACAGGGCTAGGATCGTTGAAGAAGTTGAGGTGAACAAAGGTGATTTTCTCACTGCCGCTGTTCTTGACCACGGCCTTGATCCGGGTGTTGTTGACCTGGCTTAGGGTGATATCAAGAGCTGGGGCTCTGGCAGGAAGAGCCAGAGCGCCATGGACAACGGCCAGAATGGCAGAAGCGAGAGCAGTGATTTTCATGATGCTCTTGCGCTTGCTCTTGTGATGCTGATGCTGATGCTGATGCTGATACTGTCAGACACGCTGGGTCACCCTCATATTTATAGACATCCACGAACAAAACCTGGCCATTGAACACGGAGAACGACCAAACAGGAGGTTACATCGTGTCCCGTTTGCAAGGCTTGACTCGAGAGGTAAGACCTCGGTTGTTTGAAGACATCTCCATAGCGTTTTACCCACCAACATAATCACTCCACAAGGCTTATTGAAGCATCGCTACTAGCCAGATGAATGCCGAAGGGGAAGGCTTGGGTTGGGCCCGCCGGCCGTTGTATTCAAGTAGTTCAGTGCGAGAGTCCAGTCAATTCCTACCATCGTCCCCACCAGCCAAGATACCCGTATATTACTGAGGATATGTTGACCTTGTCTGCAGACATATGTTGGAGTTGGAAACGCCAAGAGGGTTGTATATGATGAAGAGGTCGACCTGCGGCGTCCGGATGCCTGATGGAGGAATCTGCGTCTAGTCCGGTCTGCAGGGTTATTTTGCTTATTATTCAGGTCGTATTGCTATGGTGTAGACATAAATCACCTACGACGAGGTTCGTTAATCCTGCGCGGGGTCTATCGGCCGCCCCGTATCTAGTTTCAGACCCTGAATTTAGTGAAACCGAGTGGAGTCGTTTACCAAAGAGTTGTAAGAGAAGTGATACAAGTACTCCGCAGTGAGTCAACAAAAAGAACGACTCATCGAGTAAATCGCCGATCATCACTCCTTATCAATCTCCTCAATATACGGCTGATACTTGAAGACCTGAAGAGAATGCAACCCAAGACTTCCTGTCTCACCGTCCCATTCTTTTATAATAGCTCGGCAATTTACACCGTGGGTCTAATTGGCGGTTCTGATATCCCTCATGCAAAACTTGCTGTTTCATTATTCATAAGGAAACAGGTATGTGGAGAATCAACATGGCTTCTTGACCAAGACCATCATCACCTCACTGAATTCACCAGCATGGCACAGTGCGCTGTTATTTAGGCACGTACTACAAATCCAGATTATGACAATTGGCTAGAGGCACGGTGACTGATTTGCTTCCCTCTTCTATCGTTTTTAGCCCGATATGAATGATAACTGTTAGTTACTACCTTCCAGGCAGAGCGGATCCAGGGCTCTACTATTCAGATATGTCCGATATAATCCACTGGTATATGAGTATCTTCACTCTGGGGTGAATAAGTGTACGTAAGGGCCTGAAAACTCCCCTGATTCTAGCGGAACCTACCTTATCTGCAGTGAATGATACTCTTAGGCTTGGCTTGAATAAGTAGTGAGTGGATAATTCCGTGAGAGGGGAAGTACTGTGTGGATAGGGCTGACGCTCAGGTCTAGAATTCACTGCATTGACCGTGGCCATAGTTATGGTTCGGATTCAAATGGAGCATGTAGAGTGCTGTTGGGCCAGTATGTTATATATGGTATATGCACTGAACCTTGTATCTCTTTATAGCAGACACACCGAGTGACTACAGATGGTCTAGAAGATAGCGTTTGGAAAAGATCGGAATCCGGAAGAGGAGAGAGGCCTAGTGATAGTACGACCTGTGATAGTAACTTCCCACCATACCATAGAAACGCCGACGATACCTCGTCTCTTCAAGGAAACTTAACCTTCAAATCCTCCTGTACCACTGAGTCACTGCTACAGCAAGCCTCAGTATCACTCGACGGGATTCCTAGGAAGATGCAAGACCTGTATGGACCTCTCTCCTCGTTCTTGCCCGGCTCTCCACTGATTTGGTCATTGGCAAATCTGTCTGCAGGGAGGAATTTGAAGCAACCGAAACAGTAAAAAGTGTTTGGCGTATCTAGAGGTAAATGAGCCCAAGAATCAGTATCTTATGTCTCTCACTTTCGCTGAGCATTGTTGCTTGAGAGCCACATTCTATCTGGCCACAATTCCAGGTCAGGTAGGACGAGTTCCCGGCAACAAAAGCTTTTTCGGGTTTTCAACGCTGGGGGTGGAACGAAGGTCCTTATTTGCGTTCTTGAAGGCCACTCGGAGGCAAGGTCGAGGCAAGGTGCAGCTCCGGGCGGTAGATCAAGAAAGGTAAGGGATTGCGAGGATGCCATGATAGCAGTAGCTTCGATGTTCAGGTAGATTCTGAAGAAACGGGTCTGAGAAAAGTGTCTCACACCTTAGCATCTGGACGGACGGCTGGCATGGTAAGAGTTAAGAAGACAGAGAGGTTGTCCAAAAGTACTAATTTCTAGGACAACGTGCTTCACATTGATGGCCACTTATAGATTGAAGAGCCCTCCTGGGCGAGCACACTGCACAGTGAATGAGCTCCCCTGATTGATACAGTAATGATATCTTGTCTTTACTTTTTGGATCTCCTCTGAAATGGGTGGGCTATAAGTGGGGCGAGTCATAGTTGCTGCTCCTGCGTGAGATAATCTCTCAACATCCTAATCTAGCACATACGACCACAGGGTGTGGAAAACAGGGCTTCCCGTCCGCTCAGCCGTACTTAAGCCAGTATTATCAACGCGGCCAGAAGTTATATGCGCCCTTGAAGGCCTGCTGCTTTACGGGTGAGAGACGCTAAACCACAGGGTGAGTGCGGGTGAGTGAAGGTGAGCTGAGCGATGCTATCCAACAGCATGGGTGAGCGTGGGTGATCAGTGGGTGACAGAGTGATTCTGTGGTGACTGGACTCCCTGTAGCCCATTATTAGTACCTCCATGGCCAGCTTAAATATGAGGGCCCCCTCTCTGCTCAACCATTGTCTCCTTTCCTATCTACAAGCGGTTTTTTGTGATTTATTTTCTTTCAGTTTTTCCTTCTATCCTTCCACAGCATGTCACGTGACATATTTTCAAATGATTTTGATCTGAGGAGAAAAGTGGAGGAGCTCCGCAAGTTTGCTGACTTGCGAGGATTCACAATAGAGTACCAGGAAGAACAAAAAAGCAAACCAAACGAAATCAGCCATAAGAAAAGGGCTCCGGCTACCGATGACAGATATGGCCGTTCAGTGGAGTTTTGGAAATTGTACGAATAAACACTCATTTATTACCTCAACTTTGTGCCTAGTTGCTGACGGCATATAGATGGATGCTTTCTCAAAATGAACCAGGTGATCGATATTTCACGAAGGAGGAACCTGATCCCCCCGTTCAAATCTTGAAGCTGTTTTCGGAGGCGTTTATTACTTTGCGCAAAGGAGACTTGCCCACTCAGTATACTGTCTGTCTTAACCTCTCTTGCTTTATCGCTGAATGGCAGAAAAAGACCTGCAGAAAGCTGCCAGATACAGTGAAGGATGATCTTTACAATGTGAGTTACCCTAGGCGAGTATGCTACGCCTATACTGCTAATTCCTTACATAGAATGTCCGGAACGAACTTACTCCGAAGTATGGACTTGCTACCAAACATCGAGAGAAGTTCCCGGTGACTAGAAGGGATCTCGATCTACTTCTTCGACATTTATTTGAAGACGATGACCATGATTACATACATGAGCGTGCCAGATTTCAAGATGCATTCTCGCTCTCTTTGTTCTCCGGTTCTGGTGCGAGAGCGGGTGCGATTGTTGAATCAAGTTCTTACAGAGGTACCAACGAGTGTCTCTACTATAAAGTTTGTCCCATCGCTCTACTTATCTGATAGTCCCATGCTAATTACTATATAGCATCTTTCCTTCAATCTACAATGGGATTCAAAAAATATGGAAGTCAAGTACTGGGTCACCATAGATCCAGAGTTCCTCAAAGGCCATCGCTACGATGATGAGGCTGTCATGTAAGATTTGTCTTCTCTATCCTTAACGCTACACAGCTGATTGCGGCGATATAGTCCCAGAAACTGGATACCAGAGCAAGATATACTTGGAAGAAATTTCGTATTCTATGTTATGGCTGCAGGTATCGCAGACAAGGCATTCAGGGGCATCCACACAGCCGACGAGTTATTGGATAAAAGACCACCGAAAGGGAGAGAGTCATGGACCCTTGAATGGGAAGCGCACGTACAAAACCTACCAGTGCTTCGCATGGTGACTGCTGATGGACCACACCCCACCCGTGCGTTGACATTTTCATCAATACGGCACCATTTTACGTCGCTTGCCCAACGGGCCTGTTTCCGAGACCGGTTGAGAATCCACGGGATTAGAGGGGGCGTTGCAAATGCAATTGACCGTGAGTCATTTCCTCTATTATACCAACTTGCAGCAAACACTAACAGGCTCGTAGCAAAGGCGTCTCAAGCGGCGAGAAGCCAAGCACTGGATCACCAGAACCCAGACACCTTCCTCAAGTATCAATCCAAATTTAAGCGTGTTGACGTCCAGGCCAGCTTCTGGAACCTAAAGCCAGACTATGAATGTCTGGAAATGGAAGAAAGTATGGCTCATCATCGCGACACTAATGTTCCGCAACGTCTTGACGCTGCTGCCACTGCGCAGGTTGAGAATGATGATGAAATGAAAGAGATCTACCACAGGATCGATGAGATTACTCAACAAATCGGAGGAAAGCCTGCTGAGCACGAAGAATTAGCACTTGAGAGGGAAAAGCTCTACACAAAAGCAGCTAAGAAGCGCCGAGCCAAGAAGGTGGAGTTCATTGACAACTGGTGGAGATCTTCTTATGATGAATATATTGCAGGGAATGAGTTTGGTGAGCACGATCCAACGTGCTTCTTTACCATCTGCCGCAAGTATATGCCTGAGAGAGCTCGTTTACGCGACAACCTCTTCACCAAAGCCTCGATTGGTAGTGAGATTGGAAGACAATGTCTACAGGATATGGTGAATATCTGCATCTCCGACGAGAGAGTGGCATATTATCCTTGTGAATTGCCAATTGAGGGGAGATGTCCAGTATGCTCCAGAGAAATGTCTAGGTTCGTTCAGACACCCTATCTCTGTTTCTGTAGCTAATTTTCGACAGTATTGATTTATCAAACCGGTCGAAGCACATTCTACAGTGCAGAAGGAAGTCCTTGAATGCCGCACCGTACCAGCAGCTCTATACGAACGGCAAGAGAGCTCATCGACGAGCGAAGAGATCTTTTCTTGAATGGTGCTACTTATGCGCCAAATGGTTCGATACAGAGGATGCTTGGACTGAGCACTGCCGATTCCATTTGGACCATCTACAACCTCGGTGTGGACTATTGAGATTCCGCTTTACATTGGTTGCGCCTGGATTCTGTCCTTTCTGCTTGGGTGACCACACTAAATCCCCCGTGGAACGATTCAAACAATGGCGGGAGAAGTCCACCCTCATCAACCACATTGATAATAAACATTTGGCTGGCAAAGGAAAGGATGAGGTTATTCAATGCCCTCATCCCTGCTGTGAGAGCAAATCATACAATGGTATCCTGCTGTTACAACGACATTTTTTTGACGCCCATTCTATTGAAGAACCTCGTCGAAACTGTGTATCTCGGAAGAGGAAGTGGGTTTGCGGTCTTGACGATTCCGAGATGCCAACTAAGAGACCGGCATTGAATGGAATCAGCGAAGAGCCTGTCGAGTCAAAGAGTCCCCCCTTATCTTAGCCTGTCACGGTGGGCATGAGAGCGCGATTAGCAGTCACACTTAAACACATATTACCTCTTGTGGCCAATAGAGCCCTGACTACATTGTTCCAAGAGCAAACTCATCCAAGTAGCTATAACTCTACTTGATTACTGCGGTGACGTACAAATGTAGTTTGCTAAAGCGTATTACATATCAAGTGGCTAGGACGTCCGACATAAATGAACCATGTTTGGAGGCCAGGATTGATCCATGACCGATGGCAGGTAAAGTTGGGTGTATTCTGACAATCTGTGCTCTTATTAAGAGCAAAATAGCTTCGTTGGAAATTGTCACACGATGAACTGTCGAAATAGCTGATCCTTGTCAGAGAACTAGGTTTCGAATTCGCGTGTTATAGTACAGAAATATCCAACTGCCCCTGACCTTGCAGTGATCGGAAGAGCTTAAAGCTGCGGGATACGTATGCATTGGAGATATTTCGCGCAAAGCTGATGTTATCGAAGGTGGTGAAGCCTATTTCCCCTTGGCAGTTGCTTTTGGTCCAAGCTCTAAGTCCTAGTGGGCCATAATAATCCTGAAAATGTGTAAGTGCAAAGCACAGAGCTGGACAGCCACATGACTTACTGGATAAGAGTCTCTTCGTTGATCTCGAGAAGCCATCGCCGGAACGCAAGCTACAACAGTTGCGAACTTGCGATCAATGTCGGTAGCTTCATCTTCGGTTCTAGAAAAGCAAACTGACAACTGTTGAGTACACTTTTTCTTTATGGCAGTGCACAATGCAAGTACTTACATGTGGTGATACAGAGGGAGAACCCGGATTAATGGACCTTTGTGCACGCTGCTTCTGGCGCGGCCACATGCTAGTTGGTAGCTACTGGTAGCTATTGGTCCAGGAAGGCGGGCCCTTATATTTAGCACCGACCCTACCATAAGGATAACTTTCCATGAGTGCTAGATAGCATGGCGTTGTCTGAATCGCTGCTACGTCCGCTGTCCACAATCGGCGCGGCAGTACTTAGTAAAACAGAGGTATATAAAGGACATCCGTCGTTTGATTGCACCAGTTGTTTGCCAATTCGCAATGCTACGAAATACTTTGAAGCTACTCCCCTTAGCATTATCCGCGGCTGCCTTGATATGTTTGGCCGTGGTCTTTGAGGGATGTAGATCTACTTCATCACCCCGAGATCTATTTTTCCTAGAGGTAAGGAGTTGCCCAATGCATAAAGCTAATTACTGACGGATTGAAACCTTCAGATAGATTGGACAAGCTTGTTGCATCAGAGAATCGTCCGGTCCTTCAGTCTGTCCGACCAAGCATCCAATCTCTCAGACTCCGCCCACGACGCATTAACCCACGCCAGCAGCAGTCTATCAGACCTGCGGAGCAATATCTGGTCAACCCTACCTGACTATTATGCAGTGGGACTCTGGGGATATTGTAGCGGCGAGAAGGGTGCATCTAAGTATTCAAGTTGCTCCACGCCCACGTTGTCATTCTCATTTGACTTGGTGGCAATATTGGAGTCTAACGCACCAGGTGCGGTTTCGCTACTGCCGGAGGCGAGCAAGGCTGTGCTTCCTGGACTCTCGAAATCTTCCAGATTGGCCGTCGCAGCATATATCATTGGAATGGCCGCAACCACCCTGACTGTCGTGGCGGAGCTCTTTACAATCATGTTCAAGTGGGGGACAGTTCCGACGCTCATATGCTCCCTTGTAAGCTAATTACCTAGGCGATGAAAAGGCAGAAGACTAACCTGCTGGCGGGTTGCCTCGATATCCACTGTCACTGCATCAATTACTGTGACGATCCTGTACAGCTTGATATCTGGAGGGATCCAAACCTTTCTAGGTGACATTGGGGTCCATTCTCACCTCGGGCCGCATATGCTGGCCGCAACGTGGCTAGGGAGCGCTTTTTCTTTGGGGGCTTCTCTTCTTTCTGTATTGGGCGCCTGCTGCCTGTGCTTTTGACAGGCGATATTGTGCATGCGAACTACCTGTGTCTTCCGATTCTTGGATTATGTAGGGGCAGGATACTGTAGTACCGAAGAGAGGAAGAGATGGTGATCACATGAACTTGATCACCTAGTCCTCTAGGGAAGGTCTTTGGTCTGGTAGGAGAGAGTTTTGATAGTATTAGCAACAGATCCCTCTAACCATGCTTATTATCTCTGCCTATCGGGGCCGTGATTTTCAACCTCCCAGCCAGTGATTTTAGGGTTATTCTTTGTAAGATCTGGATCATAGCGTCCGAGCGTGGCTCGATAGTATTACTCCCTTACTTTTTCCTGTACAGCCGTAGACTTATTGTTCGACATTACATGCCTGTAAACCTTCGAATGGTTATATCTTACTGTCGGAAAAAGAAATTCCTCACCCAGATTGAACGCAAATGACGGTTAGGTCCAACCTAGTGGTAATAGTTTTGAGACCAGGAGGCCAACCCGTAATGACATCACAACGAAGTGGACTTATGATGAAAGAGGCGCATTGTGCTAGTCTTTCTATGCTGTCGTAACTCACAAGGCCTATAGAATGAACATGATAGCTCAGGCATGGCCAATTTTGAGGACGAATAGCCATTTCCCACTCTAGGCATTTCTTAATTGAACAACACACTGGTCCAATTATTGTGCGCTTCAAAGCCATGGAATAAAGACCATGAATGAGCCAATACATAAGGTCGATCCTGCAGAATTCAAATGCCCGCCCTCTCGCGACCAGCGGCGCATTCCGCCGTTATCTAAGAGGTAACTCTGTCACAAACTGACACATTTATGGAACTAAGCTCGGATGCATTAGATGTATCATAAAACAGAAACACAGGTGAGATGGGAGGTGAGACTCACTGGATCTGCCACATGGATTATGATGGATCCTGTTCTGATAGACATGCTACTCTTAGCATTGCAGTTCCTGAGAGCTGGAGCCAGTAGTTCCAACATCTCATCAGTATGAACACATTGTGGCGTGGAAGCCTGTAAGCCACATCAGGGTATCATCCTGACAGTGAAATTAGTACCTACCATGTTTTGCAGGTAGATTGCAGTTCGTTGCAGTGTTGCTACGTTGCTGCATCCTTCTGGGTACATATGTTGGAAGCCGTGTCCCTCTAGGAAGGACATGATCGTCTTGAGGTGGGACCCGTTGATATTTGCATCTGCAGGTTTGCATAATATCTGAGGCTATTCTTGCTATCAGCCTGTGGCTGCACATTTAAGGTCGTGCATAGGTACATACTGTTTCTGTGCGCAGTGATGTTGTGAAGGCCAGTATATAATTTACTATGGTCGAAATGGACAACATGTTGATGGTTAAACTTGCAGGTATGGTTCAGAATCAAGGACCTCTAGGGTGTCCTAAGCCTCTGCTATACATCTATATATCATGTTTTTTCATTATAATATAAAATAGCCTTTGATTGCCCCGCAACGGATTCGAGACAGCCGTAAAGAGCCACGCCAGATTTGGCGCGACTTGTTGAGTGGGACTCGTCACGGTCCTTGTGTTGAACTTAAAAAAATCAGATACCACTACCGCAGATCCCTACCACTGCAGAACATACAGAAACAGAAGTAGTTTAAACTAAGATACATTCTAGTCCTAGGATGGGAAATATTGTCTATAGTATGTGGAGCATCGCAGTGACGCGGGAAGGACAAGCTCAGGATGGAAGCTGATATCCTACCTTTTGCTACCATATGTGCTATATACTCTTTCTTTGAAGACGAACATACTATGTTTCGTGCGAAATAGTCTTGATTTCCATCTTGAAAGAAGCCCAATGTCATACATAGACTATATAGCTTTGTGGAATAGTGGCGAGAGTGCACAGAAGAACGAGAGAACACACTCCCCTTTCATCAGAGTCGTGCCTGAACAATTGCAACTCTATGAAGAACCAAAAATGGCATATCGACATTGCTAGTTGAGTCCACATGATTGCATAGTCACTGATAGAATGGACCTTAAATACAGCGCTCATTATATCAAGGCGAGCTGAAATCGTAGGCGAGCAGGAAATCTTCGGGAATTGGGCTGTTGCCATTCAATACCTGGATAGTTGAATGCCCATTGTGGACCCCGGAAAGCTCTTTCGTCTCGCATGACGCTCTCTCCAATGGTTTGTGCAACGAGGGAAGCTCATCCTGTCCGTCATCCTCTCCCAAAACCGCCTTGATGCGAGCCACCACCTGGTCCATGTCTGTGCCTTGCATTGGGCCTTCATGGGCCAAGATGCTGCGTACGCTGCCGCTCAGAAGCTGGAAAACTTCAATAGCGTCTGGATACTGACTTGCTATCCCCTCCAAGAAAGCAATGAGATAACTATCACTCATACGAGTGTCATTTCTGTAGAGAGTTTAGTCTCCAGACGATGAAAGCAAGTAACCATACATACAAGTGCGATTCCAGTTGTTTGCTACCAACGAGAAGCACTCCAAAAGATAGCTTCGATGCTGCTAAGAGCCAACGTTTTGCACGTCGATTCTCCTTAAGGTATTGGCGCCGACGGTTGCACCGCACCTCACTCTTCACATCATCCCAATCTGCGTAGATACGTCTCATCGTGCTTTCGGTCACTGAAAAAATTCTGTTCTGAGCAGGAGCGTGTGTTTGTCCTGCGTTCTGTAATTTGGGAGAATTCTCCGAATGTATGGACTCAGTAAATCCCATGTAACGCATAAGCCTTATCAGACGGAACCGGACTCTCTGGGCCATCGCCAACAGCTCCAGATCGCAAACATCCGTTGAAGGGCACGGATCGTAGTCGACAACAGTGCCCACTGTCCCATAAAAGAGAAATCCGTGCTTTTGCCAAAAAGGTAAATATATTTGGAGAAATGCGGGAGAACAATGATGGATGAGTTCCGACTGATGAGGGATCAGGCTCTGAACCTGTCCTGGCGGCCGCAAGCAAGGTCGTTTCGCTCTCACAACCATCTCTAAGTGGTGGTTAACAAGCCCTTCCAGGTGACCTGCTGAGGGTTTCTGCATAATTAAAGTTCAATTGCTGTTGTCTTTGAACGTGTAGGCAAAGGAATATGGGATCGGAATCTCATCTTCCCCCACTAGAACAGGAGAGAGTTCGATCATTTATTACAGCACAGGGAATGTGCATTTTGCCCACACATCTTAATTCGGGTCGACATGATTGAAAGCTTTCCTAGTCCACAGAATTCTGCGTTTGTGAATGCCGCGCCGATTTTGGAGTGCGCCAGATTTCAAGATTGAAATAGCTGAGTAGAACTTCATCCAATCAGTGCTTTCGTGTTGCGAGAAGCAAAGGAAATTGGACAAGGCGAAAGATTCTGCATGGACACTCTCTTGCAGACAATTCGGTCATACATAATTCAGATCGGGGTACAGTTATCAGGGGCGATAATTTGACCGTTGGTGTAAAGCATTGCGAAAATGATCTTGTCTCAGGATCCCAGCTACATCCAATGGCTCCCAACTGAAATTCTGATTATCATAGTCAGAGAACTTTCATTAGTCGACTGTGTCGATTCTCTCTCACTCGTCAACCAAAGACTTCGCATGATTTGCAGCCCATATCTTTTCCAGAAGCTGAAAATCCCATTCTCCCTCGCTGGCCTAGAGCGCTTGCGTCACATCTCCTCGTCACACCTAGCAGCACATGTGAGGACTCTCCGCTACGAACCCACGGAGCTTATTGAGCCGCGTTAGTCGTCTGCAAGCTATTTTCATTCTCTAACTGACGTACCCAGTCGTTCAGCATCACGACTACTTCCGCAATTGTGTCTATACTCCTTCCGAGTACGCTCGTGATCGAAGAGATGCTTACTGGAACTCTTATGGCACCCGTATCTCCTACACGACGATACAAAACTACTTTAGTCGCCTAGCGGACGAGCAACAACGAATACTCGAAAGGGGAAGAGACTTAGTCACCTTTCAGACGTGTTTGCCACGTCTAGTCAACTTAAAATCTGTCCAACTACATTTCGTTGAAGGGATAAAGGAGCCGTTCCGTTGGTTTGCTGGCCGTGTTTTTGTGGACTGGAAGGATTCCTTTCCGGACCGTTTCAAGTCCGTCCTTCGCGCAATGATCCGAGCTAAGGACAACGGCGTCGCAATCCGTACCTTCCAAATCTCAGGATTCTATTCAAGGTTGTTGGTATCTAACTCTGAGCTTCCCAGTTTAGCTTCGGACGCTTTGAGCAGCGTTGAAGACCTGCAGCTTATCGACAGCCCGAGCATGCTGGAATTCATGTCCTACGTACATTTACCCTCTTTGCAGAGATTCGCTCTGGAAAGCTGTTGGCTCTGGATACCAGAACTTGAACAATTCATCTTCGCTCATGCAGGGACCCTTCGGGTTTTGCATTTACAGGACACATGGATTCAGTCCGAGACGATTCATGATTGGGGTATATCATTAAGCTTGGGGAACACCAAAACCATAGTCGAGGGGTTATCCAAGGTCCGCGCTGGAAAGGTCTTAAGCCAACTCACTATTAATCAGGAAGCAGTGAATCGGTACGAATATCAGGAGATCTTTGACAGTGTATTTACTAAATAGAAATTGGACCAAATGCTTGACGGTGGTGTTGGCCCCGACGAGCTCTCGGTTACTCAATCAAAGTACCCCACTGATTTCTTACGATCAGGTACAGCTCATTGAATAGCGTTACAGGCCGGTCCGTGAGTATGACAGTAGAGTATCCAGCGTCCGTTTTCATACTTTGAGATCTCCAGGTGGCTTTTGCCTTTCTCGTTGAGCCTTTTGGTAGGCGAGCCAATCTCAAGTAGCGGTGTTGCCGTGAAGGTTAATCTATTGGGAATAGTATCAATAGTTCCTAGTTTCGTCTTCATTTGTTGGCGTGGCAGACGTCCCAAAACCATGATAACGTGCAGTGTGCAAAGTGGGGCAATTCACTGTCCTATATTTGCTGTTCTTGTATGTACAATGTTGGTAGTAAACTGGCATAGTAATGATAACCAATCAACCCAAAGATACCATTAAACTTTGGACCAATACGTCCGCGCCCTTTAAGGCCATGGTTAGAGTATATCTGCACGCCATTTTTGAAGCGGCAAGGTCGCTCCCCGTAAAACTATTCTCCGTACTGCTATCTTGTTGACTATCTTTTGGAAGGAGAGACAACACAACGAGCAAGAAACAAGTGGATTCTCCAAGAACCTATTTTTTGCCTTGGCCACCTGAGGGAAGCGGCGCTTTCCTTTTCGTACTCCCATTTTCTAACTTTCGGTGACCACGGGGCGTCTTTAGTGGGCCATTAGACACCCTTCTCGTACTACGGCTATATAAAACGTTCTCAGCATCCCTAGACTAGTGAACGGAAAAGTTTCTCGTGCAATGCAGTCGATCGTGGTATATTACGCAGCTGCTATTGCAGCAATTGCTGCACTATTCATATTCAAACGAGTCTTTCACGCTGTCTCTAATCTCTTCTTTTTCCATATACGCCCCTGGTGCCTCGTAAATTTGGAGTATGCGCATGCAAGCTTACGGCTTTTTGGCATAAAGCTGGTGCTTCGATATCAACTCGTCTTTCCCTTCGCGTACTTTGCGGGCACCGCGGTCTGCAATACCGTGGGTGTGCACTCCATCTCCGAAGCAGGCGTGCGTGCCGCCCAAATCTCGATGATAACTCTTCTGTTGCTCTGCTGGACCGGAGATCACGAGATTGGGGCTTTTATTCTGGGCATAGAGCTTGCAACGTATCATTTTATCCACCGCATCGCTGCTTTTGTGGCAGTCATTGAAGCAGCCATCCATGTTGTCATTGCAGCTCAACAGACCCATTTCTCTGCTTCCGACTCTTCTCAATTTCACGGTCTACTTGTAGGCTCGACCCTCTCTAACCATTTTCGATTATGGACTAAGTCTCGCAGGCTGGCTGTATGTTTCTGTCACTGTTTTTCCTTCCCATGGTTAAGCGGCGTATATATGAACTTTTTTTAAGGACTCATCAAGGATGCGCCATCTTTGCGCTATATGCGATTTGGAAACATGTCTCATCTTCACAGAGCAAACGTTGGGTGCTCCTTCTGGCAATACTATCTGCCGTGACTGGTGCACTACAGTTCATCCGTATCATGTACCGCAACATCCCACATCGGAGATCCGTGAAATTCCTAACAGAGAATTGTGGAGCTGATGCACTCCGGCTGACTTTGTCTTTACCGCGCCCTTGGAGAATTCGCGCTGGACAACGCGTCTATGTCAGTATACCAAGAGTAGGGTTACTATACATGTTCCAGCCGCATCCATTCACGATTGCCTGGTGGGAGGACGACGGAAACGGCAGCATGTTTTCAATCACGTTAATTGTTCGAGCTCGATTCGGCTTTACTAAAAAGCTTCTTGATCGTATCGAATCTGGCTGCGAAGGCTGGGCCTGGATTGACGGACCCTATGGACCCTCGTCTGCCTCCACCTTTGGCTATTCTCCCGAGGTCGGAGATTATGGCCACATAATTATGGTGGCGACAGGTATGGGCATCGTTGCTCAGCTTCCCTATATCAAGGAACTTTTGGATGGGCAACGCCAAGGTCAGGTACGAACACGAAGAGTATCACTCGTTTGGCGACTCGAGCAGGAGGGCGACTATGAACTGGCTCGTGACCTGCTACAAGCTCTTGTTAAGCATGATGACAGTTATGTAAGTAGTTCCTATGGCCCCGACTTGACAGAGACTGTCTCCGTCCCTGCTCACGCGCATTCGACAACACTCCTGACCCTCAAGTTCCTGATTTTGCTTTAGAGCACCTCGAGGCTAACGATCAAGTCAGATGCTCAAAGTCACGGTTTATAACAAGATGGGATCTCCATCAGAGGCCCCAGGAGCAGTGGGTCATCATGATCTTATCGCTGTATATGGTGGGGACGTTAATTGGGAAGATGAACTGTCGGTTGAACTAGAAAAGCAAATTGGTACTCTCCTCGTCACAGGTATTGCTGCCCACGGCATTTGATCAATATTTTTGCTGTTAACTGACACAGTGCATCTATAAGTTTCTGCTCGGCATTCCGTCAGAGATATCATGAGGAGCATTGTGAATAGGTACGTGCAACGGAGGGTAGAGCTCTACGAACTAGAATTCCAGCCGTGGGAGAAGAGCCGTGATTGTTTATCTTTATTTTAGCTACATAGAGACCAGGAAAGGTTGACTGCGTATACATAGCATCCAGTCAATATATTTTAGCAGCGACTGTCTTCTCGTGTCTCTCAATTAGCTCAAGCTCAAGTAATATTGAACAATGGACTTGCATAAGAACCCACAGGACTAAGTTTAGACAATATAAACAAAACAAGAACGCGACCTAAGCGGTTGCGAGGACCCTCCTGCCAGTAAGGAAATCTAGGCTAAGATGGCTGAGCAGAATTGATGAAGCTCTAACTCTTTCCCTGCTTCAATCTTTTTCACAATTTCCTCAACTTTTGCAATCGGATAACACCATCGCAGTTCACGATTCTTCCAATGAACCACCCCTCTAGCGAAATCTTCCTGGTCGGTGAGTTTGTGTACGGTTCTCATCTGCTCTTCCTCCCCATATACGCCTTTAGCTTTAATGCATGCCCGACACAATGTGTGAATGCGGATTTCTCGTTTGGCGGGGAGAAAATACGAGAAAGTAGTCACTAGGCTTCCGCCAGGGTCACTGTAAATCGCTTTCGTACACACGTTCTTGTAGCGATAACGATCCTTATGGACGACACAGGTCCAAGTCACGTTGCACTACATGTCGACACGAGACAAATCGGGCTTTTCCTATTATCGTTAGTCGCCTAACCGGAAGGGACGTCTATGTATACTGCGTACCTTTCGAAATCTTGGGCAAAGAGATTCAGGTGGCAACAGGACGACCCAGATACCTGCCGCTGCTCTCATATTCTTTAATATATAGGCCTGTGACGACTAATAACCGAGCGTCTAACAATGTTGGAGTCCCTTCGAAAGAAGATATGGAAAGGATCTGCAATTGCAGGGCTGCTCAACCTCGATAAGGGTGGGGCTGAAGCTCCATCAACGCCGATAAAGTCGGCTGCGGAAGACGCGCCGAAAATGGCGTGGCAACCTGCACTCAACTGGAGTGGGTGATCCATACTGGTATTGGGCGGATGCCTGTCTCTCAGTAAGCAGATCTCTCCGTAGGGGGCATTGACTCCATCTGGATACGCAGGTCCGCACGGAGCTTCTGGTCCAAACGGAGCCCTCACTCCGTAGGGAGGATTGACTCCATCTGGATACGTAGGTCCGCACGGAGCTTCTGGTCCAAACGGAGCCCTCACTCCGTAGGGAGGATTGACTCCATCTGGATACGTAGGTCCGCACGGAGCTTCTGGTCCAAACGGAGCCCTCACTCCTTAGGGAGGATTGACTCCATCTGGATACGTAGGTCCGCACGGAGCTTCTATTCCAAACGGAGTCCTCACTCCGTAGGGGGCATTGACTCCATCTGGATACGCAGGTCCGCACGGAGCTTCTATTCCAAACGGAGCCCTCACTCCATAGGGGGGATTGACTTCAGCTGGATAGCTAGGTCCGCACGGAGCTGCTGTTCATACAAGTGCAAGACGCTTACAAGACATCGTCATCAATATTTTCGTGCAGTTGTGCCACTGAGTCACCGGGAACACTCCGGAGCCCACATCCACAGAAACGTGCATTCTTCGTCATGGTCTCGCACATAACAGCCCACTATGCTCTGTTCTTTAGTTGGACCGGTAGAGCTCACAAATACTGTACCTGTACTTCTCCAACACAGTTCACACGTCCAATAGAATAATTCTTCTTGTTTGATTACATTCTTGTGTAGAGAACGCTATCGGAGGCATAATTCACGGTTGCAGGGATCTCTTAAGTTGAGCAACATATCTCGAGGTCCAGCCTTGCAGACTTGCCTGGTTCCAGCCTTTGGCCAAGACCATTTGCTTTTCCTCAGGCCCACCAAATAAATTTCGCGAAATCCACCGCTCCAGGTATTTTCATGGAAGCAGCCATAAATTCAGACTATGGGCTCCCTATATCTCCTCATCCTACTATTTCCTTCCACAGCCGTTATATATGCTGTTTCATTCATCTCAAATCATCCCGCTCCTTTAGTTCTGACGATGGATCAACGTCAGAAACGGTTTACCAGGTTGCCACACGGACTTCAGAAAGCCTCTCATCCACCAGATGATAAAGGCACCTTACAAGACATATTAGAGGAAAAACTGTCCTCCCTGCACGTCAGCGACGCACGATTGGCGCAGCTTCAGAGTTCCGGAAAAGAAAAGGCCAACAAGATCACTAAACCCTACCGTCAGACTCAAAATCAGTCTGCGCCAGAGCTTATCAAAAACAGTGATTTCCTGAAGAGGGAACACCCCTCAGGGAAATATCTCATGACATGGGAGGTGAACCAGGCTGGTATAGGCCGTTTAGGCCTGGAGAATTGCGCTGGTTATAAATCAAGGGTGGTGGTCAAAAAAATTATGGCTGAAAGGCAACACAAATCCAAAAATCTGAGAGCCACCGATGATCAGTATTTGGTCAATTTACAAGAAGCATTTTTCGATCAGGGCTACTACTTCCTTGTCTATCTATTTCAAGGATTTGCAATTGATCTGGCAGTCACATGCGCCACACCTCATGTTCAATTCAGTGAAGCAGACATTGCAACTGTTTGTAGAAGCATTCTGAAAGGGCTGGACTATATCCACGAGGTTCTTCAGATGAGTCACGGAAACATGGATCTCAAGCACATTTTGCTCTCCGAAAACGGTTGCATTAAGATTGGTGCGTCTGCCGCCTTTCTCCTTTCCCACTTGTTGCTCACGCTACAGGTAGCCAACATTGGAAGAAGTCTGCTGGAACACCAAAGTCTTAAAGGCAGAAGAGACGACATCAAGAGTGTCGGCCTGTTTGTGGTCCATCTGAAGGAGCCGGCGACAATCCTGGAAGACAAAAGAACACATCTCTACAATCCACAGAATGTCTCGAACCAGGCAAAGGGATTCATTGAGGAGGCACATACTGCTTCCTGCAAACTTCTACTGCAGGTAGATTTCCCTTCTATTGAAAGATCTTGCGGAAATCACTAAATCCAAATTTCCTAGCATGATTTCCTCCTTCAAGCCAACCCCGATAATGAGACATGGAGCCTCATACCTCATTATTACGACGCCGTACGTTATGCACCATGCACTCCACGGGTGATAGAAGGGAGTCGAAAATTCTAGGTCAACCGAGGAGTAAAAGAGGAAAGAAGTAAATAGAAAGGGTGGGGAATAGGGTATTGGACGGGGTTGCTTGTCCGTAAAATGATCAGGTAATCTTTAGCAACGGCGTTCTGTAAAGGAATGAATATACTTGACAATATTCGAAGGGTGAGACCAGGTGAAACTAGATAAATATAGTCACCGAGACTGGAAAGAGTGACGAGGGATATTTAAGCCAGCCAACTCCCCCTTTCTGTCTTTTTACCACTCGTCAGATGCTGCGATCACGAGTAATGCAGCCCAATACAGTTGCCCCGGAGGGAGAAAGCCCGGCCGATAGTCTCACAAACTACCTATGTGGCTTTGCCAAGATAAAACTCCGACACCTATCTGGAGAATATCGGAAGAAGAACATGCTAAGGTTTAAGAGAGCTTTGGTGGGAGGCCAATGCTCTCTGCTCGATCTAGAGCACTATATCACCGCCCTGATTGACATGAATACGCTCAATAAGGGTTTGGAAAAATCGGGCATAAATGCTTCCACATTGCTTGATGCAATCGATCCACCACATCTTTCTCTGGAGGATGCCGTCGTCCTCGCGTGTTTACGAGGACGAGATCTCCTGGAGGCAGCTAGGCGCGTACTACCGCCGGGCCGAAGGTGGGTGGTTGTAAAACTATATGTTGACAGTATGTCCTCTCATGCTAGCTTGAGTCCGAGTCCTAATCGCTACTCTGAAGGTCTTCCTGTCAATTTACGAACCGAAATCGCTGAAAGTTTCTCCTATGTTGACGGAGTATCTAATGTGGAGATTTTCGGATCCCTTCTACGTGACTTTTCTGGTATGGAGTCAACTTTCTGGCGCAGCAGACTGCCTTCCGATTCGGATTTCCAGTATGTCCAAAGAGTCGCTCGGACCCCCGAGTTACGGGAATCGTTCATGGCTCTGATTCCATTTCCGGGGCTTTGGAGCACGTTTACTTTTCGCAAGCTAGAGCATGTTGTGTCCCCTCGGTGTGATGAGGTTAGACGCCGCCATGTTCCCAGCCTGTTTATTCATTACTTTGACTGGAATCCCGCTGAGTGAAATGCAGGTAATGGTTCACTACCTGCGGGAGATCATTCGTATTTGGTCACTCCTCTTGCCCGATAGAGCGGGTCAGGCCGATACGCTGTCAGTAGAACTCATTGAGGGGAAGATGCCGAAATACTCCACCCAGGACCGCTCAGATATTATGCGTCTAATGAACGACGGCACGCTCTTCCCGGATATTTCTGATGTGGATGAGCGGGATAGGGTACTGCAGGTCCTGCTTGAAATTCCTGGCAGGGTCCTGTCCCTGACGCTCTTCTTCGATGATGTGAAATGCTTCTCCGGGCCCTCCAAGGCTATGAGGGACCTATTTTCTGTAGGTCCTAAAACATCAATTTATAGCACGGCTCTACACTGTTGGGACGGAGGTACCCAGGCTTACAACATCCAATTAACCGACAGCGAGTACCAGACTGTCCCTATCAACGGTATAGTGCCAGCAGATAAAGCAGAAAGAGCCATAGCATCGGTTAGCTTGCTACAATTATGGCTGACAGCCTTTCGACACTTCATCAATCCTCGGACGGGGAGAACAAGAAAAGTAAAGAACGTTCAGCCTTTGTTTGAATTACGAGGAGAGCCTGAGCTTGCCAAGTCGGCCAGCAGATTGGGTTTTACAATTCCAAGGAAAGTTTCTACTGCAGTCGACTCGATTTTGCCGGCTTTTCATTATACCTTCGAAACGCTCACAGGTGCTTCTCACAATGATCTTGCACGGAAAACCTTGTATATGTCAAAACGGTTTCGACAAATCTTCGGTGATGGGCCCAGATCCCATCAGTCAGATCAGAAAATCCCTGAGCTCTCTGTGAAAACGGATAGCCGACGGTCAAGTTTCCGAGCCGGACGACCACTCAAAGATGAGTACATAAGTGACCGGTCGTTCTTCTTTCTTTGACATATGTTTTCTGATGAGGGAGAGATTCCCCTTTATCCGAGCTCATTTGCTGTCATAAGAGACATCTTCTGCAGTTTTTTCGGCCGACAACATCTTGGATCTCTCTTGAATCACGACGCCTCCGGAGCTTCCAACCAACTCTCATTTGCTGAAGAAGTTCCGGAAGGAGCCATTACGTCTGGGGCCTTGCTACCAGAAGAACCGCAAGCGTTGACAGATAATACAGATGTTCATACCGACTCCGTTGAAAACCGTGATTCATTAGCGACAAGTCCAATAGACCTTGAACTGCACCCAGAGCCAGGGCCCTCTGCTCAGATTATGGACGGTGTACAGCAGTCCGTACCTTTAGCTGCAGGTTTTGAAGACGAGCATAGCAAAGCCCCAGTGTCTCGGAAAGTCCCAATATCACTCCATCGAAGCGCCATTCATGAGATACTACCATTGTGGTATCAGTCAGATGTCACGAATGTCGTAGTCTTCTACCTGTTCAACTCAAGGGAGTACTACAAGTTTTTTGCCGACGCAGAAATGGAAATGCGACTCGTCCTAAACGACCTTGCCCGTGCCCATTATTTCCTCATCATTGATCAAGAAAAGGTCGTCTCTCCAAACATGGCAGATCTAGTCTCTGAGGTTCAACGGACGCGATTGCTCTTCGTTGGAGCAAAATCAAAACCAGGAGAGCTGGAGACCAAGGCAGGCGGCATTAGCAAGGCTGCTTTGGAGGATTACATATCCAAATATGATGTTCATACAGGGAAACGACGGTTCGAATTCGCTCCTGGCGACACTGACGATGGAGAGCAACCACACTCAACAAAAAGAAGAATCTGATACCGTGTAGTCGAACATCATCGATGTATAGGGTTTCAGTCAGAGTTCAGGCAGTCTCGTCATGACGAGCTGTCATTTCAAACAAATTCATAGATTCTAAGCAGTGCCAATTCCACGTTTTCGTCACTAAATTAGACGTGACTACAGGTATATTTATTAGTTTAATGTGAGGCATTCCTCATCAGGCAATCCCTCTGGGACCTGTGATATCGACAAAGAAAGATCTTTGCAAACACCACAGCGCAATGGCTTTGCCGTGTTCCGCTCGTTCTTACAAAAGGGGCTCTGCTGGAACGTTTGAGAGTATTATCAAGTGATTTCAGCGCTGGGAATTCCGTTTTGCTGATTGAGTTCTGAAGCCGGATAGACAATTTAATATAGATAGAAGATCTCTCCATTAACTCCGGACGTGTTCTCGACACCGTCTCTGATGCCCTCAAATGTTAGAAAGGATCGAAAAGGATCTACGCATCTCCTTAAGGCTCCCTAGGGGAGGGAAAAGGAAAAAGAAGTTGAAGTTCCAACTAGCCCTGACATCAAAATGAACTTTGAGAATTACAGGAAAACCAACTCATGTAATCACAAACGACTGTGTTTATTGGCCTGGAGTAAGAGTAGTCTCATAGCAGATCACGGCCACTGGATCTACATACAAAGTCTATCAGAACATTCTAATCTTTCTCAAGATCCAACGCCGCTTAGCGCCTTTCTCTTTCGCGCCGTTCTTCCTCAGGTAGACTTCAGTCGCTTTTGCTTCGTCCGTAGGTGGACTCGCATGAATTGACCACGACAAAGGGGTGGAATACGTATCATCCGTGGAATTGATCTTCGCTCCGTATTCCAAAAGAATCTTCACACAATCTAAGGCACCATATTCTGCAGCCCAGGAGAGGGGTGTACGCTTGTTCTGGTCGCGATCGTCTTTCGCAGCACCAGTTCTTAGGAGACAACGAAGAAGCTCAGGGCAATCTCCCATGGCCGCGTAGTGGATGAGAGATCTCTTGCAGGGGCCTCGGTGATTTGAAGCGCCCTTTGACTCGAATGAGGAATGCGCATCGTTTACAAAAGCCTTGATATGATCGCTTAGCCTAATCTCCCTGATATTTTTCATGCGCCGGAATTCGCCATCGATAACGGTTTTGGAGTCGGGGGGGATACTCATTGCGATAGTTCCCATACTGAATCTTTGCAATGTGTAGCTGCAGATGTATATAACCGCAGGAATATGCTCAAAATTATGGAAACGGGAAAGGATTTAAACGTAGCGGATACTCCCAGCGAGTACAGCATGTAGACAGTTTCATGAGATTCTCTTCATTAGCGTTGAAATGAATTTGCTGTGTTGGGCATGGAAGGCAATTTAATGTCCTATCTTACTACGTATACACATTGTTCTAAAATTTCTGACGAGTAAGTGGAAATACACATGCCTGTGATACTAGATAAATGTATGGAAACACCTGCGGATCACGTCCGCGGGTCTTTGGCAGGGAATGAAGAGCCTTCGGAGGTTCCAAGACTGGTAGTGATCAACAGAATCGGAGGGTCGAAGCCGCAGCGGGTCGATGGGTACTTGGGCCGTCTTAGACCCAAGGTGCCACGCCAGTTTATGCTCCCCACACGACTCGAAAGCGGCGCGGCACGTCCAGCATTAGATAAAAACAGGCGCGATGTACGGGGTCTAATCGTGCTGTAAAACAACATTCAATTCCTTGTCAAAGTGAAGTCGGAAATAATTCAGTGAAACTCAATGATATTGCGAAAAATGGTAATGACTCCTAAGTTGGGATCTCCAATCGAATTGCCAGTTCGAGGAGTCCCGCGGCATATGACACTACCCCAAACTCTAGACACTCAGTCGGATTTCGTGAAGTCTGGGTCCCCTTACGACCAGCTGAACCGCTTCTTCGTCGGCCTGGCACCGACTTGGGGACCCGTCAGTGCTATTGAGTTTTCTGAAGGCGCCAACTTGGCCTATGTCTACCAAGAACGGATCGAAGAAAGGGACCTACAGGCTGAGGACTTCAAAGAAACATCTCATCCGAATCTGGTTAACTTGAAAGAGGTATTCATTGCAAAACAGAGCGTCTTTTTCCTTTACGATACCTGGGGTATCTCCCTGGAGGAAATTCAACAATCATCATCAAAATTTTGCTTGGGCGAGGTGGAGATTGCAACTATCTCAAAAGGGGTATATAAACACTCAGACCGTCCTTTCAGAGAGGAACTACGCTAACATCCCTAGATCCTGCAAGCTTTGAAGTACGTGCATGAAGTGCTTGGGATCTGCCATGGGAATGTCACACCTTCCACAGTCTTAATCAACCAAGAGGGAATAGTCAAACTGGGTCAGTGCCATCCGAAAGGTATACGTTGAAAATGACCTGGCTATTGACAGGCTTCATAGCCGACGTCGGAAGCAGCCTGATTAGGGAATCAAAGAGACAGCAGAAGAGCAAGGACCTTCAGGCTGTTTGCTCGATAGCTCGCTCGCTCTTGAGACTGGACGAGACATCTGCAATTCGTGGGACAATGGGACTGCTCGCAGAGGACTTCACCGGGTCCTCTCGGAGAGCAACCGCAGCGGACCTTCTAAAGGTGAGTGGAACTTCAAACGGATCAATGGCAGCCAACTTATCAAGATTAGCATCCTTTCCTACGCATTAGCCTGGGACCGTGGTGTCTGCGTCCAGTAAGTGTCCTCTGCGGGATCGCTCGATAACGAGTCCTAGGAAGGATGATACTGGCCCACGGCAGAATGAAGGCATAGGAATATTTGAGGGGGAGCATGCATTGTTTCTGAGTCACAGATTCTTTGGAGTCTGTTTAATACACCCTTGACCATGCAACAGTTTTACGTCAAAAGTTTCCGTACCCCCCCACCAAAATTGAAAATATATATTTCTCTCGAGAAAATTAATTCTTCCACCATACCATATACATACTCATAAAATTATATGCAAAGGTATGATTCTATAGAAAAATAACTGTAGATTTCAAAAAGCATAGTATTTCCACCTAATATTTGGTATACCAACCATTAGCCTCAATGACGGCCTTCACACGCCGCGGCATGGATGAAATCAATGCATCAAAATACTCCTGGCCTAACGCCTCCCACGCTCTCTCGATAAGATCGCTAAAGTGATCTTTTATATCTTCAATGGTGCCTTGATAGTTTTCTATATCTGGATCTAGCCGGTGGATCATCTCCTTGAGCTTAGCCCAGGCGTGCTCAATCGGTTTGAGATCAGGTGAGTATGGCGGCCAGTCAATGGTAGAGATACCATTATCCTCGAAGCATTTCTTAACTATCCAAGGTGTATGGATAGGGGCGTTATCTTGCATGAAAGACATCTCTGGAGAATAGATAGCGAAGATATTCTCCTCCAAAATCTTGATATAGGAGGCCGCGGAGTACCCATTTCGACGAGGATTCTCATCTCTAGTCATTCGATTATGGCACCCCAAATCATGATAGAGATACCCTTGGACTTCTTGTATGTAATGATATGCTCCTTTTTCCACTTCTCTCCAAGCTGATTCAATCGCCAGACCCATTTATGTTGCCTCCCGCGGCCAAGTTCAATAGAACATTCGTCGCTCCAGATAATCCTATGAAACTCCTCCGCACCCCAATTCTCCCGCGCTTTAGCCCATTCTAGACGTATTTTGGCTGCTTCTTCAGTCAATCGAGGTCGTTTCTTTGCTCGCCAGTGTCCATAGCCTGATTTCTGGATGCATCGGAGGATGGTGCTGTTTGACGCGTTCACTCCTGTCTTTTCGCGGATATCTTTGTAAGATATAAATGGATTGGGATGAATCGCGCATAGAATTAATTGCTCATCTCTGCTAGATAGCCTAGTAGGTCGGCCAGAGCGAGCAAGGGTTGCACCTTGCTCACGAAGGGGGTTCTTCTGGAGGGTATACTGGACTGTGGATCGCGGAATTTCAAGGGTTTGACTGATATGACGATATCCATGCCCCCCAACGTTCAAACCTTTAATAATTCCGCGGCAATATGGACTTAGCTCATCTCCACGCCCTTTATTAGGGTCAATTTCTTTTAGAGGCGTGCGTTGCATGGTTCCATGGTAGAAAAAGATGCTGGGTTGAAAAACGCGTGTGTATGAGACGCGTTGTGGTACGGAAACTTGTGGGCCCGAGTGTATGTGTACTCTGAGAAGCACGATCGACTGAGTCAATAGAGTGTATAGATCTGTCGAAGGAGAGGAAATCAGGTAATTCCAGGTAGAAGCAATCTCTAGATTATGATATCGTACCCATAGCAGAATATTACAGGTCAGCTTGGGTGAAACACGCACAATAAAGAAGGCTGCACGCCTATTTCGGAGTCATGACCGTCCTCCTTATCCACCAACATATAAGAAGATCAGATACTGCACACAGGTTCTACCACTATTGCTCATTACAGGCCAGTATGGGTCAAACACAGCCATTTGACGATCTTGAAACAAACCTGCCCGAGGCTGAAAGTGCTTCAGTCATTGAGACTCGTTATGTGCGCATGCTTCTCGAGCTTGACTATATTCCATGGTTTTACAACACCTCAGCTAGCGCTGCGCACTGGGCACTGCTTGCTGGATATCTGGTTATTCCAGGAACATTTACTTCTCTTCAGAAGTCCGACTTTCTCACGGAAGGTCTGGAAACAAACCGCACCGGAAAAGCCATCCTCAGTACAATCCAGAATCCGCCCCTCCTTGCTATTGCTTGCTTTTTGATGGTTTTGGGCTCAGTAATGATTTCTTGGCTCACCTGGGAGCGGAGGGAGAATTACATATGGCTCGTAAACCGGTTGTTTATGTCAGTCTCAGTATCTCTTGTTAATTCAGATGCTGATCGTTTGATAGACCAGTCCTCCTGAATGCGATAGCTGGGCTACTCACCAGTTTCGTCAATGTGTATACAGCGCAAAATGGTGAATGGTCAATAATGGCTGTTGTGACGGTTGTCGTCACCGGGATGTCTACGGCAGTCTCCTTGAGCTTGACAATAATATACAAGTTCGGAAAGCTAGAGAGGGTGAAGAGAGAACATGAGATGGAAATAAAGGCTGGCTTCCATATGGTTTCGCACAAGGCCAGCAATTCATCTACTGGGAAAGTGGGACCTGGCGATCTAGAGAGAATCAGTGGCTAGTTTCTCATCTCGACTTGTCAAGGAATCATCAGCAGGACTGTACAGCACATCAACGTGCTAGGATTGCTGCGTGGTCATTGAAGGATAGACTGGACCTGCCATTTACGAGCAGCTGCTTCGGGGCGAGTTTTACTACTAAAGCAAAGCCTGTATTGATTAGTTCATTATTGATTAAGTAACAGGCCAAAGAACTCAATATAGCAACTAACGAGTATCAAGCAAGTGTCTTCCAAACCTTTCAATCCCTCCGCTCCACGAGAAGCTTCAGGACCCCAGAGCACACATCGACCACTTTGGCTTGATTTACCAGAAGGATAACATAATAGGTGGGCTCAATCGTGGCTTGTGAAACTAGGATATTACATCTAGCCAATTCCAACAAATATTAATTTGCTGTCAGAGATCCTTTCGAAGAGGTCCTCTGGAGAAGAGTAATCATTCCACGTCCGGGACTAATAGTGCTCAGATAACGGCCCACGCCGGAACTTGCGCGGGGTCACTCAGCATCAGGACACGACCTCGTGGCAAAGAGTATGGTATTAAACCTTTAAAAAGACGATTCGATCTCCTAGATCGTAGACCCAGACCATAAAGTTAATTTTTTCTTCGCGCTGCGGAATGGGGGCAACCTGGGAAAGGTAAGTCTTATGCCTCTTCATCAAATTAACGGATGCTAAGGGACCCATATCCAGTATTGTGCATACGGACATGGTGACCATTTATATAGATGACGGTGATTTACCATTTTTTGTTCATTCAGGAGCGCTTCGGGCTTTTCCACTGGCTATCAGGCAGTCTATCAAGGCGTCTAAAAATAAAGAGAAGAATACCTTTGTGCTTCTGGGTTGGATGGACGAGCTCACCTTTGAGCTCTGCTGTGAGTTTGTATACACAGGCAATTTTTTTGTGCCTGAACCATTCTTGGCAACGGTCACTGGCTATGCGAAGACGTCAACATCAGGAACAGTCATGTGGCCATATTCAGACATTTTCATGGCACAGAATTACCCTCCTAGTTCGGTACAACAATTTCCGCCATTCTCACGGGGAGACAACGAACTCGGCGTTTCCTGCGATGATACTCTACCCAACATACACCAGGATGAAGTTTGCAACGACGTACTCCTCAGTCATGCTCGCCTCTACCGATTAGCTCTAAAATCAGGCTGGGCATCCTTATGTGCAGCGGCCCTCCAACGTTTAACAATCGCATTGGCATGCTTTACTCGTTCTGAAGAGCGCATCTACAGCATTGTGGAGCTGCTACATTTTGTGTTTGACGGAGGTACTGAAAATGTAGACAGCTTGCATCACTTGCTTCGAGCATATGTAGCGTGGAATGTGTCTACCCTACAGCCAGACCCTGGCTTCCAACGATTTCTGGAAGGATGGACAGGTTGACTGTCCCAATGCAAAATCCGATGGCAGAGTAAATACGAATTTAGCGAAGAGTATGGCAATTATCCCTATCAGGCATCTAGTAGTCTCTCATTCAAGTGATATCATAGTGGTAGAGTCGTCTTCTCGTTCTTCTGTATACGCTTGCCAGCATTCCACGAAACTGTGTAATTTATGTAAGGCCTTTCCTTTTCCCAAGATCGGAATCCAGACGCTTCTAAACAAAACATAGTAAATTCGTCTCTAAAGAAACGGCATATGACACGTAGCGTTAGTAAAAGGTAGGACATCGGCTTGCATTCTCAGCTTCGTCTCTCCGCGTTACCACCATCCTCCATATAGTATAGACCGGATTTCCCATCCTAGGTTCAGAATGCATTTTAGTATTTATCCCTTTTCTTTTCCGATTTCTTCTGTCGTTGTAGCAGTAGCTAACTGGACACCCCTGGGATCCAGCTCGGATCTCACTTGCGTTTGCCTCGTCGTAACATTATGCGTGGTCTCTTGGTACGGAAGCTTAACAGACATCTTTCTGATGAGTCCATTACTTGGGATGGGAAAGCTGTGTCAACCCCAATCTGTATAGGCAAGTCTTCCTAGCATTTCTTCATCCTTCATATTCGCTCCATTGGTGTCCCATGCCCATTAATTAAAGAACTTCAGATGACGCCAGTGATAGTAAAACTAAGAACTGTAGCAGGACAGCTTGACCCTTGCTATTTTCCCTTTAGCCGTAACGAGAAAGCTGTTGTGATCATGGAGGGATATTTCAGTCATCAACGCCTGTGCATCAATCAGAGGGATAGAATGCTGTCCTTGCCTTACTATATTGGCTTCATCATCCGTCAGCCATTCAATACAGTAAGCTAGGCTTTTTAATCCAGTAGGAACCTCGACCTGGACTTCTAGACAGCCCGCAAAGTAGAACGGGGACACTCTATTTGAACAGACAGTGCCATACGCAGGGAGACCTTGAGACAAATTGCGCGTGTCACAATCCTTGGTGCTCAGAGTTTCAGATCTTGCCCTTTCGGACCCAGTAAACGCGGGAAGTGTCAGTTGGGAATGTCTCCAGGAAACAGCAGTATTATGTGCTGTAACTACAGATGCTTTCAATTCGATTGTCTGCTGATGTGATGTCATGGATGCTCAGCCCTTGTCAGTGGGAGCAGGCGAATCCCTTCTTCTGATCCAAGTGACGCTGGCTGCACTTCAGCCCTACCTATTTGGCATTGTGAGGTGGTCAACTGTGTGCTCACGGATACTGGTAAAGTAAGTAACGTGCTTTCATTAGGACATGGGTAGGTAGTCTGTTGCTGTCTTGAGAAGAGCGTGGAAAGGCTCTGCCTTATGTAGGCCTCAAGCGCCTCATTGAAATTCTCTTTCGCTTTGTTCAGAGGTGGGAAAAGGGGCAGCCGCCAGCCCGGGTATAATCTTCCGTGAGATCCAGGTGTATAGATCTTGCCGTACGTCAGGATGAAGAGATTACATAGCAAACAGGCCTTTTTGCTGGAGCATCTCACTCGTGGCGGCAATCTTTGCGTCTGCAGCTCGCAATAAGCGATCAGCTGGACCTCAGCGTGGATCTTGCCTTCTTCTAAGATCCTCTGCCACTGCACCAGAAATCGGCCTGTGGCTTCTTGCTCGGTCGTTTTCAGAAGAGTGAATATCCGCCGAAGACTTTCCGGCTTGCCGTAAGCGCGATCGATGCGTGATAACGTGGAGGTAAGGTTGCAAGAGAACGCACGGGCTGGAAGGGTAGGAAAGGCTGTGTGAGGAAGGTCAACGAGGACTATCCTCATTCGCCGAGCTATGGCCAACTTTCTCGACGTACGATAGAGCAGCCTAGCTGCTTCCCGGTATCTCGACACCTTGCCGATTATGTTCATTATAGTGGATTTTGCTGATGGATTCAGCATTCGGTTAGAAATTAGGCCCAGCAGAGCGTTGAGGTGTTCGACTTGTCCCAACCGGTTGATTCCCTCCACCAAGTCCATTAACTGAGTCGCAGTTTGGTGTCGAGACCATGAATCAGTCAAACGCACCATATCTCTCGACATTGTTACAAAGAGGTTCGCGACTGATGACAAATTCGTTTCTGTAAGCCTCCTGGAATCAATCCCTCTGACAAGTTCTATCGCTTCCTGCAAAATGGCTTTGAATGACTTCTTCTTGGGCTTTCGTTTGGTAGGTATTAATCGAAGTCGCTGAAGTATGCTGGTGGAACACATTGATACAATAGCAGCGAAGACGTTCTTTTCAATATTTGAGGGTTTCTCCCCATCTTTTTCTGGGTTAGCTAGGTAGTTATGCGCCTCTTCGGGGCACGAACTCTCTGATACTCTTCTGAGAATTGCAAATATTTTCTCGAATCCCCCTTTCAGGTCATTGAGGATGACGCTGCCATCAGCTTTCTTGGTTTTGTTGATAGCAAGGATGATATTCAGAGATCCAGAACTCGTATCTTGTTCGACACAAACAGCGGGTATGTGATTCGGATCATCTTCGGTTTGTGCGAGAAACGCAAACGTAGCAACCAGACCTTTCTCTCTCTCAAAAGACAGCGGATAACTAGTCAGGCAGCTCTGCGGGTACACAGGCAGTGGATTTCTTGATGGAGGAGTAGGGACTGCTTGGACAGGAGTTGAATTAGGCACAGAATGAAGCAAGGAGAGAAGGGCGATATTCAGATAAGGGCAGACACTCTAGAGGGCTCAGTCATTGAGTCACGCGTATAACTTGTAATTGGATAGTCCTTGATTGTCCAAGTGAATTCATACTTTCCCGGGTCAGGCGAGCAGGAGATGCCCCTTGATTGTGCTGTGCTAATGGTAGGTCACAAGTGACCAGAGCATCAACTTCGGGCGGTATTCAATAGAATATAGAATAGCCTTATCTTTCTCAGGCAGACAGTCGTTTACATTCAGTTTGCTCCTCCCATTCCACGACCGTCGGTGCTGCGGCAATTCGTGGAATCTGCAGGGATAGGTACAGGAACTTCTCATATTAAACGCAAGGTCGCTAATCACTTCTAAGCGCCGACACATGCATCTCAAGTCACGCATCATCCAGATACTATTATTGGCTTATTCTGCGGCCGTAATTTTTCACAAGAAAAGCTCGTTATAGTTGACTTTTCAGGAGACACGCTGTATCCAGATCACCTTCTCGGTTGAGACATTTTCCGCATGTTCAACTGTCAAGGATCAACCGATACAGCTCCTTGGTTTGCTTGACTTGGGCGGTCTATTGTGATTGTTAGACCAACCAATCACGCAAGGTAAGAAAGGCGCGAAGCTGGACTCTGTAATGCCACGTCAACATTTTTGAGCCTAGACAGGGGTCGGTAGCATGCTACAGGATTATTCCCACTTCCCACGCATACATGGCCAGCTCGATGTCCTACTCGATGGCGCGCGATGAGCCAGTGTCCCTTGACCCATAAGGTCTGGTCCTGATTACAGCAACGCAAAGTCAGCAATGATAACTTTTCTGCCCTCCATTTTTCGAGGACGAAAATTGATATGGATGGACTTCCGCACAATCGATCATTCTTATGCCTTCGAGGACGCCTTTATATGTTCCATTGCTTGGGTGACTTCAAGGATGCTCTGATTTTGTCTAAGGCGCGAACTATGTAGTCGCCGAATCGGAGCGTTCCCGGAAAAACTGACGTGATTTAAAGTATCTAAGCAAAGTCAAACAGAGTTCATTGCGAGCTATAGAGACAATGTTGAATTATCACAGGTAAAGACAAGCCAACAAGAGCCAAATGCAGAGCTGATATTGGGTCATCTGCAGATAACAGGAGCCAGAGAAAATGAAATGTGAGGGTGAAGTTGGATCACCACAGATAATGAGAAGTAGAAGAGTAAACCAGAGCAAGACACGGGGATGATGTTGAATCACCATGGATAACGAGCTCTTCGAGTCAGACGGGCAGCAATCAGATACCAGCTTGCCTGGCGATATCTAAAGCTCGATGAAGCCTATCCATTCGAGCCTGTAGCTCAGTTCTGGCGGAAGATGTTGCAAAGTTCTCGCTTGCAATATCAGCTAGCTCACCGTCAGAAAGTTCGCCAATCAACTCCGGAGATAGGAGTTTGACAGGCCCTCGTGGACCAAGAAGATGGCGTTCTGTGACTTGAACAATCACATTATCTGTGAATCGTTTCAAAGCAACCTTGTAGAAGGCTTTGAGAGTATCGTGACTATCGTAGATCGCTTGATCGTCATTACTCAGATGAATGCCACCCATCAGCTGTTTGATATCAACCAATTGCTGATGGTTATCTTGGATTCCCAATGACCCCAGTCTGGCGCGCATTCGCTCTTCCCTAATAGAGGCAATATTTTCTGCAAAATAATTATTCATAGTCTGCAATATGCCCTCTCTTTCATCCCGGAGAAGCTGGCTTAGGTATTCCTCGGCCGTTCGAAAAGCTGATGTTTCAAGTCGTTGGAGACGAGCCCCGAGGTTCCGCCTGAAATCTTCGTCGGGTACGATCAACCCAAAGACTCCGTCGCTAAAGGCGGCTATGGCCGCGCGAACTGAGTTGTAGTACTCCAAAGCAAGTTGGTTCCAAGGAGCCGACTGCTGGCGGAACATATTCTCCAAGACAGCGGGATTCACGGTCCCGGGAAGTTCCACTCCCCTAGAATCACGATAAAGCCTGCGAATCCAATCATAGATATTCTCATCGCCGCCCGAGTTACGAGAAAACTCCTGGTCGACCTCATCTTTTACGGTACGGAACACTCTTGCATGACCGTTGCGATTCATGCGTTCAGCGAACTCCTCATTCAGCTCGCGTATTCGCAGCCGAAGCCTCAATGTTCCATGGGCATCGAGTTCCGGACGGTAGATCCCTCTGAGTGCCTGGGTCACGTCATCTTGGTATGACAGAGCAATACGCAGTAACACTCTGCGTTGGTCTATTGATGTTTGGCGGGAAGGCCCAAGCATTTCGAGCTGATTCTGCGTTTCTTGAGTGAGGTCCTCGATCTCCTTGACCAATGAAGGGAACTCGAGTTGAATGTGGCGGTAAAGTAGCCCCGCAAGAAAGCGCTTGACATTTTCTATGCCAACATGATCTCTAGGAAGATCAGTCCAGGGCGCTGTGGAGGCAAAGAACTCTCTCTCGCGAATATGGCGTTCTTCAATAGTGACACCGTCGCGAATCTCCCTAGTCGAGCGATTCTTAACGACGTACCATCCATGGTTGAGCCGTTCAACCTCGTTTCTAGCAATTCTGAGCACCTGGCGCGTTTTGTCAGTTGACAACTTCCTCCAACTAAAGATGAAAGACGTACCCCATCCTCATCACCTGGTTCTAGAGCGTCGCACTTGGTAATGATCCCGACAGTTCGAGCACCTTGGGGATCTGCAGCACGTGCCATCGAAAAACTTCTCAAGTCAGAACGGACGGCCCATAGCCCCTATATTTGGCCAAACTTACACCTCTTAATTTGCAAGGTTGTTTCTCGCGTCCATCACTGCGCTAATTTCTGGGTCAGTTCACTTTGCAGTGGGCGAGGGACTTGGGGTCTCTGTTACAGAATGATTGTTCGTTTGTCAATTATATAACTCTCGATCAGATTTCGAATGATGACACGGTCCTCGGCCGTCTGGTACTTTGTGGGATCTACCATCGTCAGTAAAAATCCCCGCAAAGCTACCTAAGTTGTCGTCCTTACTATGAAACAGACCGGGTACATCGACCACGCTGAGATGCCGCTGTTCCGGGCCCGAAAGTTCAATCCTGAGTATATCGTCCGAAAAACGCTTCTCGAGATTTTCCAAGCTCTCTGTGTTAGGACCGGGTACACCCATGCATTGGGCAGCCTGGACAATTAGTAGTTTATCGAATGCCAAGGTCAAGATGGCCTACCTCATCAAAAATGCGGGTGAACTCCGTCGGGCCGAACTGGTCCACAGGAAGCCTCCTTTCAAAGTTCAGAAGACGCTCTTTCACCTCATCATTCATCTGAGCCGTGGGTCCTGGGATGATAGTGATCTTGACTTCTGCATCCTCGGAGCTCGCTCGACGAAGTACAATCTGAGTCGCAAACCGGGTGCAGAGATCGCTGGCTATTGGGAAGGACAGCCCGGTCAGTGCTTTGAGTAGCGAAGATTTTCCGCTTGACTGATCGCCGACGACAACGAGCTTTATTGCAATTAGCAAGGAAATGAAAAAAGAGGTATACTTTCTCACCTGCGGAAGCGACACATTTTCACTGACACCTAGTTCACGAAGCTTGTCAATGACACCAAGAACTCTGACGCGATTGTCGCTGTCGAAACTATCAACTGGTAGCATTGAGCTTTTTCTGAGTTTGATTCTCTTTCCCATCATGGTCGATCTTGCTCGATTTCGAAAGTTAACACCGATGGGATGATACGCTGCTTCAGTGCCTAAGGTGAACACTTTCAAGGAGACGTCAAGCTTTATAGTCTTGGATTAGATCAGACGATGAACTAAGCTACACGCGTCTTGAATGTTTATTGAACATCTTCGTCATGTAAGGACAATCGACATACCACAATAAACATTCCGTTCTCAGAGACTCCAACAGATCAAGGCACGGGGTCATAACATCTGCGGAATCCAGGAGGCAAGGTTATCTTTGCGTTGCGCCTTCCGAAGCGTGGTCCTCGCTGTGTTCTTTATGGACATCACTAGGGGACCGCTCTCGACGGGAGAACTCCGAAGCTCACATAATTCAATAGTGAAACCCACAACAAGATTGCCAAATGATAGGCGTTGGCTGGAACCTAGTCAACCGCATTAATGGACAGTAGCTAGGAAAGAAAAATAGACAGTACTATGAGATTTGTAAATGATTGTTCAGATAGCAAAACGTGTGGGTGGCTAACAAAGTCGCTGGAAGAGATCGACTTGGCCACAATGTTTATAAAGACGTTAGCTCCTCAACTTTATAGCGAAACAGGTAAAAAGGGCGTAGTTCAACGACGCCTCGCCAGCTTACAACATATATGGAACTACCAGTCAGTCAAGCTCCAATGAGGTTATAGTCACAACGTACCTTAATATCTTACCGAATTCAAACTTTCACTGGCTCTCAACTAAAGCGGATGTAGCAGGCGAAAATCTATCCTCAGGGCAGTTCCATTGGATTCAGTTTGCACGAAAATGCTCTTTAAGAGGCAAAAATCTTCCCCTTGATCACAACAGAAGGAGCTAAGGAGACTAGCTAGCAGAATCCTATTCACGATGTAACAGAGTAGTCGTTAAGCTAAACTTTATTTGAACCGAGAAAAGACCACAAATATGTCGAACATTAAATACAAAACAAGGTATGTAGTACGCACATGTTCACCATGGAAACCCACCTCCAGATCCCACCCATGGCGCAATTTTGCTAGCCAATTCCTCCTGTCTCATGTCCTCAGTTATGTCCTTCCAATATCCTCGACGCCGAATCAAATCAACATCCTCGTACAACCCTCCTGTCTTTATATGGATATAGACATACTCATAGCCACGTCTGGTCTCAACCCCGTCAATTGCTACTCTCCATCCAGGCCTCAGTGTCCCATCTGGATTGAAAATCTTCTGGTCTATGTCTGACTGCAGGGTTCCAGGGGGGAGATCAAGTTGAAAGTTCTGGGAGCACTTTTGTCTGGTTCATCTAGCAGGAATTTTTTTGGGACGATCATTCTGAGTAATTCGCTTCTCACGGCTTTTTGATTTAGCCCCATGGTGCCAGGCTATGCTCATTAGTGCAACTCCTGTATAAACATAGAAGGGCTACTCACGCATCCAGACTTTTAAGAATCTCCCCATGATGATCTTTGCAGTGAGAATCCAACTATGTTAGGTCACTTAAACCTGATCCAGTCACATTGGTACTTTTCTCTCTTGAATCTGGATTGATGGTCTTTATATATTGTTGAAAAACCACTAACTGCCGCGCCGATTTTGAAATAGTGGAGGGAGCAGTGGGTCGCAAAACCCCATGGTCTCTAGCACACAGAAAGAGCAGCTTGAAGACCATGCATAGTAATCAGTGTATTTACTCTTGAGATCCATTTTAGAAGGGCTGGGGCTAGGGCTAGTGGCGGGAGGGTGATTGAAGCTCCAGATTGAAACAATTCGATGTGCCACTATTCCACTAAACTATCAACTATGGGTAATCTACGGAATACAAAGCAACAGGAGGCTTCCGCGCCATTTCTGGCGCGGCTTCTTGGTCGTCTCCTCTTTCGGGCACTACCCTAGCTACAAGCCCAAGAGTCTCAGACAACATGAGATTTGTTTTGGACTCGTATCTCCAATTGACGTCTTTTAAGCCCGAGGCAGACTCAAGAAGTAGAGTTCCGGTCTAATGATCGTCTTATGAGCGAAAGGTTCCCCACCGGCTAGTAGACAGACCATGATTAAAAGCGTCACTAAGTATGCTTCACCTACTATTACCGCATCATGCAAGTAGGACTTGATTCACAGCTGGAGGTTATATTTTTGACAAACATCGCGTCTTAGGTTAACGTGGGCTAAGAGAAAACACATATTATTTGACCCATTTCTTTGTCACCCGTCTGAGCATTTATTCCTTCTATTGACAGTGCGGATCTGATATGCTTGATGATCTGAAAATGATACTTCTAAAATAGCAGTTCAAAGAGAACAGTTCAGAACATTGACGCCACTAGGACATTGATCTCAGCACAGTTTTCCACTAACATTGCCCGACATCGGTAGGATCAAACAATTGTCCTCACCTTAGCAAACAAGATCTTCACATGAAGCCGTACTTGGCTAGTTCCATATCCAATTAAACCCCAGGGTAGCACTCAGCTGCTCAAGGTAGTAATGACACCTCCGGTCTGGTTGACCACAATGGTTTGAGTTGTTGTTCTCTGAGGAGGAGCAGCAGCGTGGGTGATGTTTATGCAAATATGACCAATCAAATCAAAAAAATAATCCTTTTGAGTCCCAGGGTTCAGAGCAAAGTGAGCTGGCGAGCAGCAAGTATATTCGTCACGATTCTGAATGCCAATAAACCATAGTGGCTCTGTAGAATTGACCCGGAAAATCACATGTTTATAGGCATCGTCTCCGTATCTCTCGAGACGGCTACACGGCAATTCGAGAGTTGTGTTGTACAGTAAGAACGACCCATTCAAAGAATAGAACCAGACAGTGTCGCCGATGGAGACGTCAAGTGTTTGAGGGATAAACTTTGTGGGATTACCAGGCTCCACGCGGACCATCTGAGTGAAGCTCCTGCTGGATGTAGCGACTGTGCGTGATGATAGTGCTCCTGTAGTTACATGAGTGGAAGCTGATGCATATGATGAAATATACATCGCAGAACTGGCAGATGTTCTGGTTGGTGTTCCTGTGACGCTGCTTGTAGGATGAAAAGTAGTCTTAGCAACTTCCGAAGAAGGCAGTGGTTTTTGTTGCCAGGAAGTTCGCTGCGATGTTGTGCTTGATAACGGACTAAGTTCAACGGCCGGGGTCCCTGTCATGGCGCTCGCTGATGATGAAAATGATGGCGAGGAAGTTGTTGAAGAGGCTGAAATGGACGTTGAGCTGGGCAGGAAGCAGGAAGAAGGTATGATAGTTGGCAGGGTTAAGAGAAAGGCCCCACTTATAGACAGATTCGACCCTCTTAATGCTGGATCTAGCCCATAGTTTATCCACATTCGATGGCAAGTAAAGGGAGGTGTGTTGTGGCAGCTGTCACTCCCATTTACCGGAAAGTAACTTTGAATGAAGGATGTGCATGATAAACTGTTCACTCCGCCTTCATAGGGGTACCATAAGCTAGGCTCCTGAGTAATCGAGATATCCAGCTGCTCTTGGTTTTGAAGAGGTCGTAAAAGTTGGAAACTGCGAGCCAGACACACATTTGATATGTTTTTAGCAAGAGTGCTGCCATTAAATATGGTTGAAGCTGCAATACCCTGGCAGTTTGGTTCGGTCCAAGCGATCATCCCATTAACTGCATAGGGATCCGGGGTGTAACCCATATCAAATGAAATGGTTTGGGTCACCAGCGCATATAATAGGAGGATAATCAGTGAATGAGTATTCATCTTTAGAGCTGAGGCCACAAAGATGAAGAGGGCTCTTGAGTAGAGTAAGGGAAGACGTCTTCTTATATTTATGTCTTCTTATTTTTGACAGCTGGATGGAAAATGAATCAACAGTCCATGGGTAGAGTTCTGTTTGAGCCACTTTTCACTTTACTGCAGTACTGGGGCAATTCACGGTATACCCTCATGTGCTGGCGAAAGTAGTATGCATTGACATGGAGGTATCTAGAAGCATTTATGATGCATAGACTTTATACTATGTTCCGCTGCCTTGTTTAGGGGCTGAAACGCCAAGTGCCTTTGACTAATAGCCTTGAATATCCCAGTCCGCACGCCTGCAATGGTCTCTTGAAGATTCAGCCCAATGCTATTATGTAGTCAGCTAGAATATCAGCTGACTTATAGGCGCACGATGAGTGAGACCGCTTGGCCAGCTAGGTACGATACTCATTCCTTGTGCTACATCCCCATTACGTGTCATGGACACTTGATCCCACATTATTGATTCTTCATCTTCTCAGAATATACGCGCCAAAAATGGTGCGCACCAATTTTGGCACGGCACCTTGCTTAGTTCCTCAATTCCTAAATAATACATGTAAGATCCCGAGTCATGTCCGTCCTACGGTTGTTCAGGGGGGTCGGCATCAGAAAAGAGTGAACGAAGTCATAGGGATGAAAGGTCTTTGACGGGAGTTGTCGCTTTGGTTGAGAATACAGAGAAATTGCAGTAGCTTCCTTATATATATAATAGATTCTACATGCTCCTATATGCTTTATATAGTAATGAATATCATCATATTATCATCAGACATCAAAACTTCCTAGATTCTACAAACCACTACCCTCCTCACCCCAACTATCCAGTACTATTAGGTACATTTCACGCACACAGCACATCGCACTCCGCGCCATGCCATACGGCGTTGCCCATCTCAACTGCTATTCCCTTTTATACACTGACAGAGCCCATTCCCGTTGGAATAATCCGTTGGCTCACACACCATGAAGGCCCCAGACCCACAGTCATAAACATCCAAGCACTGCTGGACGTCATAGCACATCGCCGCATGAGGCGGGGTAGTTTTGGGAGGGGGGGGCCAGCAAGTGCACGCTCCGGATTGGCACTGAACGGCCCCGGGCTTGGGGCAGTTATCCTCGCATTCGTCAGTAAGACGGCAGGGGCCTCCGATTGGGACGCTCGAGATTTTGGGAGGCGTTGGAGTGGTGGTGGGGATGGTTTTGGTAGGGGTGGTGGTGCGAGTGATGGTGCCGTCCCAGTCCTCGTAGTAGGGGCTGTCCGGGTTCTGCACGCTGTCCGGGTTGCGCGGGTCCAGGAAGTCCGGGTTCTGCTTGAGCGGGGTGCCAGGGCAGAAGAAGCCTGCGCAGCTGCTGCCGCAGCCGGCGCCGGCGCAAGTCGGCTGGGGCGGGCCGGTGCGGAAGGTCAGGGGCGACGGCTGGGGCGGGAACGCGACGGGGCAGGACCCGCCGTTGCTCTGCCGCTTTGCTTTGGAGCCGCCGCTGCAGTCGCGGACAATGGATCGGCCCCACTTCTGACCGTTCCAGACCACATTGTCGGGATAGTCCTCGTCGGGGTAGGCGAGGGTCGGCTGCCGGCGGTATGCAAGGCGCACAATCCTCTCCTTCACCATGGCGGCGGTGGTCAAGGTGTCATCAAGGCCGCGGAAATACGCTGCCAGACCGGCGACCGTTGCGGAGGCGTACGACGTCCCAGCGAGGGTGGATTGGTACCCAGGGTCCCTTGAGTCAGTCGGGCCAGAGGTGGCCAACCGCAGGAAGAAACCAGGCGCGTAGCAGGTAACCCAGAGCGCATCGGCGTGGCCGCCCAAGAAGCCCCATCCGGTAACCGACCCGACGACGATGAGCTCTGGGATATAGTTGCGGTTGTCGGGGTCTCCGAAAAGCGCCGGATAGCCGTTGGGAGAGCCAGCCTCGTTTCCGGAGCCCGTGACGAACACGGCGCCGAGTTTGATGATCTCTCGAATCAGCAAGGCTAGGCAAGAGGCAAGAATGGTCAGTCAAAGAGCACGGCGTCCTACTTGGGGATGGACAAAAAGAGACTTACCCAGCTTGTCCACAAACGCGTCCGACACAAGGCCTTGGGGGAACGAGATGGAGAAGTTGACGACGCTCTTCGCGCCCCTCGCCCCGGTGGATATGTCGGCGTGCACCTTGGCGAGCCCGTCGAGGTAGTGCTCGAAAATCATCTTTGTAAAGTCCCACACGGTCGCCACCACGGTCGCCTTGCGGGCGATGCCAACCGTCTTCCCCACCGCCTTGGAGAGACACTTGGTTCCGTGCCGCTTTCTATCGTTTTCCATCCAGCCGCTCACGGGGTACGGCCCCGGAAGCAGCGGGTGGAGGAACGACACGCCGCTAAATTCTGGGTGCGAAGGCTGGGCGCCATAGTCGACGTGGTACACATAAGTGCCCTCGCCCGCCGACGAGTCGAACCTATTACAGTCTGTATTAGTCACGGTCACACACACATAGACATACTATCACACAGGAGGAGAGGAACACAGCAGGAGAAAAAACCAAATAAAAAAAAATGCGCACCTGTAATCTCCCTGGTCTGGGACGGGACCGATCCCATAAGGCCAGGAAAGTGAGACCATGACGTCGGGCAAATTCGACTGGACAATCTCGCTGCGCTTGGCAAGAATGGACCGCTCTTGTAATTCACTTTCAGTGCTGTTCAGGGTGTCCATAAACCAATCATCATCGCTAGCAGGTTGTCCTCCCCCTGAGGTCGGGTCACGGGCCATGCCCAAATAACTGATCAGTTGGCCCTGGGGGATATAGGCGTCCGCGACCTGCGCGTGGCCCTTGATGGCGTCGGTCTGGTCGTTGGTGAAGGCCGGGACAAAGAAGAACATGGTGCCCAGCTGGTCCGTTCTGGACTCGAAAAGGTCCAAGGCGGAGCCCCCAAGCTGCTGCTGCAGGGCTGTCCTGATGCCGTCGACGCTCCAAGGGTCGTGAGGGATAACCACGCGAGGAATGGGCGTGGCGGTGGTTGCGATTGCGGTTGTCGTCGTGATGTCGGTTGCGCCGCATCCCGTCACCTGGGTGCAGAAGGAGATGGTGGATGTCGTCGTGGTGACGGCACGCTTGGTGAGCTTCCGGTACTCTTCGAAGGGGATCCGAGGCGCCCGTGTCGGGGCGGCCCCTTCAGCGGCCCGCTTGGCCACAATGCCATATGAGAGGGTCGTGGTGCACACGCTGGCTGTCGCCGTCTCACAGCTGACCTCCTCCGGGTCTGGCTTGTCCGGGTACGTGGGCTTGCGGTCGGGGCCGATGCTAGAGGGAAGATCAAATAAAAGCGTCAGCAATGACACAGCGGAGTTGAGGTGGAGGTGAGACCAAGACCATGCATGGCTCGGGGTTGTTACCGGCCGACTTACGTGATTTGGGGCCAGGGGATTTTCAGTGTCAGACCCGGAGGCGGGTTGGGGCCGACGGGCGGCGGGCCTCCCCTATATGAAAAGTTTAGCACGGCGGCGGCCGAGAGTAGAAAGGTATTGGCTTGTGCCGGGGGGAGTGACATACTCGGGGTAGATGCCCGGATTCTTGAAGCCGGGCAAGACGATGCCACCAACATTGGGGGGGCACGACCATATGAACCAGGCCCAGCAGGGAACGACAGGAACAGGATCACCATCATCTACCTGGGTCGCAGTGGGCTCTGGGAGCCAGTCCCTGACCCAACTTGCTGTTTCCGTGGGGAAAACGGTGGTGGGGAACGGCCCGGTAACAATGGGCACAACGACGACAGGGCCACTAGTAGGGGTCGTTGTGGAAGTTCCGCTTGGATCTGGCATCGCACTAGCGCCACTCCATGGCCACGGAGGCGGACGGATGGTCCGGGCTACGGGCGCCGCTGTGATGTCGGCGACGGGAGTCGGCGTGATGACAAAGGGGGGCGGGCTGACACTCGCCGTCGGGATGATGATGGACGGGACGCCACCGTCGACTGTCGTGGTTAGGATCACCTCCGAGAAGCTGATGAGGTCCGTGATCACCGGTGGGATGGAAATCTCAGTGGAGACGGTGACAGCAGTGTAGTGGGTCGTCACGGTGCCGTCGACCGTATCCGTTGTCATCCACCCGAACTCGAGAGATGTTTGCCAGGGGTCGAAGGAGATGGTGGTCGGACTGGCGAGGGAAGAGGGGGGGAGGACAAGAACACAGGGGGGCGCACACTGGGCCGTTGGAGCGGTCCAGACGGCGGGATCCAGGGTGATGGTGGGATACTTGCCCTGATTCCCGTCGTCGCCAATGGGTCGGCTGCCACAGACATCGGGGCAGTAGCCGTGTTCGCAGGCAAACTTGCAGAGGCCGTAGTCGTCCGTGGACGAGTCCAGGTAGTATCCCGTCACGTTCGTCTTGGGCGGTGTCTGAACCAAGATGCCGGTCGAGGTACAGGTGCAAGCGTGGATGGGGCAGAAGCCAAGATGGCATCCAAAGTCGCAGAGGCCCTGGAAGGCGCCAGCGCCGGTCCCCCCCGTGCATGCGGGCGGCAGGAAAGGCGAGTAGCCCAGGACGACGCCGTCGTCGGGAGTCTGACCGCAAACCGAGTCCGGGCAGTACCCGTGGTTGCAGTCGAAACTGCAGAGCCCCGCGAAGGAGCCGCTCTTCCCGGGGAGCGGATAGCCCGCCAGTCCCGTCTCGTTGGGGGCATTGGCCACGCCCTTCTTGAGGCAAGTACAGGCGGCGCTGGGGCAGCTAGATAGGGCGGGTAGGTCACAATGTCAGTGATGTTGATTGATACACAAACGGGCCGGGAATTGTAGGGTCGGATTGGGAAGCCATGTAATGTACTTACTAGCCATTCGCACAGGCGAAGTCGCAGACGCCGATGAAGTCAAACACACCGAAGCCCTTGACGCAATCCAACTTGGAAAGGTCGCCAGTGGTCGTGACTGGAATGATGGGGGCCCCCCTGGCACTCCCCACCCAAGGGTTGTAGTTGTTGAGGCCTCCATTGCAGCTGCTGGTGATGGACGCCCCCGTGATGGTGGCAATGGTCGTGCCCCCTCTCTTCACCGTCACCACGACTTGACCGCTTGCCATCCCGATCGGGACGCTGCCGTGGTATACACCAACGCCCCCGTAGGGTTCCTGGTCCCATCCGCCGGCCTGAACGACGCCGCCGATGCTGACTTGGACCTGGGCGTTGCTTGTGAGGAGCACGTCGTAAAAAACCCTGTCCTCCATCATGACGTTGGGCGAGTACTCGAACTGCAGCTGGTTCGCCGTGTTGCCAGTGGTGCCGCCATCGGAGCAGGCCCCGTTCTTGTTGACTCGGTACCATGCCACGAGGCGCTCTTCCGTGACGGTGGCGGTTCCGGACTTGTACATGGAGATGTAGTACGGGAGCGTCTCGCGCCAGCCGTCGTGGGGCATGTCCTTGACGTAGTTGAAAGGAGCACGGCCAATGTCGAAAGCCTCGTACTGGCGGTCGTCCAGGGGGCCGATATAGTGCGACTCGCCGTAGTCATTCCACGAAATGATCTCGATGAAGTCGGGCTGGCGGTCGAGGGAGATGGCCTGCTGCCAGCGCTGGAACCACATGTCGTCGCCGCGCCACAGCCAATTCTTCCCGTAGCCGGGCAGGTTGGTGTAGAACCACGGAGAGATAGGCATCATGTACGGCTTCGAACCCAAAAAGTCGTAGTACGAGGCGTCGGGATAGGTTGTCATGTTGGCCGGCCCCTTCGGCCAGGCGTCCCAGCTAAAGAGACCGTCGGCAATGCCGTCGCCCAGGTGGACGGCAGGCTGGGCACCGACAGATGACCAGTCGGGCATGAAGAAACAGTTGGTCTCCTTCTTGATATCCTTCCAGTCGTCAGCATTATTGGGACCCTCGAAGGTTGAGACGAATGGCTTCCCGGCCGTCTTGAAGTAGGTGTCTTTGGCGCCGTATTCCTTGATCATGTCGATGACGATAGACTTGTCCCAGGGGCCGTTGCCGGCGTAGTCGAATGAAAAGAGGAGCTGAAAACCCATGTCATCGGCCGCGGTGAAGGCCATGGGCAGGGCAATGTTGTTGGTGGGGTCCTTGCTGGCCATGTTCAGCACAAAGGCATCTATGCCTGCAGCTTGGGCAGCCTGCATCTCATGTCTCCAGTCGATCAAGCCAAGGGACTTGGTGTTGCCCACCTGCGCGGCGTCCGCTGTCGTTAGTCAACCCCTGGGCCGGACAGAGAGTGAGATGTGACTTACCATATAGTGAGCAAACACGGCCTTGGCTTCGGCAAGGCTCACGCCCCATGCCAACGCCGAAGCGAGGGCAGCCAGCAGCTTCATGGTGACTTGGTCTGACTGAGGGAAGCAGCCGGGCTGGAAGGATGTGCAAGCATATGAACCGAGCCTGCGGTCCTACCTCCTTCTTATACCTGCAAGCTACCTACCCATCACCCATGGCATCCATCATGGCAACTGCTCAACTGCAACACAGTCCACCCGAAAGCCCACATGGCAGGAGGCACACTCCGGCCTGAGGTGCTCCGCCCGGAGATTATTCTAAACCATAGAGCGCAAGTGGCCGGGGCGTCCACAGTCCAATTTCCTTAGCGCTTAAGACTACAGAGTAGTCCTCTTCCACAGAACTAATATCGGCAAAATAGTGGCGGCAATTTGGAATTCTGACACCTCCTGCGCCGCAACTCAGTTTAGCAACTTTCGGAAAGAACGGAAACCACAGCTTCTTGCCGGCGGGCTGATTGTGAAAACTGACGATGGCTATGAAGGGCACCTATGAAGGGCACTAATGGTTTAGCGACCTTCCTCCTTGGTACACCCTGGCACTGCAGCCTCTGGATGACTCGATCGGAGTCATTCGGAGTCATTCGGAGTCGTTGACCGTTCCGTCGAACGGTCGAACCCATGTGGGACGCTATCAAAACGTGTCTAAGCGATGCTTAGCTGCTGGTCAGGAACAATGGAGGCAATTTCGCATAGACTTGGTGCAGGAGCAAATGGCATTGGCGACGAGGGCGGCTGGCCGGCCGCTCTAAACTGTCTTCGGACCAGTGCGCGCTGGTGACTATGAGGCTACTGCAGATGTCCCCCGTTGTCACGTCTCCGGTGCAACGTTGAGCGGCCTGTTTACCGTAGTAGAAACAAACTAGAGGAGAAGGAGAGGTAACTAGCGATGTCTTGAGACTAGACTAGAGAAAGTCCTGAGAAAAATGAGGAAGAGGACTTGTGATGGGGACTGAACTAGAAGTCCAGGCAGGTACCACCAAACAGTCTAACTAGATATAATTTAGTAAGAGAGGCTACGAGGTGACCGTTCTTTAAGCCTCCACACTAGGTTCAATTAGTACTAGTAAGGTTCCATCGCTAGGAAAAGGGACCAAGAAAGGGCCGAGACAAATGGGCTCACTTGTTTTAGTATCCGTGCCTTAGGCGCCTAATTCCGGCCGCGCCGGAATTGGTGCTCCGCATCGGAATCGTAGTTTTGACCGGAATCATAATGTACCTTTTATATAGCATCACTATAAAAGGTACATACTCCCTAAGTCTAATATCTAGGGTATTTACTAAGGGGGACTATGTTATTATTATATAGATATATAAATGTCTATCTTTTATTACCATCTTTATTAATATTAAGGATAATTATAAGTGCTAAGATAGAATGATCTCTCTTTACTTTTTTCTCTAAGAAAGTGCATTTTGGAGGGAAATCTTATATTCTTATATCTCTCCTTTTTTTAGTCAAAATTCCTAAAAACCCTTTAATTATAAGATGTTTCCTCTTAAACTTTTAATATTACTATCTAAAATATAGTCACCCCTAGTAAACACCCCAGATATTAGACTTAAGGAGTATGTACCTTTTATATGGTGATGCTATATAAAAGGTACAATACGAATTCCGGTGCAAAAACACGAACCTGGTGCGGCGCACCCATACTGCAGAGCGGTATGGGTGAGCGTAAGGCACGGATACGGAGTAGAAGGTGACCAGTGCTGTGAACCTCGCATGATACTCACCTGCTCGCGGCTCGCGCGTGATTTGTGAGTGGCCAAGGCGCCATTCATCCTTCGCGGTGGAACTAGTGCAGATTCCAAATAGTGTTGTGCTTTCCTCGGACGGTGGACCTTGAGGGAAAAGCAATGCCAAGACCTTGATCAGGCCAGCGCTAAATGATCGAAATATGATTGGTGTTCCTGAGGGTCTGGATTCTTGGCAGTAAGGCAGCAACTCCTCGCTAGGCTGGATTGGAAGGCACCACCATGCCAGTTTAATTCCTTGCGGTTTAATGGCCAGGTATCACGTGATTATTGATGAGTAGAGATCACTGATAGGCTGCCGGCCCGTCGGGCCGTGGCTTAGGCTGCATCCACTCCGGCGGGGTGGGGGTGAGCCTGAGGCACGGATACGCAGGAACCTGGCCCCCCTTCAACCATTAATATTGACTATCATGGAGCATCTCGGTCAGTCAATTCTGACAAGTTTTGCCTCGCTTCCAGGTAATATTCCGAGTATTGCTCGTATCCACTCACCTTGCCCACCTTACCCACCCGTCACCCATGCTGTCTCGCGCCAGAATCATTTTCCGCAAGCTCCGTGGTAGTGGCAGCAGCCGTGGCAGCGAGCCCGCGCCATCAGCGCCGGCCGCGACAGCAGAGAGTGAAACTGACGACCCACCCCCTCGCGCCCTCCATATCAGCGACTGGAGGCGGTCAGCCACCGAGCAACGCTACCATCGCGGTCAGCAGCACATGGAAATTATTGTCGTGAATGCCAAAGGCGCAGCCGATGGCACTCGTCTTTACGAAGTATGTGCCCAGTGTAATATGCTCTGAGAACCCCCAGCTGAGCTTACCCTGCGTGGTTCATTAGCTACTGGGGAGAGAGAAGGATTTTTGGCCCGAGTTCGACGTTACATTGGACGACTCTGGCACAGATTTCGTTTGTAATGGTTACCTCTACAATGTCCACTTCACCTCGGCCAGCGGTCTGGCGCGTTATTCAGCGATGCTCTCGCTCTATCAGCATATCCCCCTCATCTTCACATATGATGCTTCATCAAGGGAATCATGGGACGAAATGGTCACCGCGTATGAGAGCATGCGCAGCCGCTGCAAAGATGGGATCCACCCCTTTCTTGCGATAATGATTGCCGCTATGGGTGAAGGTGACGGTCAATTCCCTGTGTCGCATGCAGAAGCCGAGGCGTTTGCAGCCCAGCGGGACTGTCTATTTGTCAAGGGCTCACCCACAACTGGGCGCGGCCTTTGCGATGCAGTCTGCTCACTAGTTGAGCTGGCGTACGGCGCTCGTGATCAATATACTACGGATCAGAAGGATTCTCCCCAGAGGTTAAAGAGGGCGAACGCAATTGCGGCATTATTCCCACCTAGGGATGCCTAGCTCAAAAAAAGACTGGATAGGACCGGTGCGTTCGGGTAAGTGAGAGAATGGCCAGGAGATTAGGCGCTGCTAAATATATTGAGTGCTCTGCTCAGAATCAATGCAATGTGAAGGAGGTCTTACAAGCGGACGCTTCTCAGACTTGCGACACATCCAACGTATTCTTGAAAGCATTCATGGACTGATAATACTTGATTGGACCAGGAATCTGTGCTTCCTTAGAGCCAATGACTACTCCACAGGGGATGAGCACATGCGTAATTCTCTAAAACATTATGCTTTTAGGAGGGAAGTGCTGGATCGTCGAAGTCAAATGAGTTCCACTCGTTTAATGATTTAACTATTGGGCTACCAGCAATTTTTGTGCAACCTTCATCCTCAAAGCCAGCACAGGCGTACATGCAGATATACGGTGCTGCAGCACCTTGTTTAGTCCTCGACCAGGCACAAAAGGTCACCTTCAACTGCCCGCTGCTGGCAAAAGAATCCGTCGCCGTAAGGGTTGGTCTTGCTGTCATCCGTGTACTGAAGGGGTATAGCATCGCACTCGCGAACTTCGATTTTCATCCCATCAATCTCAGGATCGATTCTCAAGGAGAAGACATGTTGATGATTATGAGCTATGACCCCGCGAGCTACCTCCGTCCCATATGGATTTGCCGTCTCAGAAGAGTGTAAGCAGTAAGTATTCAAAATCTCGATCAACCTGACCTCTTAGCTTGTAGGTACCGTCAAGTGTGAATGTATGATAGGAACCGTAGTCATAGTTCGCGGCTGTGACAATCTGAGAAATGATCAGTCTCCGTGCTGAGATTGAGCGAGCATCTCGGAAGTCCGTATCTTTGACAAGCAACCCATTATCCTCCTCGTGAATGCAGATAGCATTCTTCACAACGACCGGGGCGCCCTGCTGGTCAGATATCCCCCCGTCGAGATATTGGATGGCACCTTTGCAATTGCATCCCAGCCTAAATGAGTTAGCCATCAGCCCCATGCCGTGTTCACCAACGTCGAATGCCTGCTTCCGATGGTGAGGTGGTTCGGGACATCCATAGGGGACCACCATCTCCGCAACACTGAGCCGGTAGAAGAATGTCGAAAAGCGTTAAAAATTTTTTTTTTTTTTTTTAAAAAAAAATTAAAATAAAAGTAAATATACTAAAAATTAAAAATTTCAAAGGGATCATCAGGCGTTTCAATGACCTACTGCGTGTTGAAAGGCTAGCCTTGTCAAGACTGTTCAACCAGGCCTGTTTCTGGAACCCGTGACGCCGTCTAGGCGACAGCTACTGACTGTTCTCAAATATCAGCCGATGATCAGAAACTTGGCAATCTCGAGGAACTCGACTTTGAATAGCTGGTCTTCTTTCGGCATGGGGTCGTATATAGCGTCGCTGTGTCGAGTGACTTTGTCTTGTTTGGACATAACTAGGCTGCGGCAACATCCGCGACGTATCCAAATCCGCATATCCAAATCCGCATATCCGTGGATATGGATGTAATCTAATATCTCCATATCCGCAACGATACGATATGGATAGTAAATGGTATCCGCAGTGTGGATTTGGATATTTTGCGGATAGGCAAACAATATAAACATGGCTAAATCCATTACTGCATAATTTATGCATGTTTTGTTTGTAATTTATCGTTCTAGGGGTGTATAGGAAAGTCACCTTTCGGAATCCAAGTATCAAGGTATAGAGTCGTAGTATAGACTATAAGACAAATTATAGAAACAGAGATACTACTTGAAAGTCTTCTATTAGGCTATGTGACTATGGTTTGATAATTTCATAATCCTCGAACCCTCTTGGAGCCTTCCGAGATCTCTTAGATCCCCGCGTCAGTATGTCATTCTGGGGTAAGGGATGTTCAGTCTCGTCATCTAACTCATGACGCTGCTCTACTAACTGTCCTTCTCTTTGGCCCCCTTCCCTAGTTCCTGTACATTGTCGCTTACTTGGCCGATGTTGTGTTTCAGTCTGAATATCACCAGCATCATCTTCTTCATCATCACTGACGGGCTCAAAATCCGCCTGTAGCTGAAGAGGAGCTCTTTCCTCCTCTATAGCAGCAACCTCACTAGCTGGAAGATACTCTTCCATTAGTTCTAGCTGCTCTTGTTCAAGCTCAAACTTTGATGTACACATCCACATCATCAAGTCTTTGATCGTGCAAGATTTAAGATGGCCGCGGCGATAGTGACAGATATCACGAGCAGAGTTGAAAAGACGTTCCACACCAGCCCCACTAGCTGGGATGGCAAGAACATCCCGAGCAAGTCTAGATAGTGCTGGGAACTCGTGCTCATGCTCTTTCCAGAAGGCCCTTGGTGATATATTAACTGTGCCTGTTATCTGACGTTAGTAATAAGTCATGGAGTTATTAGTCACTACTAACCACTCTCAAGATATTTCGTAAGCTCGTCATTATCCATGTTTGATCGAGAGCAGTGAGATCTGATTCCCTGCTGTGAGGCCCTGCTTGAAACTAGCATTTCGATCTGAGATAGGTTTCCAGATGATAATTGAGTGCTTGGTGGTGTTGGTAGATCAGCAAGCTGCTTGGTGTACTGCTCAAGGTAGTCCATAAGACTCTTATGATACCGTTCACGCCAGCCACCCTCCCACTCTCTTGTGGAAAAGAATTGAAGCTTATTTGAAGGGGCAATAATTGTGCCAATTGCAAAGATATCACTATGCATCTTATCAGTCTCTTTATAATAGAATGAGAGCTTGGCCTTTGCTGCTTCGAGTGCATAGAGCATTGTCTTTTTCCAAGAAACCCTTTTACGTTGAAGTTGGCGTATGAACTTCTCGAGATTGTCAAAGAGATTGTTATAGATACCAAAGATAAGATGAATGGTGTTGGTCCCACCAGCTAGGGTCTGTGTACACAGTTAAGTGAACAGGTTGCTTTGAAGCGAAAGTGTATATTCGTAGATAGATGTATGTTCTCAGTATCAGCGTCGGTTCAGGATGCCCCTGAATCCCAGACGCTGATTAGCGTGAGATTATGTTATCAGTTGCTAGTCCTAATACATGAGTAGCGCATACTCAGGCCACAGGCAATGCCAATGATTGGCATGGCCATAGTAGCAAGAGTGAATATGTTCCGACAGATATGTCTTTTAACGATTTGTTGGGCGGCCGAAAATTCACTAAGTAAGGTTGCTCTGGAGAGAAAGTGTATGAAATAGAGAAGTCATAAAGAACTGTATCATAGAAGTCACCCGGGAGCCTAAAATGTTCATCTTTCACATCACCATGAGTGATTGCAAGGCTGTGCAATGTTAAAAGACGGTGGCAGCGGTCTGCAAGTAGAGAACAATAGAACTCTTTTTCAAAATCACTTAGATTTAGGTTTATATTTTGAAGCCGTCGCCTTAGGCTTTCAATGCGTCCAGTTCCGTTGTGATTGTGTGCTGCCAGGATACGTCGAGAAGCCAACTCTGGCTTAATAGCTTTGAGGATAATCGCCCGGCGGTTAGGATAGCCAGAGCGAAAGTCGGATCTGTCAAGGTCGGTGACCACACCATAGAACCGGGGGAAATAGATCTTCCGTGCATTGTCACAACACTTCTCAATGCGTTGAAACACTCGGGCTTCATTCAGAAAGGGGTCGAGTTCATTCATAACTACTCTTGAACCCCGGTTGCGTAAGTCTGGAACGCGCTGGAGCTGGAGCTGGGCATCATGTTCAGTGTATTCAGGGAACTCACTTGATATCAGCGTGAAGTATAAAATATTTTTGCTGGGGGGCTACTCACCACCTTGGCCACGTACTTGCGCACCGTTCTTCCATGGTACTTGATAACTAGCCATAGCACTTGAATAACATCCTGACCTCTGCGTCTACCAGTAGCTACTGGTTCCCACAACAACCACTTTTCCCTATCCAGGTGGAAAGGCTTGAGGTCCACTTGAGTTTCATAGTCGACTTTGCTCAAGGTGGGTGTACTCTGGGAGAAGAAAAAGTCTGTCCAACTTCTGGCATCCCTATAGGCCATTCTCATAAGTCGTTGAGACTTAAGACCGCAAGGAGAGAGGGATGAGGAACCGATTTCAATGGTGGTTGTCCGTCACGTGAGCAGTTCTGCTGGACAACTCCGAAATGCAAACACGCTGTAATACCAGGGTGAATAAGGAGCAAGACCAATCGTGGGGGAAGAAGCTGGGAGGAAGGGAATTTGCAGTGCTCCTGTAAACCGATGTTGTTGGACTCTTTAGGTGTTTTATATAGGTGTGTGTGTGTGTGTGTGTTTCTATCTAACGGCTGTGGAATCCCCGATTGGGGCAAAGGCCGCCAGGGGGTGAACCCTGGGTGTCAACGGTCTATATACAGCGTCACAGACTATATACAGACTTTTCGTAAAAGGAAGAGACTCATTGGCGCTTTTACATAGCTGCCGTGGTCGAAAAGGAGGTCGGTGTACTGAAATTCTTCCCAACCAAAACCCTATATCCCAGGTCCCTCACCCCGCGGTGTTGCAGTTCCTTGAGGTAGCCACTCCCTCAAGTATATAGAATTTTGATGGCATGGAGGGAAAAACAACCCAAAACCCAGTAGGCAAAAGGAAAAAGAACCTCCACAAGCGCCGATAACAAATAGTCGGAGGAGCGGTAGTGATCCCGCTCCTAAGGGGCTCCGAGGAGCAGTGTTGTTGGGGTCTCCAAACGAAGATCCATGATGTGGTCGCTCACGAGGAGCGAAGGTCATAGGCCCGGAGGCCGATGGAGATGGGCAGGAGAATCCACGCGGCCGGCCGATAGAGGAAACGAACCGAAAGGCGTCAGTATCTGTTCGTGGAGTGCAAGCGCTCTCGTGTCTGGCGTCGAGCGTTCGGTCGAGTTCAGGTCGCCGCGGCATTCGAGTCCATCCCCGAGGGATGGTAGGTTCACAAGGAACCCATAATGGCCGCTCTGCTCTTGGCCATCACCACTTGGGTGATGTTACCAGGCTGCACCACGAGGAGGTGGCAGAGTCGGACTTCGCAGCCCTGTTTTATATAGGTTGCTGGCAGGAGAGTGGAATGGCACCGCGTGATAATGCTGGGCGTCACGTGCCGAAGATGATGTTGGGCACTAAGCGGCCCCGCATCCTCTCAAACTTATTTGTATGCGTCCTGGTCTTTGGAGGATAGCAATGGCCTGGTTGCTTCCGCTGCTTCGATCATGGCGCACATAGCACTCAATGATGCTGCTAGAGCCATTCTCAAAGAAGTGAAAAACCTCATCGCAAATGAACCCGAAATCAAGGAGGAAAAGCTTGGTATGGGACGTGTGTATGGTGGTGTTGTCCTGACGAAAATCGACGAGCTGAAATCAGAGCTAGAAATTGAAGGCTACAAGGTATGTGTAATCGCATTTAATCAACAGAATCATCCAATAACAGTTTTAGATCGTTCAGTGCAACATTTTCCATTTCCTTCGTGGTGCGAACGTTCGAAATCCTACAACTCGACTCCTTCTCATTCCCATAAACGGAAAAGCCACACTAAGTAAAGGTGAACCTTTGGTACAAGAAGAAGCCTATTTCATTGAGGACAAGAAGGAAAATGAGGACAAGGGAAACGCCGGAGACAATCGAGTACCACTCTTCGGAAACGAGTTGGATGTTATTATCGCCGTGTTGAAAGCAGACGTGGAGAAATAACATAAGAAGAGTTTCCTTGCTTTTCCAGAGTACAATAGTCGCCAAATAGGACTTCGACAGTCATGGTTCGTGGATTCTTGCCCAGATCTCGCACTTGTCAGTTGCAGTAGGCGAAAGTGTTGGCACGCTATGATCCGGAGGCGTCGATGACGAATGTGGGGTGGTGCCAGGGAAATGCGGGTATTCGAGAGGGTCGCAATCCCCAAGGACATGTACTGCCGGAGTATCAAGCACAGATTCAATGGAAGATGTGACTGGAGGATCCGGGAAATGTGGGTATCCGAGCGGGTCACATTCACCAAGTAAATCTGCTGGAGGATCAAGCAAAAGTTGATACTCAGCGGAATCAGTGTTTTGCGGAAGATGTGGAAAATGCGGGTATCCGAGTGGGTCACATTCACTGAGGAAATCTACTGTGTGATCAAGTCCAGATTGATACGCGGTAGAATCGGTGACTGGTGGAAGATCTGGGTGATAATCAGCTGGGACGTTCTCTGGTCCTGCTTGGAGTTCTCTGGTATCACGGCAGGACTCCGCTGGGGGATCAAGCCCAGATTGATACGCGGTAGAATCGGTGACTGGTGGAAGAACAGAGTGGCAATCAGCTGGGACGTTCTCTGGTCCTGCTTGGGATTCTCTAGTATCATAGCAGGTCTCCGTTGTCCTCGGTCGCTTCCTTGGCTCATCGGGCGGTGGCTCAGCGAAAGCCCTTTTAGAATGTGAATACTGATTAATCCTCTCTGTTTAAGCGTTAGCGACAGAATTTGAAGTCCAGACCAGACTGACCCTCATACACGGCCTGGCACTCCTCCATCCATTTCGACTTATCATTGGCCAGACCATGCCAACATTTCGACCGTTTGATCTTTTCAGCCAAAAGAGGCAGAAAACGATACTGTACCGCACGAAACTGTTGATTCGCAAAAATAAGAAAGCTTGAGACACCCTCACTCCCATAGGTCTTCTCGAATACGCGATATTTGATGCCCCGCAGAATGGAGTCTCCCGCCGCTCTTTTGCTCTTGAAAAGGCTGTTGCTGGTTACGTATTCCTGAACATGATGCTGTCGATTATTTGAATCGGGGTGAAGAACTAAGGTGTCCACTCTGGAAGTCCCGTACTCTTCCTTCTCCCATAATAAGTATGTGTCGGCCAGGGACCGCCGCGCTAGGCCAGCTCGAAGCCTGGCTTCGTTAGTACAACGCTTAGATGCCAACTGGATATCAACGATTCGAGGGTCCTCTTCTGGCCAATCTGTCGAAGTCTGTATCGCATCCTTCGCTGTCGAGGAGATGTACTTCAATATCAGGTCTTTCCTCTTATCCAGAGTCTCAAGAACCCGTAATACTTTACTCTCATCTGCTCTTTCCGATTCTGTAGCCTTCTCAGCTTGAAGTCGACTCTGTTCGGGGATACATGGAGACCCGGAAATTGAAGCATTTGACCCAATTTCTTGAAAGATCGGAGATTCAGGCAGTTCATTTACAGCAGGACTTTGGGAGCCAGTGCCAACCATGGCTGGGCCCTATGCCTGTTAGCTCAAGCCCGAAGCCAGTTGACTGTCATACGAAATGCTCCTTACTCTTCCTGAGGTGCCTAATGTCGAGGTATTGCTTTCATTAGAAAGCAGCTTAGTGGAGCCACTGTTGGTTTCATTTGTCGTGGGGACAGCTTTGAGGAGCTTTTGGATGTTGATAAATGCAGCTTTCAATGCACTGCGATGAGAGAGAACATCAATTTTTTCTAACTCTGATATTCGAAAGAAGAGCTAGAGCCTCCAGGACTGACTGGGAGGGAGCCATATCTTGATGCGTAGTATATGCTTAAGAAGAGAAGGGCAACACACTGGCGTTATAGAGAGGTTACCAGGTTAGTCCGCGTGACTGATGACCCCTGTCAGTTCTACGCGTCACGAGCTTCATGTTGGAAATTGTGAAATTGTTACCAACTCAGATGGATACTAGATACTACATGTACATGGCGGGTTCTGCTAGTTAGACATAGTATCTAGAACAGGCTTCTTCGCTGTTATGCATTCTTCTTAGAGCAAGTCGCTTTCCCTTACATCACACTGATCATCGTAGTAGGAAGCGTGTAGTTTCAACATCTGTTGAGGTACTTTTGAAGAAAGGGGATTCAGAACAACGTAGTGGGAAACCAAATGATTTTAAGATCCTATCATCCGCCTAGGTGTGCGAACAAGTCTCCTGCATTCATTGGCAGCCATACTGTCTGAACATGAATGACATGGACAGAATCACGGAGTGATTCGAAATATCTAGTGTCCGACCTTGATATTAACGGTGCAGGGTCCAGGTGCTTCGAAAAAACTATCTCAGACTTGCCGGCGCAAGTGAGAGACTCGTTGGTCTGCAGGATGTCTGGAGAATCTAGCAATAAGGTATCTTATGTCAAATAAGGCCTGTGAGCAGTTCGCTTGTGAGCGATATTAGTTATTATATATGCCACATCTCTTTTGATTTCATGAGAGAACTCGACGGTTAGCATTCACTACGCGCCAATTCAAGCAACTATTTAATACCCTCTCACTCTTGTGTCCGTCTTGGTTTGACCGACATCTATCTGATCCCCCATCCTCCTATCCACCACCACTGGGAGCGAAGCCCGCAATTGCAGAGTGTTGGGCATCAACCACCACTTCGCCGCAACGAGCTATGAAGCCGTTCGTCCCTATGGAACATAGCCAAGGCGAGCGCGCGCCTGTTGCATGCGGTTAGTACTCTGCTTTGCCAATTTCGGCAGTTGTTCTTGGTCCACTTCCTTATGCCACAGTTTCAAGTGCTCTGCCGAAGGCTCAAACAGAGATGTATCCATAACGCTCGGGGACAATGCGAACACTGCATTTTGCGGTGGGAGGACTGCCAATTCTTGGGCACTGGACAGGAAGAGACCTTGAATGCAGAGATGGGGTCTCCAGTTGAACAGTCTATATCAGGTGGGCACCAATGGCCTTAGGGCACGTTGGAGCTTCTAGTTGACGATAGTATCTCGCGGATGTTCAGCGTCGGTTGGCGCCTCCGCTCTCCAGGGTGTGTACGTATCCTACCCGCGGTTGACGGCAAACATGTTGCGAGCTGGGATGATTACAACTATGATCCCCAGTATTGGGAGTGGGACACATGCTTCGATGCCCACCTTTGATATAGCCGCGACGTATCCAACCACCGACGCGCTTGGGGAGTCGATAGCCCACGGCCCGACGAGAAGGGTGGTGGATCCCCTTTGGCCTCTTACTAGTGGCCAAGTTGATCCGGGAGTTCCTTCTCTACCAGACTCCAAGGGACGCCGATGTTTGCCTCGGACCCGTCAGTAGGTGTAGGGTATCCGGCACGGCAGACAGAGAATATGATGCCCCAGAACGGCTTTAACGCGGTTAAGGAAGAAATGTCACCTAGTTATCCCGTCTCCGGGTATGCAGCAGTTGAGCAACCCTTGCCGTTTCTGCCTGGGGACTGTACAACCTGGGAGCATGTACCGGTACGCGAAGCACATTAGCATGAGAATCTTGACTAAATTTTTCAGACGTCCCTCAAAATTCCATTCGAGCATTATGCCATGATGTACCTTGACCACTTGGGTCAACTCGGCGTGGTCGAGTCTCCTTCTATCCAGGGACACGGGCCCATCTTCACTACCGAAGCACAAAATAGGTTTATGGAAATATTGGAGCGTTCCGAGCAACGACGTCGTAAGTCTTTGGTCTGCTCTATGATAACAGTTCCCGCCCGTTTTATTTCCCAGCTAACAAGCTCGGTATTAGGAGCGCCTACTACTCCCTGCGGGTACGGTCAACCCCACGACACGGCCTACCATCACGAGGTGAAATGTGTCAATGCTTCTGTTGATAATTCTGAGTCTCCTGTATCGTTAGAGCGCTTTTCGCAGCCCTTTCAGGAGACTTCAGAATCATTTACGGAGAAGGTTTTGATGATCGGAGATACGGCAAAAATAGTCGCGTACTACGAGTCTTGTTTCAAAGAATTGAGGCAGAAAAACTGCACGCTAATTGCCAAAGCTTTCATTAAGTTCATTGAGCCAAAGAAAAGGGCAAAGCACCCGTACAAGGGTCTCAAACGTCTTAAAGGTGATCGACAGAGCACGAAGCCGGATTGGTGGCCTTCTGATGTTCCTCACAAGGAACCAGACCATCTGCTGAAGGACCGTAAGTTGTTCGGTGCGCAACTTGCTCCATGAGGCGCTTACAAGTTACGGCAGAGCGACTTCGCCTCTTGATCCACATCTTGCGAAACCTTGGCGGGCGGAGAATAACTTCTCACAAACTGCAAGTCGTCGCTGGTGATTATGCACGGCAGCTACATCCAAGAAAGGAGATCGAAATGAAGATGAAGATCCTTAACAATATCTTCAAGGTCCGGGGGCTTGAAGAGCAATATGAGTGTCGGAAAATCGGTCTGTCGCTCTAGAAGCTGAAGACGCACAACGGAACGAAGCTGATTCATGCCAGATCCGTGCACCCGTATATACATTGACAACGACCGCACAATTTTTATAGAGTTCGGAGGTCATGAGGCGACCAGCGACGCGAAAGAGGAAGTTGCGTCTGAAGAGCTAGATGATCTTTAGGAATGGATACCCCCCGAGCCGACATCATCTCGCAGCATCTATATCAGGCGCACGAACAACAGCCTCAGTCAATTTGGTCGTTTGCTCTAAAGAAGTAGAGTTGGTGTATATACAGAGAGGGCTCTTACTACAAGAACTAGAACCTCTACTGCCTTTACTACCACTACAGCCACTAGCACTAGCACTAGCACTAGGACAACCACCACCACTGCGACGACTACTACTACCGCCACAGCGACCCCTACAATCTGCTTCTGCTGTAAGACCAATCAACAGCCAGCAAGCGGTGGACTTCAAGGGAGCTGCGACCCGGCGACATCTTCTACTTGTACTGGGTCTGGCAACACAAACCGTTTCTGTTGTAGCGGTGTGACTTGTACTCCCGCATGAGCACTGCTAAATGTGGCAGTTGAGTCTGTCGAATACTGGACCAACTCGGACAAGCAATCCTATTGGGGACAGACATGCCAATTGAAGAAGTTGATGGTTATTTGCTTTTTGGATAATTCATTTCTCAGATAGTTTTAATACTGACCAACACGTTCTCTTCTAAACTAATCTTATCCATTCATAGAATATTTAATCCCTACAGAAAGTACTAATTAGCAAGGATCCCTAGTCACTTACAGGTATAACCTATGGGAAAAGAGAGTGTACAGTAGATCCTTTGTTGAATTACCTGCCTTCTCATTGTACGACGAGCTTCGACGTCAGAAGGAGCCGAAGCAACTCGAAAGGCTCGCAGGGTCGAGTTTCAAACCGCCAAACAGCCGTGTCCAATCAGTACTCGGAAGAACCACGCATTATCTCTGTGTTTGAGAGATCACTCCAGAGTCCAGAAGTTCAAGAACACGTCAAGTTAGCTGTTCTGAACAACCTCATTCAAAACCTTGCTCTTCTGACGTTTCATGAGACGCAAGGCTACTTAAAAGACTAGCCCTCTCACTCGCTTACAGATCAATGGAGATTGGCTACCATGGTTGCCTGTTATTGTCGGAGTAAAATCGCCCGGCTCCCTAATCCTGATATTTACTTAAAAGTTGCATTCAGCATCCTGCGAATCGTGTCCAGCCCATGGTTGGTTGTGAAACCCAGCGTCTAGACTGGATTCGATGTCGTAGTTTGAACTAGCATTAAACCATTCTGACGAAGACAAACTCGTGAAAGTACTCAAAGCTACGATCTCAAACTGGGGGAATATTGGTCGACGCTTTTCCTACGCCGAGGAAGGCCGTACCGCAGTCTTGACTGTCTCTCGGGCACTTCCGCGCTTGTTGACTGCCACTTGAGCGCCACAGCTTGAACGGGGCTGTTCGCAGGCCACCGTCAGACAGGAAGGGGAGCTTTCCTTCGCATTGTGAATGTTCTCTTGATTTGACCAAAAACAATGCAGGTTACGTACGAAATTGGCCTATCTGTTGAATGTCTACAAGCAGGATTTAGTGGAAGTTAGCACTGAATTTGGAAAATGTAGCAATATCCAATATTCCAAATACCCAACTGTGTTACATTGAGCGCCAGTGCCAACAGTTTCGGAGAATAGGCCTGCTAGTACAGGATATGGGTCTTAAGCCTAGTCTGTATCGCCAAGGCCCTAAATGGACCAGGGTAGACAGGCAGTCAGGCACTGAGAGAATGAAGGAAGAAGATTGGTCCGGAAAACAAAACTACGCGACGCCAAGAAAAGCTAAATCTAACCGATGGCTTACCAAAGCTTAGTCCCAACACCTCCTCAGTGTCTGGTTGCTCAGTTCTCACACTAATAAGTAACTCTCTTCCTGGACGGCCGGACTAGTCAACTGGTGCTATTACTAGCCCATGGCTCCTGCACTGTGAACTACGTCCCTAGCTATTCTTAATCAATTAGACCTCAGCGTCGGGTAGAGCGGCATCTCTGGTGATATGAAAGGGGCAGTGCATCTGGTTAAAGGCTAAGTCGCATTAGTTGGTGGGGGTGAAATAGAAGGAAAGGGGGAGGCGATAAGTCTAGGTAGCAAGTTAAATTCTAAAGATCTTATCCTATGGTCTACCTCTAACCGACCTTTCCACATAATTTCAGGGTCAGCCCGCTATCTCTAATTAACCAACCCCTACAACATTGCGGCGTAGTAATACTGAGCCTTAGTTTATAGGGTCGCGCACGAGCCACCGTCAAAACTTTTGATGCACACCTCCGTCCGTGCCTTACACTCACCCACACCACTTCTGCTCCGGCGAGGCCGGAGTGGGTGCGCCTAAAGGCACAGATAGGTGGAGACTGGAGAGCCAATTATGGCCCCACGCAAATCACCGGTTGGGCTTCGACCCTTGACCCACAACCCGCCAAGAAATTTAAAGGTAATATCATATTATTTATATTGGATATGCTTTACATGCTGAGGTATATTACAACTCTTATTCTGTAATATACAGGCTCATGGTTTCTTGGCGGGTTTGCGGGGAGCTTACAGTGATAGGCCTGTGAGACCTAGCACAGTTTTAGTCAGCAGAGAGTAGGCAGTCACTTGACATAAAGATAAAGCCAACACTCATTCACCACAATGTACCTGATTGCTCACTCCCACACTATAAGCCATCTCAAAATCCCATCCACACCGCTGCTAGATGATGAAATCAACTTTCCTACACTTCCTGTATCTTTGCGCCGCCACACTAACTGTCCTTGTTAACGCCAAACCCACGCAGCAAAAATCTCTCGTTGGCGTGGACGTTATGTCTAGACTGCGGCATATCCGCGGATATCAGATAGCAAATGGTATCCATATCGTATCCACGCGGATACCAGATACCTAAGATGCTGTCTTTATCTGCATCCAAATCCGCGCGGATACGATGCGGATATCTTGTTATTATCCATACTAGCATAATTCTCTCCAAATTAACCCGATCTAGCCTGACACATGATGCATAACCTGCTGAATAAGATCAATAACTAACTGTTATTTACGTCTGTTCTGGTCGTGACAGGCTTGACGGCACCACGCAGCACTTTTGCCTGATACTATCCTCCAACATGTACAAAATATATATCCGTGTCGATGCTGGCTACGCTGGATTTGCTGGATCTGCTGGCTCTAAACCAGAACTTCTGGTGGATTGATTGGTTCAGCCTTCTTAAACTACATTGCCTTACCAATATTCCTCAAATACAGCTCTTATTGTAACGGGCAAGTGCCCGTAGGGTGCTCGAGCCCATCGAGGTCATATCGAACTCATATATCTATTTGATAGCCTGATTATGTGGTTTGAATATACAGAACTCTTGCTTTCATGGTAAGCTTGTGGATATATGCGGATATCTATCAGATATCCGTGGATAATTATACGACATCTGCAGGATATCTGACGGATATCCATGGGTTATTACACGATATCCAATGGATATCATGTAGGTAACCACACTAATATTACTAGTAAACCAATCAGAACAGAAGATAATCTAGGAAAATAGACCTGTCTAATCTACGCGTGTATCCTTGTAACCCCCAGATTTTGTTATCTACCCCTCGAATTTTCCCTCTAAAGGCTTTGTAAGTTTCTTACCTTTCTCTTATTCCTAACTCATGGTATTATCCTTACATTTAAGATGTCGCAAAGCCAACAATCTCAATTCTCTGATTCTTTCTATGAACCTGACTTCCTACAATCAGATAATACACAGCATATCGCTGATAGTCAGCGTACTATCATCTCCACATCAGACTCAGACTTCATCTTCCCACTACCACGGCCCCGCCCCCCTGAGACCCTCACACGTGTTGGGCCTAACTTTCGCAAACATTGGATCCTTTACTCTGATATGTCAAAGGATGACTTTGTAAGATGGTGGCTACAGACAGACTTCGGATCAAAGAAGGAGCTACAGGATACAATCCACTGGGATGGGAAAAAGAGCTCATTAAGTCATTATATTGGGAGCAATTTCATCAGGTTGCAGATGAAAAAACTGGCCAGCCTAAGGTTATGTGTAGACACTGCTGCAGTGTTCTTGTTCACCCAGGTCATCGCCGAGCAGGGTTATCTCCAATGAAAGCGCACCTTAAAGGAGCTGCCTGTCAGCGTACCGTACCTAAACAGCAGAAGGGTATAGACCAGCTTATCCAGAACTCGGTTAGTATAAGGCCCTGGTATAGTTCATCAAGTATGCTCACTTTACTCTTATTTAGCCTCAGCGTTCTCCTCAAAGGCTATATAGTCAAGAGCTTTTCATGGAGAAGCTACTTAATATGGTTGCTGTTGGGCGTCTTCCCTTTCGATTCAGTGAGCGTCGCGAGCTTGATGAGTTTATTGATATTGTGCGACTTGCACCATGAAAGCCAAAACTCCCCTCTAGCAGGACCCTTCGACGATATCTAGAGAAGAATGTCAAAGAAAAACAAGCAACTCTCCTCCAGAAGCTTCCACCAAATGGGAAGCTTTCAATTGCACTTGACTGCTGGACATCACCTTTTAACCAGGCATTCATGGCAATCACTGGCTACTTTATTGACCAAGAATGGAACTACTGTGAGATTCTTCTTGGGTTTGAACCTCTTCATGGTACGCATAATGGAAGCAATCTAAGCTCAGTTGTCTTTGACGTCCTCCAAGAGCATGAGATCACCAACCGCATATTATCAATTACTACTGATAATGCATCAAACAACAACACTATGATGGTGAGATTGCAGGAGTCGATCCAGTCTCAGGATATTGGTAGTAATGCTACGATTATCCGAATCCCATGCATCGCCCATGTTATTCAGCTTAGTTTGAATCAACTGCTTGGAAAGATGAAAGTGAACCCAGTCAATGATTCTATAGAAAGGGAATGGTCCGATCAAAGTATGCAATCTCTCCAGAAAAAGAGTGATTCAAGTGGAATTGTGGATACACTAAATAAGGTATGATATACTATTATACAAAACTCTTATTTTACTAATAAGAAGAAAGGTTCGACGACTTGCTACCTTCATCAATGCAAGTCCACAGCGAAAAGAGGCATTTCTGAGTCTTCAAACTACAGAGCCAAAGCTTGTTCCCTGCCAGGATGTCCGTACTCGCTGGAATTCCACCTACTTGATGCTTCGCCGAGCCAAGCAACTACAGTCTGTCTTCGATGAATACTGTACAATGCATCAGTATCTCCAGTTTAAGCTTAATAAGGAAGAATGGCGCCAAATCGAGTATCTGCTCTGGATTACCCAACCTTTCTTTGATTACACCACTGCGCTCTCTACAACGAAGGAGGTCACCATTTGTCGGAACATATTCACTCTTGCTACTATGGCCATGCCAATCATTGGCATTGCCTGTGGCCTGAGTATGCGCTACTCATGTATTAGGACTAGCAACTGATAACATAATCTCACGCTAATCAGCGTCTGGGATTCAGGGGCATCCTGAACCGACGCTGATACTGAGAACATACATCTATCTACGAATATACACTTTCGCTTCAAAGCAACCTGTTCACTTAACTGTGTACACAGACCCTAGCTGGTGGGACCAACACTGATCAGTGGTTGATTACAACCACAGAACAGCTCGGTTTACACGACCTGGAAGAGACATTAACCGCAAGGGAACGGGGAAACGCTTGCAGTACCCTCATTGCGGAAGGTGTGCTAAAGGATATCAAAGTATCTTATTGGGAAACGCATGCAGTACCTTTAAGACACAGAGGATATCTAAAAGATCTACAGTTGAAACCGCAACGAAGATCTGCGTCCATCACGCGAACAACGCGTTAACGGGAAACGCTTGCAGTACCGTCACGACACGCAACCCAACACATTCATTTCTTCAATACATTTTTATTTATCTTTTATCCATTTTGCTCACAGTTACTTTCACCTAGACAACCATGATTTCCATCCCGAACGACCTCACGTACGCTATCGATGACACAACATGGGGCAAATCCATTGATACACTCAACGAGGAGAATCAGACAGAGGAAAGACTGAACGGTTATATAACATGTATGGTGCGGGCATGGAATACAATGCCTCTTACCGACCTTGCCCTATGGAAGGACTTCCAGGATGAGTTTAATGGATGGACTCTCGACACATTCAAGGTGGTGAATAAAACTGTATTAAAAATGCTTCGACTTCACCTCACTACACACGGAGTATGGATCAGGGTAGGTCCAGGGATATCTTTCGCGAAGGGACTATACGACTGCCTCCAAGAAGTCACTCAGCACGAATGGACCAAAGAGGACATCGAGGACCATCTGAAGGAGCACCCAGACAACTTCAACTCTAGATGGAACCCTACACGCCAGTCACAGATCACCCAACCATTGATTATACAAGCTACTACGGCGAACCTACCGGATCCTCAAACTGCGCAAACTGTGATGAAACCATCCATCGAACCTGCCAACGCGAGGTGGAATGAAGACAGACCCACGACACTTGATAAAGCCCAGATGGATGATCACATCCAGCAACAGTCCCGTTACACCAGATTTCAACAAAGCCTGCAGGATACACCAATGCCGAAGGCGATTGAAGCAATGACAAGGCAATATAACAACACAGATGACAAGTATGGTGGAGGACCATATGATGATCTGAACACAAAATTGCTCAAGTTCTATGATATCTGTGGCAAGATTGGTCTACAAGAGTATCAGTTCCATATTACATTCTCGCTCATGCTGAAAGGGAAAGCGGAAAAGTTCTACTTGACAAAGGTCAAGGGAAAGACGAATGACTTTCAGACAATGGTAGGGATGATGAGAGCACACTTCGACACTGAGGAGAACCGCCAGAGGTCTATAACTGAATGGAGAGAGACCACCCTTCCAAGGATCATTGCTCAAAACCCAACTAAATCACGATCAGAGTGCCTCAAGATACTCTTTGAAACTCTTGAGAGAATTCAACCAGGATTATCACCAGAACACCAGTCTGAGATGACCCTCCGGGAACAGACCATCAATGCGTGCAGAGGTGTTGAGGAATGTAAATTCACCATACACAGGCCAGCAAGCACGCTGGAGGGAGTACATGCAGAACTGCGATCAGCAGTTGCAAATGCGACTTTTTCACCAGAGTCAAGGCAATTCCAAGCCCATGAGGAGTATGTGCATGATCAGCATTGGACTGACCGCACGTACGGAGGAAGAGGCCGCGGATACAGCCGTGGGGGCCATAGCCAACGCAGAGGAAGCTATGGATATAGCAACAACCATGGACCCACCCGGTTTCAGGGATCAGGACCGCGAGGAGGCTACCACGGAGGCCGACGAGGCGATCAAAAATCCCGCCAAGGGAAATGCTATGTCTGCGGACGACAAGGATGCTGGTCAAAGTATCATACTGGGGAGGAACAAAGACGATCTCTTGATAACTTCCGCCAACAGCACTACTTCACCACGGGCCAGGCAGCCACGCCACAGGACTTCCAGATGTTTCTTAGTGACTTTGAAGGAGAGGAGACGGAAGAAATAGACAACAGCAATAGACATGAATCATCCCAGATGCTTGTGGACATGACTATTGAGGATGACGAGCACGAGCACGAGTATGATGGATTCTTGACAGAGCTTGGAGAGGTTGATGGAGCAAGGATGATATCCGTCCTGAATGACCAGTCAGCATACCACTTCTTCACCAAGGATGACATATTTCAGCAACGACAAGCAGATGAACAGGCCATGGAGGTGTTCACACTTGACAACCGGTATTCATCTGACATATTTCATGGCATCATGCCAGACACTGGAGCCTCTGGAGTTTCATCTGCTGATGAACCTCAGTTCAGGGCATTGTGCAAACTTGACTCCAAAGTCCAACTCAACACATCTCGCGCTGGAGAACAAAAGATCAAATTTGGAGATGGGGATCCAAAACCCTCCTTAGGGACTGCTGATGTTGATACTCCAATTGGCACCATTACATTTCATGTACTTCCTACAAACACGCCATTCCTCTTCTGCCTCAAGGACATGGACGCTATGGGCGTGGAACTCCGGAACAAGAAAAATGTGCTTGAACGAGGAGCCAAAAAGGTACCTATTATACGAAAATGGGGACACCCATGGATGCTGCTGCACAATCTGGAGGAGACAGTAGCTTGGAGCCACCTCACAGAAACAGAGTTACGACAACTCCATTGACGCTTTGGACATCCATCTGTACAAAGATTGATCCGAATCCTTCAACGCGCCGGTCATGAGGTAGATTTGAAATACGTCAACTACCTCACAAAGTTCTGCCATCAGTGCCAGATGAAGGGCAAATCCCCAGGACGATTCAAATTTACCTTGAAGGATGACTATGAGTTCAATTACTCAGTTATGGTCGATATTCTGTACCTTGAAGGAAAGCCTGTGTTGCAGGTCATTGATGCAGCCACATCATTTGGAGCTGCGAGATTCCTGAAGGACATGTCTGCACGCAATGCATGGGACACACTTCGTACATGCTGGATCGACGCTTACCAAGGACCACCGGACTATGTTGTGCATGATGCAGGGAAGAACTTCACATCTGCAGAGTTCAAGCAGCTCGCATCATCAATGTCAATCAAGGTTAAGGAGGTTCCTGTAGAGTCTCACAATAGTGTGGGGAAGGTGGAACGATACCATGCGCCGCTGCGCCGTGCGTACGAGATTCTCAGAGAAGAACTCAAGGATGAGCATCTTGACAGGGAGATGATCCTGCAGATGGCTGTGAAAGCCGTCAACGACTCGGCCGGCCCGGACGGAATTGTCCCAACATTACTTGTTTTCGGTGCATATCCAAGAATGACCGAAATGGATCCGCCATCACCTTCAGTGGTCAAGAGAGCTGAGGCCATCCGTGCTGCAACCAAGGAGGTACGCCGCATACATGCTGAACGCCAGGTAAACGACGCCCTCGCCATGCGCAATGGCCCTAATACCATCACCACTTTGAACCTGCCTTTACAATCAGAAGTTCGAGTCTGGCGTGAGAAAGGTGGATGGAAGGGCCCATACAAGCTCCTAGCAGTTGACGGAGAAACATGTACTGTAGACATGCCACATGGTCCTACAAAATTCCGATCAACCATCATCAAGCCTTATCACAAAGAAGAAAATCCAGAGGAAGATGAAGGACGACAACAACGTGGTATGGCAGAGGACAACCAAACAGATAAAAATGTTAATTCGGAACCCGTGAACGAACCGGATAGACAAGTTGAGACCCAACGACGGGCTCGAGGACGACCACCAGGATCAAAGAACAAACCAAAGCAGGAAACAACAATCGTACGGCGGAGCAATCGACGAAGTGCACCTGATCATCAAGACCTTGAGGACCAGTTCATCAATGCCATCCAGGAGCGACAGGACATCTCAATGACACTCATGACAAACAAAGAACGAGCCGACATGGAACTGTCCATCAAGTTGAGGAATGAAGGCGTCATCACAACCCCTGGATCACCATTTGAGCAATCTCAGCACAAGGAGATTGAAGGACTCATAGCAAAAGGTGTGTTCGACTTTGTACAATATGATCCACCCAAGCATGCAGGAATACGCATCTTCAATTCACGCCTAGTCAATGAGATCAAGGGCAAGGCCACGAATACGCCATTCGAGAAGTCACGGCTTGTTGTCCAAGCATACAATGATGAAGGGAAGGAGATGATCCTCACCCAGTCTCCGACAATTCAGCGAGCCAGCCAACGTGTCATCATCGCTCTGGCACCGTCACTGAGTGGAAAGAAGATCAGTCTGTCGATCCGAGACATAACCCAGGCATATGTCCAGTCAACAACCTCACTGAATCGACCGATCCTGGCGCATCTACCCAAGGAGATCAAGGGCAAATTTCCGGCAGGCACAATCATGATCGTACGAAAACCGTTATACGGAATCCCTGAAGCTGGAACCCATTGGTGGGCAACGTACCACAAACATCATCAGGAAAAGCTTCAGATGGCTACTTCTACGTATGACCCGTGCCTCTTGATTACGACATCAAAGGGAGTGTTTGGTGTTGTTGGAATGCAAACTGACGACACTCTGATCTTGGGATCTGATGAGTTTGCCAGGCTTGAAGAGAAGGAATTGGCGGAGGCAAAGTTCAGCGCCAAACCCAAGGATACACTGTCTCCAGAGACCCCACTGATATTTAATGGCTGTATTCTGACGAAGCAGGAAGGAGATGTTGCTATTGAATTACGTCAGAAGGAGCAGGGTAAAAGGCTCAAGCTCATCGACCACAAATCCAAGGACTTCAAACATGCATACATGGAACAGCGTGCCCGCGGAGCTTATATCGCGACAATCTGCCAGCCAGAGGCTGCATTTGATCTATCTGTTGCTGCCCAACACCAGGATCCTACAGAGTCCGACATCGACGCCTTGAACAAACGCATCACATGGCAAATGAAGAACCTGGATAGGGGTATCAAATACATTGCCTTGGATCTATCAACTGCAAAGCTCTTCGTTTTTGTCGATGGATCATTTGCAAACAACAAAGATTTCAGCTCCCAGATCGGATATGAGATCATCCTCGCAAATGAATCCATAGAGAATGATGAATTTAAAATCACAGGAAATCTGATCCATTGGAGCTCAACCAAGAGCAAACGAGTGACTAGGAGCGTTCTAGCATCGGAGATCTATGGTATGGTAGGAGGTGTTGATATGGCAATCGCAATCAGCACGACAATCAAGATGATCACAGACCAACTCGGATTTGAGAAGATCCCTATGATGGTGTGTACAGATTCATATTCTCTGTACGAATGCCTCGTCAAACTCGGAACCACCAAGGAGAAACGGCTCATGATTGATATTATGGCACTTCGCCAGTCATACGAGCGAAGGGAGATCATGGAGATACGGTGGATCAATGGAGATGACAACCCGGCAGATGCAATGACTAAGGCAGACCCCAACAAAGCCTTGGAGAAGTTTATCACCACAAACACCTTGCGAGTGCGTGTAGAGGGATGGGTGGAAAGAAGGTAATAGGGTATGGCATAATATGGTATGGCGAGACCTATGTGCGTAACGATGCACAGTAGGACAGGAGGATCTCTTTGTTCACTTACTTTTCTACTTGAGGATGCACTGGTTTCTTTGCACAAAAGAAAAGTTGCCAGTGTCGGAACATATTCACTCTTGCTACTATGGCCATGCCAATCATTGGCATTGCCTGTGGCCTGAGTATGCGCTACTCATGTATTAGGACTAGCAACTGATAACATAATCTCACGCTAATCAGCGTCTGGGATTCAGGGGCATCCTGAACCGACGCTGATACTGAGAACATACATCTATCTACGAATATACACTTTCGCTTCAAAGCAACCTGTTCACTTAACTGTGTACACAGACCCTAGCTGGTGGGACCAACAATATCACACTACGAACTAAAAAGGGTTGAGGAACAAGTGTATGAACGGTAGGTGATACATTCCTACTTTTGGGATATTACTGACTTGCATAAAGAGCCAAAAAGCTAGATTTACAGGATCATATTGCAAAGTCAACTACTGCTACTCAGAAAGATATTCAAGATGCACTCTTCCAACCTCTAGAGGATGGACCTCTGGAATTAATAATTCTAAGAGTAAAGATTCGGCCTGATGGTTAGTCTTATCTCTATCTCCCTCTTTTCGCGGTCACTTTGCTTATTATTTAATAGCCTTCTCTATGCCCTCATTGAACTCGGTCTTCCCTTTCCTTGAAGCCATTTGCCCACTGGATGACCCTACTTGGCATATCCGTAGGGGTCGGCAGCTGGACTGCTATGAATCAGCTTGGTTATTTTCCCAAAGATCTCTGGATACGCCAAATCCAGTAACCTTGGTATCAATCAGCCACAGGCTACTAACTGATGCTGAACATTTTACCGAAGCTAGAGGTTGCTTTTTGCTTTGTCTGATTCCCAGGAAGTGGGGGGTAGAAGGAGTCCATGACCAACTGTTACGAGTCTGCACACTATTAATGCCACACGGCGGCTCTGGACATGTTATTAGTCAAGTCGACTTTCATAAGTACAAGTGATAAATACAATAGCAGTGCCTGAAAAGTTCCGCTTCTACAAACATTTGACTATCTCCCCAGGCTGCATTATCTGGGAATTCTGTAGATATACGCACAGATAAGACGAATGTGTGGCATGTTAGCCCCTGTACTGATCAGTCACCTGTTTAGCTATGTAGTAGCTAGAGTTTCAGTAGTGGCATGGAAACAAAGCTAATGGCCTTGAATTAAAGTGAAGCCAAACAGCTCAATCTAGTGACATACGATCCTCAGAAGCCGGGAAAATTATTGAAAAAATGTCCTGATTCGGACTACAATTGCGGAGATAACCCATCACGTTGTTACCTTGACGATCCTCGTAGTGATCCTCGTCTCCGGTTTTTCTGGCAGGCTGCAAGTATAAAAGGCCCCGATAATCGCTTTTTGCTCGATCACTCTGACAGACTTCTATCATCACCAAACCATCACGATGACGGAGCGACTATTGGACTACCTAACGAGGCCCAATCCCACAGTCAGGGTTGAGTCCGAAGGGCGTACGGCATTCACTTACAACACACAGTGGCAGCCAATCGAGAACATGGAGAGATGGGACGAGTTTAATTACCAGACCCTCACAACACGGTTCAGGATTCAGTTGGATCGCCTTGTTACCTTGTCTGATGTGACGCGTCAGTGTGAAGAGGCAAGATTCAACACCCTTTATGATGAGACGATGTTGGGACACCTGGTTGCATCGTCAATCATGCTGTCTGTATCATCTGCTCTTCCATCGAATTTATTCATCGTTGCAGGAGGGGCAACATGGGAGAGCGATGCCTGTGTTCCCGACTGGGGTGCTGGGATAACAAACGCATCCCGAAACCGGGCGCAACGATCTAAAGCCATTCTTCTTGGAGATACCAAGTACCGTTGGTCACACCAGCGGGCCATTGATGTCGTACGTTCAAGTCAGGAGAGTTACTACAACGATGATGTTGTCAGCCCAATTGAGCAAGTACAGTACTATTGCGCTATGTACAGATGTCGATTTGGATTCTTGATAACTGAAAAAGGTTTACTGGTTATGCAATTTGGCAGGAACGAGATTTGCAGCGAGCACCGAGAGTTCCACGGAATATACAGCAATCCCATCGACGAATGTTGTCGTCCTCAACTATGGACATATCTATCATATCGGAATCTCTTACAGACATGTCAGTCACTTCTCAGGATGTGTCAGCTCCTACGATCCGTCTGGTGCAGTACGCCTTTGTACCCTGGGAGGCGCAAGGGCGCGAGAAGTTGACAGTCAAGCTGGCTCTCTATTGCATCACTCTTCTGGCGAATGAGGCCAGCGAGCTCAGACCAGATTACGCCGCACTCGTTCCTGTATCTCAACCGCCGCTCAACACTGCGTCATCGCTCAATCAGGCCAGAACGCACACAGCAAGTTCACCGCGCAGAGAGCAACCACAGGAACAATCGACTGGCGCTCCCAAGAACCAAAGCTATACTGATATTAGTCTCACGGAACATGGTAATTATTACACTTTCTCCCTTGATTCTGGACCTGTGGCGAAGAATAAAAAAGAGTGGAGAGAGGAGCGTGACTATCTATTTCACGATGGCTTGAAGGTGAAGGGCAAGAAGCCACAATCCACGGCTGCTTCGAGTACCATGAGCACTTCGGTGGGCAAAAAGCCACAATCCACGACCGCTCCAAGTTCTACGGGCTACACATTTGTCGGACAACTATCGGAGCACGAAGGGCATTACCGAACCTCTAACGGGTCCGTTAACTTGCCAATGAAAGAATGGAAAACTATAGGCGGTTATTGCTATCACGAAGGGAGGAAACTTCAAGGCAAGAAGCCTTAAGCCAGAGGCTTGAATAGCAAAACAGAGTCGGGAAGCTTTTCGACGGTTTGGGTCTCAGCTATGCCTTAATATTCAACATACACTGGGCGACCATATCTTGAATAGCTACTTTCATTTTGATACTTCTGATATCAGTCGCGCCTTTGTATTCAACATACACTTGGCCATGATTTTTCAACAGCTACTTTCGGTTTTCATGCGTCATTGAATACACTGACTTCACATCACGTTTTGATTGCTAAGCATGGCTCCAATTTAGTTCCTGAACCAGGTGCGATGCCCTCACAATCAGTAATCAGGGTACAACTTTTAAATTGTGCAGCCACCAGTCCTCGGCTCTTCTGTGTCCGGCGGAGAAATAGCAGGCATCTCCTGACCTATATTTTTTGTCTCACTTTTCTATTCCCTTGAATTCATTTTCTTTTCCCAGAGGAACTCTTTACTTGTAAAACTGGATGATTATTAATTAAAGTAGTTAATATGTGAGAAAAGGGAGTACTCCTAGTACAGCTAACCGTACAGGTATGGACTTTGGATCAAACCAATGGGCGCCTCCAAACTCTTGAGGGCCATACTGATCCACTGAAAACAATTGCCTTATTGCCATCAACAACTGATACTATAATACTGTAACACGGTGCGGATTTCGCCAACAAACCGTTGAGAACGCTCATTCAATGAGAACCTTGTCATTGCCGGAGGATGGAGGCCGTCTCATTTCGGACCAAGGTACCACGGACCGATGCCCAAATCATGGACCATGATTCAAGCTTACCTGCGAGGTTTTCGTGATCGGCACAGTTAAACTGGATTGTCTGCTCCGCATGGCACAGCTCTCCATTAATAATTGGAACGCGGATGGTGGTCGAACACTTTTACATTGCTCAACCATTGATGGATGCTCAACCGAACTGCGGTTGGTTCAACTGTCGATGTGCTGACCGCTTGAACATCAACAATGCCTTTCACACTTGAAAGTTTAAGAACAAGCAATATCAATAAATATTGATGAATACCTTGCTTAGCCCTTATTGGGCCACCCTTTTGAATACTATATCCAACCCTGTGCAACGTCCAATTGCTTCATTGTCTAAAAGATGAACACTGTATCTCCAAGGATACTTTCGAAAGAAATTTTCGCAAAGTTAGCTGCACGCGTTTTGGCCCAGCTTGCATTATTGTTGGTGTCAGTGCCGACTTCGTTTGACGATAGTTTCCGGACATACTGGTCGTACATCTTGTACAGAGTCTGCATCCACGCACTCGATTTCACAACGTTGGCGGGCCCATTGTGACCACCATCCTTTAGAAGGTTTTTATGCTTGTTGAGATTGATAAATTGTTAACAAGCATAATACTCGTTCTGGGGATCCCCGCATTTGGAGGTTACAACAACCTTGTGGAAGCTAATTGGTTACCTGTTCACTGTGCTTCCTGGCTTGTATGGACGACTCCTTGACTAGTCCTGTATCATGAGCATCTTCCACTGACACTCTCCGGAAGGGACTTCTACTTGAACAGTTAAGCTCGTTTATCATACGTTGTTGAGCGTGCCCTGCTCGTGGGATGCCCAATGGCTTGCTGTCCGCACCGTCGTTGCCCACCAAGGCTTGGTTGAGGCTGACAACATGAAGCTAATGACTCACATGCACGCTTCAGGCAAAGATCAGGCTGCGGGAATTGCTGAAAACATTCTTTATTAAGTAAACTTACATATGCTTTATTACGTAGATTTACATACGCATGCCGCTCAGACTGGTGAACCACTGTCAAGCAGATAGCTCATTGGAAATACTCTTCCGGCGGATGTACTCATCTTCTCCGCATGATAGCTATTCAACTAGACTGTTGGCAGCCTCCTATAGACGTCATCAATTTCAGAGGGCTGGACGCCCTCATTTCCTTTAGTGCATCACTCACAAGTCGACACATATCAACGCCAATTCGGACCTGTATGTTTGAATAACGACGAACGGCCTCTGTCTATGAGAAACCATTACAGCTTGTTGAACTCATTACTCACCTTCTGCTCCGAGCGCCGATTTACGTGGTTGAGCTGCTCGAGAATAGGTATTCCCTTTGTGGACATTATTCCGGGAGAATAGCCCTTCGATGAACGATGCTGCACAATTGGCTCAACATTACTGATTTGCTCAATTCAAAGTGCCCACTAAGCGTGGAGTGACTGGTCCCTGGTCCGGGCACTCGCCGAGCGCAACTCCCGTCAAAGGCAACAGTCTGGGGTTTTGCATACTCACCAGTTAATGCGTCGAAGAACTTTGTGGGGGTTGCGCATTGGGGATCCCAATGGGGATGGGCCGACCATAGGGATTCACTGGTTGCGCATAGGTGGGAACGCTTGGTATCAAGCCCTGTCAGTAGCCTTGTCCCTCATGGTTGCGCCCTCATTCTACAGAATACCGACCTGCTTGCCGAAACTTAACGGCTCCAGTCCAATACTTAGTCTGAATCAGTCTGTGTTAGTTACTAGGACCATTACACAATGCGATGCATGTACGATTGCGAATAATAGACCAGGTATCGGATTTTCGAAAGATCAAAGAGAGAACCCGGATCAAAAAACCGTGTCTCAAGCTTCACCAGGGTCGCGTGCCGATGGGGCACAAGGGTCCTCGTATTGACTTGGAAGATCAAGGCTAAGAATGACTTGACTGGAGCTGAAAATCTGACTTGTTGTCCAGACCCCTGCCTCTTACTCGTAGCCTTCATACGTGGAGCTCTGATGATATTGGTCAAAGCCCCTATCATTGACGCCTAGTATAGCCAAATTTCTGTGCAGGCTATTTTTCTAGCGCCTACTTTTCCAGCGCCTACTATACAGCACATCGGAATCTCTAGCGATTGTGTGTCCTCTACCTAGCAAAGCCAACCCCACCTACGCAAAAGTCGAACCATTTGAGAATATCTGTTCGCCGTCCTCAGTCGCCCAGGGTCAGCATACTGGACGAATATACTACTGTTTTGCGAACATTTATGTGCGAGGGCGCTGAGAGAGAGCCTAGGGCTGAGGCGAGACTAAGGAGGGCGAAAAAGTCATTGCGACCCTTTAATGAACTATGGTTATGCCTGTGTTTCTATGATCCTGCTTGACTCACGCAGCTTCAGGCACATGTACAATACCTCAGTACACCTGCCCAGGTCAAAGAATATCTCGGTTGACTTTGAAATGGACTCATGGATCTCTGTAGGGGCGATAATAATATGTAGGATGCAGTATGTACCATATACCTATCCAACTTGCCATCTATGAAGGGCCTTCTGTCTCAGCTTGCTTGCCTGGTAGTGCATTGTACATCCTGAGCCACGTTACAAAGACTTAATGGCCAGGCCCTTGCTAACACATCTTCGCTTCTGGTAGCACGTTAGCAATAACAGTCAATTTACGTCACGTCTTTTAAAAGTTTCGTCGTATGTTCTTCTCGTTTCTATCAGGACCTGAATGATGCTGCGGTAAGCATCTGTTCGAAGGTCTTGCTGAAATTGAGGCACTGGGGGCAGTACCCTGTCTGCGAGATGCTTAAGAGTCAAGCATGCATTATGTCGGCCATTGTCACCCTGAAGCGTAGGCAGGATGAGGTTTCTTTCGTCTACGAAAGTCGACGTCTCTCCATGCCATGATGTAGTGTGTAGACCTCGTAAGGAGTCGCGACTCGTCAGGTTCGATTCGACTCGGAACCGCCAAGACTCAGGTTCAGGTTCTAAGGTCTTGGAGTCGCGATCCGACTCCAGCATTCTTAGAGTCGAACCTGACAGGTTCGACTCGAACCTCAGGTTCCACAAACAGTGCAAACATAGGAAATCTCGTAATATGCATATTTTGTGCAGTTTTCGTCTGTATTTTTGAGTATTTGGTTTACAGTATAGGCGAAAAGGTCAGAACCGTCAGATTAAAATGATTTTAGTATAGAATCGGATGGGAGCTTTCACATTTTAAATTCTACTATTTTTATGGCTTGTGATACACAAATTGATCTTCATCTCGCTTCGAACGCTTTGGAACCCGCCCTGATGTTCGCCTCTGAGTACTACTTTCGCCATGCAGGTCGTTGTTGTCAGGCAGAGGGACTTCGTCCTGATAATCTTCATTATCCAGTTCAATCAGTGGCCCTTGGTCCTCTGTGGCTTCAGTCCTTGGTCTTTTACCAAGCACACGCTCACTGGGCCGCTGTATCGGTGGAGATATAGCTGCTGGGGCATCTTCTTCGTTGTCACTGATTAGATCGAATTCATCTACCGCATTACGAGCATCTTGTTCTTCTCTTGCTGCTTGAATCTCCTGGGCTGTGAGATATTCATTGACGAAGGTTAGCTGCTCTGATTCAATGTCAAATCTTGATGTACACATAGACGTCATGAGATCCTTCATTGTGTTTGGCTTCAGGGAGCCTCGACGGTAGTGACATATGTCACGAGCCGAGTTGAATAGTCGTTCAACACCAGAACAGATTGACTCCTGTATGTGTGCCATGAAGTGGTTTAAAGCCAAGCAAGATCTCACGATAGTTCCAATCCTCATCGATAAAGTAGCCTCTGACAGCCATAAAAGCCTGGCGAAAGGGCGAGGTCCAGCAATCTAATGCAATAGAGAGCTTAGCGCCTGTAGGAAGCTTGGAAAGAAGATTCTGCAGTTGTTCTTCAACTATCTCTCGAAGGTGACGTCGGACCATATATGCGGAAGGGATTTTGGGTAAGGATGGCGCAAGCCGGGCCATCTCAATGAGGGCACTAAACTGAGGGTGCTCAACGAGTTGAAATGGCAATCGTAAGGCAGTAATAAATGCAATTACCCTCTCCATCCAAGCTTGTGGAGTAAAGGTAGGTTTTTGAGAGGCCAGATGTGCCTAAGATAACTAGAACTTAGTAGGGATAAAATGAATCTGTAGGGATGAATATCTCAATATACCCCTTCTTGTATGAGCCTTCTGATATCTTGCGACCGAGGCGCTACCCTCCGACAGTTAACCCCTTGCAAGTGTTTGTTCGTAGAGGATGTTCCACGATGGCCGTTCGCTGGATGATTGAGGATTTGGCCGCATGTTTTACACATAACCTTCGGAGACCCATCTTGGATAGAGGCGACCTGGTGAAAATGCTTCCAACACTCTGCCTAGCGCTTATTCTCAAAGATATTCCGTTTCAACCGACTTCCAAACTTGGTCTTCAACCACCACGCAACGAATTCATCATTCACCATCTCTGTCCAGAGAAGATAGTTCTTCTTTTTCTCTGCGCCAACGCGTTCAAGGGTGTTAGGATGGAGGGCGGTACTGGAGGCCGGGCGAATTCACCGTCAGGTGTAGAAGCAGGCGTCTGCTGGCTGGATGAAGCATCAGGGAAGAATGGCTGTGGACCATCGGATGGAAGGAAGGGAAAACTATCTAGAGGGGTATCCTCATAGATAGATGAGGCATAATTATCGGAGAACTGAGAGATTTGACTCTGTGACATGGTAAATAATAGAGTTAGGATGATAGAGAAGGACTGGAAGAGACTTACTAGAGGTCAAGTGAGGTAGAACTGAGGGAAATAGGAAAAACTACGAGAATCGGCTGCCAACGCGAGCTGAATGAAGGTGTTGATACGTCTATTATAATATAGACTGCTAAGACTGGGCTATCTACCTGCGTGTGTGACAATTGGTCAGTGAGGCCCCCTACAGTCAGGGTCCGTCAGGTTCGAACCTGACGGACCCTGACGGACCCTGACAGAACCTGAATTAGAACCTGAGGAACCTGGCCTGGAACCTGACCTGGAAGCTCACCTTGACCCACATGAAGAGTCGTTTCAATCTGATTTTCGCCCAAGTCCTCGACCCCCAAGTATATAGTCTCGTTGCTTTCAAGGGATAAACACACAATATACAGAGTAAATATAGGATAAACTGATTGAAAATAGCATTAAGATATGCTGCTCCTTGTGGTCCTAGTAAAATTAGTGCGTGTACCATAGTGGTAGCTTAAGAAGTTACTTGCCGGAGCTAGGGTTGGTGGTGGCCAAGAATGATCCTCTACGGAATTGAAAATTGTGGTACCTCGAGGGTGTTCGATAAGGAGGAAGACCTTAGCATGGCAAAGATCTGCTAACTCGAATGCTTTATGGATTGCAGTCTTCTTTCTCTTTGAGATCTTGTCGCGTTCCGATTTGCCAGGGTCGGAACCACCCATGTTAGGCAATGCACGCAGAATACAAGGAAGCAAAGCTCAGGCGCAGGGAAAAATTGAGGATTTGAAGAAAAAAAAAAAAAAAAAGGAGCTGGCTAGAAGGAAAACAGATCTCTCCACGAGATGGTAACTCTTTTTAAATTGAATCCAAAAGGGGGGTAAGTCAACCTCCCCGACTAGTTATGGGAAGAACAATTAGTGATGCATCGCTATGGATCGGACAAAGCTAGGGTAAGTAGCTTGACCCACAACGAGCCACTCCAAAGTACCTTGTGAACCGTGCTGTCTGATCACGCGACCCGCGATCGCTTCCCGCCCCCATCCTGTTGTGAGACATCTGAAGCTCGCTTTCTGCGCTTTCCCTGAAATGGACCAACATGAGCGGTGCACTCACTACAGGCCGCAATTCCAGCGCGACCGTGGTGATGCTGACCAAATGGAGAGTCGATCTTCTGCGCCAAAATGAATGACCGTACAGTGTCTGGAAATCCGTTGATCCTCCACCTCTTTTGGGAATTTGATCGCAAATAAATGTTCACGGTTTCGTCTAGGTGGTTGATAAAAAATGACACGGCTTTGCGATAACGACCGCAGCCTCTACAGACATCTTCCAAGGCTTGAAAGGATCCGAGTGATTCGGAGTCAGTTATAAAGTCCAGACGCTGTGGATGAAGGCGTTCTATCGCCGTGATTATCTGTCGCGCGACCCCTTTACACCGGACAGTTCCCCGGCAAGAAAGCGGTAAATTCCCTGTCTCGGGGATAGCCTCCACCACAAAATATAGGCGAGAGATCAGGAACGCAATGGCTGCGTCGCGCGCAAGAGCGGTGCTTCCAGCCTGAAGTATGACGAGATTGCGGTAATCATCCATGGCCTCAACGCTGTCAATAGCATTTGGGATTTCACGTAAATGGACGTTGAACCGAAAATAATCAGGTTTGTCAGCTTCGTCCAGTTGGTTGAACATCTCCATCCATTTTGGATCCGTATCCATTGATGCCATCCAGGCGTCGAAACCGCGGCGGACGAAACTATCCCTGAAAACATGGCGGAAATGCGGAGTCTCTGCGGACGGTTGCGGTATCGCGCCGGTCCCAATAGATAACAGCCTTGCTGGATGTTTTCTCGAGGGCCAAACCTGGCGTACGAGCCTGCGAGCGATGCCAGCAGCAAAGTTGTCTCGAAGCCCGCCATCCTGGAACGAACCGATGTCTCTAATATCCGCTGTGGGGAAAAAGCTGTTGCTGAAGTCAGTAGATATCCTGTGATCTACAGCCAATGCATAGCAAGGGCGTTCTCACAAAGGGGCTGCTGCCGTGGCTCTTGCTCTGGTTACTCAATCGTCAGTTACAACGCTGAGAGGAACATAAGAATCCTCCGGACTCACGCTTCCCATACGAGAGGCTCGTGGTGTGGATTGAGCGGCCGTACAATCTTGAACTCTAAGATGAGGTTAGCAACGTCTTCCCTGCAGACGCCTGGTTGCACAAACCGCAGTTATCAGTAGATCCGTGGTCGGAGTTGAAGTTACCAAAGACACATGAGTGTGTATCCTTAGCGATGCTGGTTGCCACAACACCGAATCTCGTACCGGAGATTGCGGTCGATTGCCTGTCGAATGCACCGAAGATCCTATGATCGTCGCCGAAAACATCCTTCAATGCCAGATCAAAAGTACCGCTGTCGTAGCATCCGTCATGGAGGAGCCATAGCACCCATCTGGGGAGAATGGCCAAGGGAAGCTCTGCCTTAAATACCGTTCGGAAAAAACGAGAGATGGCCGACTCACGTCTTTCATGGAAAATACGTCGCGCTACCCTATCGAACATATCTGAGCATTTGCGAGCGTTCCATTTCATCTTGAACAGACCAAGAGTACTTAATCCGCCTAGGAGCGGTCAGCAAGTGCCCAGACCCCTTGAGCGGCGCTAATAAAGGGATCAGGAAAACCCGCGGCGCGCAGAATGCAAGAGAGAGGAAAGTCGGTAATTTCACTTACCCGAGCTCGTCCCCACAGCAAGGTCTACCAGGTCCTGAAGCGGGCAGGAAGGACCGAGATGCTCCTGAATCAAGACCAAAAATTCGAGTGGGATGACACCACGTACACCGCCGCCGTCAATGGCAAGGATTGTGGGATTCATTGTTGGCGAAAGGATGTCGATCACCAGCGGCATCTTGTAGAGGCAATAAATACAGCTTTTTATGGTAAACCGGTAGTCCACGGACAAAGTGGGCTCCCCAAATATTTGGGCACAATGATCGCAGATTGTGTGACCGCAAGCCAATGCGTGCCTGTGCTCGCCGAGATCAACCGGGAGCTACCTCCACTGCTTGAAGCTAAGATCGCCCGTACCTCGAAGGGGATACCAGAGGATCCGGGGTCGATCATGCCAATCGTAGCTCGGGTCAATGAGGCTGGCAGTTCCAGTACCTGTGCACCGTTCTTATACACCGCGTAGCCAAGAGCATTCCCGACTGATGACCAGGTAAGGGTGACGGAGCTATAGTCCGCAGAGGAGACGACCGTGTCGCTTGGAAGACCAGCAACGTAGGAGCCAGTAACTTTAGCGGGGTCATGAATGCGAGGCTTGCCACCTGATACGGCGCCGATGACTGCTTGCATATAAGCCTCGTTGGGTAAATTATCGTAAGGGTTAGGTTGGTCATCATTGGTAATTTCCAGTAACCCTGCATGGCGGCTCCAGGCCAAAGCAGCAACATTCGCAATCTTATCCTGTGGTACTTTGTAGATGATATGCCATATCTTTCGGGGATCTTTTGGCGTCCAATCATTCGGTACAAAAGAGTTTGTATAAGTCTCATAGCTGCTCTCGAATGTCAACAGCGTATCCATAGTGTTTTCAAAGCATTGAGCTATTGGCGAGCCAGGATTGAGTACTGTATATGCGCCGGGGTGTTTCCGCTTCGTATAACTGTTGATATATGCGTATAAGTCTGCGTAGATATTGTTGGGACCGCATTCTGGCCAGCCTCCATCGAAAAAGATGCCGCCGAGACTGGTGCCGTATAGCTCAAACCACTTGTCGACATCTTGTTCAATTTGCGAAGCCCAGTCTGCGAGGTCGTGCGAGCCTAGTCGAGTTGTGAATCGTTGCTGACTTACCCCCAGGTAGCCAGTCCGAACGTAACCAAGGATCTTTTTGCCTTGACTGGCAGCCTGATCGATGACCGATTTCCAGTTCTTCTCGATCACATAATCCGGACCGTTTAGAACGTTCGCGACCAAGACGCTGACCTTGCCAGAGTCGTATGCGAGGAGCCGTTTCCACGAGGCCGGGTCTCCGAGGGGGTTGATGTATGACGCAATGGCGATCTGCTGGCCTCCATCACCACCCGTTCCAGCCACTCCTCTGTTATTCGCGATGGCGGCAAATAGCTCCTCGGCGTGTGTAGCATACGCCGTTGCCTTGGGGTGGAACGAGCGCATGTAATGTAACGGCACCAGACTCTGGGCGTTGGCGTCGTCACCGGCAGCAGCGTGAATGGCATCCAGCAGCGACTGCCAGTCTGGGTACTTCTCAGCGCCCTCCCATTCCCACGGCGGCGTGCCGTTGGCAGGCTTTGCTGTGGGAACTACCTTGCCCTGACCGGGGAAAATGAAATCAAGCAGGCCCTGCGCAAGGTCGACACGGTTCGTTGACGCAGCGTTATTGGGGTCGCCAGGGCCTTCAGAGGGGGTGTCGATGTGGTTGTTCGGCGCCCAGAACCACACACTGTATTCCGTCATGTCCTGGGAGGCCCCCGGTTCACAGTAGCGGTGGCCGTTGTAGGCGTCTTGGATTCCTTCCACATATATGACGCCCATTCCCTTGAGATCTTCAGCTGCCGCTTTGATGGCCGCGTTGACCTGGCGAACCTTGTCATTAAGCTTCTGGCGGAGCTCCAGGGTGAGTTTGGGCTGCTCGCTCCACCAACCTGGCCAAACTGACCAAGTATAATTGTTACATTCGGGACCCATGCCGAAGAAGGTAACATACTCGAGGACAAACACCTGGAAGCTTTCGCGAGGCTTGGCGCCGCCGGCCTGCCGTCCTGCGTGTGCTACTTGGTACAGGGCCAAGTTGACTTTGTCCTTAAACCTCCCGCTGTCAAGTTCGTCTTGAAGTTTATCAAGGGTACTCTGGCAGTTGTCCGCCTTGTAGGCTTTGTATATGCAATCGTTCAATATACTATTCTCCAGCGGTCAGTAAGCAAAATATGGTGCACAGTGAATCATAGGGAGGGGGGATGCTCACGTAGATAGCATCGCGTCGTTGCCTCCAATAGTCATCACAGCAATTTGCGGTTTTCCAAAGGGCTGGTTGCGTGGGCGATCGTCGCCCTCTAGATAGTTTCCCTGCTTCAGCTGATAGGCAACCGGTTCTTCTACCTTGTCGCCAGTATAAGCGTGGAAGCTAAAACGCGGTAGAGTGTCGTCGTTGTTGATAAAGGCCTAATTGTCTGTGTCCTGGGCCATTTGCCTGGGATACGCACGTTTCCCACGAATGGCGTCCCCGCCCATTTGTTCATTTATGCCATTGCAGCCAGTACCTGCGGTGTACGAATCACCGACGGCGATGAACTCCGAAATCTTTTGGGTGGGCCTTGTATAGGGCAAGAACGAGGGATCGGCCAATTCAGCAGATATCGACTGGGCGGCAGCCGAGTAGTCAATGGCTTGGGCTAATACACCGGGGACGGCGAACAGTCCCCAAAGGTGGAGGTAGTACCTAAGGCGCATGGTGCTCTGACTGATGCGAGATGGAAAAAGATCAGATGCCTATAGATTCTGGGAAGAGTGCAGGCCAACAGTACGAGTATATATAGTAAAATTGCTTGACCCAAAGAACAAGCGGCCAATAGTGGAAATTCCATATACTATACCCCTAGACCTCAGCGTGCCATAGAAATGCCAAAGCGAAGCCCAGGCCCATCTTGACATCCTCGAAGGCCCCCAATATCGGATTGCACGATGAGTATATGGGCTAGACTAACTGAGGATGAATGTAACAGTTCAAGTAGCCCTAGTGCGTAAGCTATTTTGTCCCTGACATTGAGGATATCCATTACAGTTGCGAGAAGGAGAAAGTTAGCACTGTGTCCCATTTCCACCTTCTAATTTGAAGGACGTAAACCAGGCGCTGTCGGTTGGTAGTGATCCTATGGATCCACTCTAGAGAAATAGACTAATTAATACCAACCAGTTTAGACCCTTCCGGACCGAGATCCATCATCCTTGGAAGATGTTAGCGTGGTGACGTCCCCTTAATAGTGCAGGAATAGGTCGATATAAACTGCTATCGCCGCCCCTAGTGCTACAATAGTTTGGAATGGGTTAATTCACATCTCCTATGCGCCATTTTGCCGGACCAGGTGAAATCTCTGCCAGGGACCGTTTGCGCTCTTAGTGTATAGTTAGCAGTTACATGCAATGTCACGTCCAACGGAGGAAGACCCTGAAGGGGACCTTAATGCGGAGGCGCTGCTGGTTGACAGCCATCCCAACCCACAGAGCTACTCTGGGAAAATCAGAACCGAATGCACTCTACATCCTCCCCTACGAGCGATCCGAAACCCTGAAATCCTGTGGCTCAAAAAACTTCCCAACACGCATGACTGGGATCGATTTGCCTCGCTCCCGTTAAGGTGTACAGCGCTTTAGAGAGCGCCAAGGGACTAGTAGTGGAATTAAACTACAGGGATGATGAGCCACTAAGTGTCCCGCGGGCTTCCTAGTACAGTGATTCGGAATACTCCGTCCGGAGAGACGGACAGACGATCAACGGAACAGCTAGTATGAATCTCGAGAATCGAATCGATGGATACAGGACACCTCTCGTCTGCAGCCATTCTTCGGATCATTCCCATTATGTCACCACAAGGTAATCACTTTCCAGTCGTTGTCGACCAAGACGGCCTATGGACATGGAGCCCAAAGGACAATATCAGGCCTCATGCAAATCCCAGTAGTGGACCGGCTCTAGTTGCATAAGAATCGTAGAAGCCGTCCAATCATGTTCCATAATTAGATTGAATTAAGCCCAGACCATAAGGTACCCACAAAATCCTTCCCTGCGATTTATAAAAATGTCCACCAGTTATAATATCTTCCGGTGTCGGCTATATCTGAGAACCGCACTATGACAATCATTGGACCAAAGATTGCACTCAGGAAGGTATCCAACACAATAGACTGAGAGAGACAAGGATCATGGAGACAGTACTTCAATTATTTTTCTATTTGCCGCGATTGGCAAGTAATATTCAATCTAAACAGAACTCTCCACCATCCTCATTTCAAGCCCACTCTAAACGGTGGATAAGCTTCGAATGTCACTCGAAGCCCAGCCAAGCCAGCCATTTGATGCCATTCGGTCGAGAGAGAAGCTCGACCGCCATACAAGGCAATCATAGCGGCGAGTGAGGAGCCATGGCCTCCGATATCTTTTTCAGCAGGCGCGCGGCTTCCAGGCTGGGGAGATTGTGAACAATATGAGCCAAATGGTTCGGACAATCCGGATTCCCAGCGTTGTGGTTGGGCGCTAGTTTAGGGCGGCTATGGAGAGGCAGTTTCTAGACTCTAATAGTACTAGCCTAGTAGGCAGTCAAGTGACATAAAGCCAACACTCCTCTCGTCCCTTATTGTTCACTCACCCTGAGCTGTCTCAAAAATGTAATCCGCAACCGCTGCCACGCGATGAAATCAATTCTCCCACAAATCTTTTCTCTTTGCACCGCTGCACTCGCTGCTCTTGCCAAGACCAACCCCACACAGCAAGAATTACTCGTCGGCGTGGATATTATGGCTCAACAAGACAACAAAGTCCGCGGCCACAACAATGCCATCTATGACACCGTGCCTAAGGATGACCAGATATTCAGAATCCAGTTCCTAGAGATTGCCCCAACACCTATTATCGCGTGAGATCTCCCCTCTCCTTAAAGTACAGCTTAATCTTAATTATAACATTTGATGTTAACATCCTGATGAAGCGACCGTGTCTTCTTCGTCTACCTACGCGGTTATCTACCTGAATCTAAAAAGAAGGAGCTGGCACTTCCTGATGAGGGCCTCATTAATGCGACCCTCAAAGTGAGCGCCTCTACTGTCTACCCAGATGGTAGTCATGATAATGAAGACTCCACTACAGGGCCATTAAAGACTACGCCCTTTAATGATCTAGCCCACCTCACTATTCGTAATACCTGTGGAGTTCAGGTTGACTACATGCCTAGTAGCGGCCGCAGTGATATTTTACTAGATTTCCAGATTCCTACAATGTTTTTGAGGAGTGGTATGTGGACTTTTAAGGTTGATGCACGAGTTGGAGATGTAAATAATACGTGCCTATTTGCTATGAAGTTGACACAATGGTTAGAGGGGGGGCTTAAATAGGATATTTGGAATGATCTAGGAGCTCCATGACACAACTACTCTCACAATGTTCTGTAATTTCCTGTCAAGATTTAAAGCCGCGCGAAGACTTTTGAGAGATGAGGAGGAGAACGGGAGGGGGAAGTCTCCTTCCAGTTTTTAATAATATGTTAGCACTTGGGTGTATTAGTGGCAAGGTTTGTTTTATACATTTTTGTAGCTAGTGCTGGCAATTATATTACTACCTCTAACTGATACATTCTTGTATCTAGTTTAGGTGATCATATCCTACTTCCAGTTGTTCTTTATTTTCGAGTATCTTTATCAAAGGAGGGCCCGGGAGGATAGTGAAATATATGCTACTTTTGCCCGCCTGGTAAATCTTTGAACCTTTTCCATGAAGTGCGTTAGTAAGCTGTACGGAACTTTTTGTAAATAAAAACCATTATATTTAACTGACTGTATAGTACTGTATAGTGCCCTGAACTGAACGTAGTAAGAGGAAGGGAAGAACTAAACCTGCCTGCGACAGGCATACCCACAACAGAGAGGGATTTCTATGTAGAAAGGCTATTTCCACGCGTGTTTCTCCTTCGTCAGTGCCCCATCTGCTTTTATCTCTAGTATACCTTGGCACTTAGTTGCTACAGTTTTCATGCAAAACTCTCATTCTTCATTGGGGGCTAGTCCACGAGAGCTCCACCTTCTTATTGCAACGACCCCATATACAATTGCCTTTCAACCAGATTCATGCAATCACGTATAAGAACGTGCCGTTGAGATAGACCATGCATGGAAACTTCGACTGTGAGGGCAAATTCCTGCTAGATTGCTGTAGTTTTCTGACATATCAGATTTTGCTCAACGTCGTCTGACTGCTTCAACCCACGAGTACTCGCTTTCTAAAATGGCTTACTTTCGTTTCTCTCTGTGCGTTCAACCTCTTCTTCTCCTCCTTCGTCTCCTTTTCGCGTCTCACCACGCAATATTATCACTCGGTTTGTCAGCACTGTGTCCAGTGAATAGAGGACTCTTACAGTCATGGCTACCCTGCCCCTGAAATAGCGTATCCCCAACCTCCTTCCGAGACGCGTGTATGCTTAGACTATGGCTTCCCGCTTCGCGCCAACGGCCAGCTTGTGCGCTGCGATTCTTGTCGAATAGCTTCCTCGCCAATTCCTCTTGAGGCCCGAGGATGCTTGGACTGTGGTCGTTCTATTCTCGCAAATCGCGCTTATACTCGCTGCGAGCTTTGTCGTCAGACATCACCACTTCAACAACCATCATCTTTGCGTCCTGCCAGAAGTCCTAACATGTTGATTTATTGGGCGTGTGGCAACCCTTTTTCTCCTCGTCCAGGGGTGACCCGCTGCTTCTCTGTAGGCCTAGACCCTCAACCACTGTGCAGCCAGCAACAGATTTTGCCCAGTTTTCTAAGGCTTTCAACCCATTCATAAATACCTTTCACCCAGTCAGCCGTCCCCCGCCAGCTACTCGCAAAAGAAAGGATGCCCCTAATCCCCCTTCATCAAACCCGATCAGACAGAAAACTTCAGCGAACAAGAGCCATCTTTCTCTGCTCCAGCAGGCACTTGGCTTTCTACATCAGGAGTTTGTATCCAGAGCTAAGGCTTCTGCTACATTCCCACCAGAGGTTTCTCCATCATATGTACATTCATCTATTTCTCATTATGAAAACAGGATTGCAGCTGCGGCGCAAGAGGCGACTTGTTGCGTATGCGGCCGCCTAGTCCCTCAAAGCAACATACGACAGTTAGTAGAAGACGACCACCTCCTTGAAGCTTGGAGAGATCATCTCGATAATTATGGCCGGCAAGACGGTTTCTGGACTGTGTGCTCCTCATGTTATTCTGCAATCTTTCAGCGACTCATTCCTAAATTCTCCTCCCAAAACCAAGTGAATGTTACAGTTCATCAGCACTATCCTACTGCCCTCAGTGACCTTACTCTTCCCGAAGAGTATCTCGTCGCCAAGCATATCGCCAATACGGACTTAGTCGTGAACATCAAAGCCCCTTATATGAGGCGTGGACGTTCACGCCGCCCCACACCAGAGATAATCAAGCTCTTTATGGATAGCCTCATTTAACCTTGATAAGTGGGCTATATTCCATTTCGAGGAAAGTACAGGCTCAACCAGAAAACTGAATGACTATGACCTTTTCTTTTAGAGAGGCAGAGTTGTTTCTGGGTCTTGAGTGTCTGAGTTGTCGTAGCGACCTTCTTCTGCACTCCTCGATGCCACCGAACCCATACCAAGACGGTGAACAACGTCAGTGACGCGGTCACTACAAAATATATCCACAAATACTTAAACCACAAGCGGGAAGCGGTGTGGGTGGGCTAGTCACGGATAGAAATGCGTAAGTTGAAACCAGCTGCTGCACTGAAGGCGCTAATCCGCTACAAAGTCGCTCAGCGCTCACTGTTTCGACCAGTCAAGCGGAGGTGCTGGGAGGCTTTCAGTATTGCTAGAACTGTAGTCTTGGTACTGTACACACCTCTTCTGGATTTGGGTATATGTTGCTGGCACTCTGCGGAATCAGTGATCACAGTGACGAGCCGAACAAGCAACATATCCTTGGTACTTCCAATTTCGGTGAGTACTTGGGTCGCTGCCGGAAGGCTGACACAAAGATATAGAGAAAATTATAAGATCATCTAATAGTTACGTAACACACGGATGAGGAATACATTGTACGAATCCGCAGGCACAACTTCGTTCTCTGTCCTAGTCATGGTTCCAATAATCGCTTCTTTCCACGAGGAGGCTTGTAGCAGTGGACATCTTCAAGATGGCATGCCAAGTCAGTCAACGACCCGTATCCCTGTGTACATGCGGGGTGCCGGCAGTGAAACTCGCCCGATAAGTTCTAGTGGCTGAGGTGAGATTGAACATGACCGTACCACTTGCTCATATCCAGATATTGCTCCATCTGTCGGGTCGGGCCTAGGCTTGTGTTACCCAGACAGAAAGAGCAGTAACCAGGCTTCACTGGGCAATTCCGGAATATTATCGGATCGCAGCGAAGCAATTCAGTAGGCTTGCTGAGGTGATCTTCGCAGTGCTGGCGCCATTCGTTGTGATTGTTAAACCACATGTCGCACTCAAAGCAAAACTCCGCAAAATCGTCTACGCTCATTTGACTGAGTCTCTTGTGATAGCACCGATATAGATGTAGCCATTGACGATGAGCGTGAAACCTACCAGGTCAGTAACAGTACTGTATATTAGCAGGGAAACACTTACCTATCGACTGATTTACCACACATGCACTTGCCGTCGTTGCCGGGTCGTAAGCCTGAGCAATAGGTAACCGGATGGTACTGGCTGCAGATTGTTTCCAGAGCCTTCATAGCCTCCCGCCCAGCTGAGCTTCGTATAGTTGTCCTAGTTGGCAAAATTTGAGCGAGGAGGTCCCACTCTGGCATAGCTCGCCGGCAGTAGTGGAAGAGAGTTTGTTCATAGACACTTCCTGTTTGAGTACCCTGTTGGACCTCGCGTTGTCACTTAAGTTCCTCCAGATACAGCTTATCCTTTTGATTTTGGACTCGGCGCCGTTACAGGTGAATCTGGTGCGCAGTTTCCTGGGCGTCGGCTTTCGCAAGTTGGGCGTTGAGGAACGCAATTTCTGTGTCAAGTGTCACAACATCCTCTCATTCCTGGAATTCAAATTCCGCCTTTGCAGGTAGAGATTGCCACAGATTTGGGTTGCGGTGTATGCCCATGCTGCGTCGATTTTGAATATGCTCATGGCGGGAAGCAATATTCAAGTAGGTTGCGGGTCCATCCACTTCGCACACAGGACGAGCATACAATCGGCCAAAAGTGCATGCTTCAGTGTGAGAAGCATGCTTCATTCGAGCCGTCTGGGAGTATTTCTTATCTATATAACGTGAGTGGCTCAGACGGCAACACTGGATTAGCATATTTTCCTACCAGTTTCCATCAGTGCCCATCGACGACACGCACAGGCAGTAACATTCAGTTCATACCCGCTCCGATACTCAAGTGCAGCAAACTCTTTTCCAAATGCGTCGGCACCTCTTGCCCTACCCGTGGAGGTTTCACAATCCAGCTCGCTGAACGGCCTAAATACCGGAGTATCCAAGAGATCTTTTCGAAAATGGATCCTGGAGATAACGTGGTTGGACTGCGACTCTAAGTCGCTGACCTTGATGGAGTCCACTTCATCAAGGATCTCAGTATATGATTTGTAATGGCGAAAAGCACAGTCAGCAGAAAACAACGGAAGCATGAAGAAAATCAAGTTGAAAAAGAGCGGGACTTCCTCTTTGTACACCTCATAGAAAGCATGCACTGGAGGTTCCCATTTTTTCTTTCTCCAGTACCCCTTCACGAACTCCCGAGCATAGGTCAACACCAACATCGGAATGCCATCAACCAGTTCAATGGTGAGGATAAAATGCTGTGCGCGGTCAGCCTCAAAAGCCTTCTGCCAAATACAGATAGCTGGATACAGACCTTGTAGCATGCAGCCATGGCACTGGCTTGGAGATTCGCGTCATTGTTGTCACCGCCGTCCTTCTGCCGGGCAAGAGATCGGCGAGCTGTTGACTCATGCACCTCTCCAGTTCGGGCGGACGAAAAGCAATAGAGTAGTATTGATGCGGTAAGCTGTAGTCTACTCCGGTCAGGAAACTGGCCGCGGTATTCCTTAAAGTCCCGACACCAGAGCTGTGTTAGAAGGATCGTCAAATCATTTGGAGAGAGTCCATCTCTGGACATCTCAACATCTGGAAGACTAAGTTTGGTCTTCAAATCCGATATGATGTACTTTGAGGTAGATTAGTATACAGACTATATCGGGTTCGAAAATCCAAACCTCCTTCAAGGTATTAGACATGTTCTTTGGGACACGGAAGCCCCTCAGCCGAGCAAGAGCTGTTTCGAAGTCCCGGCGGAAATTCTCCACGGTCTCTGTCGTAGGCTTTTCCTCTATTCGACCTGTTGTGTTCCTTGCGTAAAATTCCAAAAACCCTTTGTAGGTTTTGATATCTGGGGGAGAGCAGGCAGCGGGGTGCAGCTCAAGGAATCTGAGAGGATGAGACGCGAGCCTCCGTAGATTTGAAAGACTTACCGGTCAAAAATCTTCACACTCCGCTCATACCTTTCGGCCGTTCGTGGAAGAACGGCTCGTTTGATCTCTTTATCATCGTGTTTGTCAAGGTTGATCACGCACGTAAAAGTTGCTACTGGCTTCTGTGGCATAGTGTCCGATCAGTTTGAGTTAGGGATGAAGGTGTAGGAGTAAGACGGACTCATCGTGGTTTAAAACAAGTTCTCTCCCTCACATGGGCACTACTGTGCGCTTTTGTCAAAATGTAGCTTCTTGGTAGTCGAGTGCAAAATATTCAGGTACCTGAATGTTCACCTGAAGGCCGCCGGAACGTGTGCGGCAAAGCGGCGAGGGAACAGACGCTGGGATGGGTGAGCACCGACATATACATGCTGTTGTATGTTTTTTGCTTTCTGATCTTTTAGATCTGATAGCGCTTGGCCCCATGTATGTATGTTCATGTCGTCAGTAATCTAATTGATGCGGCTAGATTAGGGCCGTTTATGATAACACTGCTGTGTCTTCCTTCAGGTATATAACGGTAAATCAGCTTGAGCCGAGTCTTCCTTTTCGGAAGGATCATCTAATCAAAGTTCAAACAAGGTCGGAGGCAGGGACTGGGTTAGGGCCAAGATTTTGACGGGTCGGGTGGCCCTTTGGGAGAGAAAACCAATCTAGGCTTCTGACTTCTCATTTTCTATGGCAGAATCACTTCATCCCGTTGACTTCTTATCCTCTGAGGGCAAAACAAAGTTTCTAGAACCCTACTGGTTTGTCACTGAGGCCAAAACGCATCGAAACCTTTGCAGAGGGCTTATCATCCTCCGCCATGATACTTCTGCATTGTGCAGGTGTGCGGATGGGGGCCCATAGAGTTGAGCATATAGTCATTGGAGCTCCTGCGCCATTTATCCTACTGCTTGATCATCTGCCAGCCTGCCGGACAGGGCTCGCCGTAGTTACTCCACTTGCAGGTATTATTGTTGGTTATGTTGACGACATAGTCATTGTCTTGTACCTGCCGTTGCGCCAAAATGCGCCAAGTTGATACTGCAGCCAGCGCGCCTGCGAAGGTGCCGGTCTGAGTATCATAGCTACTGGGCCAAACCATGACGCTGCTAAGATACTGCTCTCGGGCAAAGTCGGTCTTCATCTGAAATGTCTCTATCACCTCATCGTAGGACACCCACTGGTCATCCCAGTGTACCACTTTGACAGCTGCATCCTTGTACAGTTTCGCAGACAGCTGTTTGCTGGACATGATATCCATGATTTCACTATTAAGCAAAACTCTAATTTCATCACTGCACTCACCCTTTTTCCCACCAGACAGATAAAAGACACCCAGGCTCCATGCAGCCCGGGCTGGCAACAGAGTAGGCATGCCCGTAGAACGCTAAGCCCATAGTTACCATGTCCGCATCAATGTCATTCCGCCACAGCAGATTGAACACCGTCTTCATCTCAGTCAAGTTAGTGTGGGCATTCAAGTATTCGCCGGTCTATTTGTTTTCCCGATCCCAGGTCCTATGCAGATCATAAGTCATCATATTGAAGAAGCTGACGTGCTTTGCGAGTGCCTTGATATCAAACTGCTGGAGATACTAATACAATGCAGGCAGAGTGATTGACAGCTTGCTTCGTCCAGGCGTTTTGTCCAGGCTACTTTTCAAGTTCACCGTGAACCTGGGGAAGTTATCATAGTCGGCCGGTCTTCCACTCCAATCTGAAGCCTCAGGATACTCCCAGTCTAGATTCACACCGTCAAAGTCACAGGTCGACATGAACGAGACGGATTTGACGAACTTCTTTTGTTTCTCCTCGGACGCTGCCAGATCGAAAAAGAGAGTCGCTGCGGGACCAGGGTCGTTGAAGGTCCAGCCTCCCAGTACAATCATGACCTTGAGGTTCGGATCATATTGCTTCAGGTCTGCAGGATGTTTATACAGCGGCACGTCCCACTCATTCGCCGGCAGTACCTCGTAGGTCTTCGGGTGGATGGTCGCGAACGCAAAGTTGATGTGACTGTAGACGCCCAACTTGATTTGCTCCGGCCAGACCGTATTGCAACCTCGCCGGGAGCTCCAGAACTCGTAGTAGCCAACCACGCGCAAGAAGAGAGAAGCACAATTAAAATGCTAAGTGAGGAAATCAAGGATGTGGTGACGACCTGGTGGATCTCTTACTCACACAGATCTGGTAACTTGATGAATTAGCAGGTGACTATTTATCATTCATGGCTTGTGTAAAGCCATGAGATATTCTGTAGTTGATTCTTCCACTCGTAGCGTCAGCCAAAAAGCAAGCTAAGGCAATAGGTCTTCTGAATGTGTATTCATTATTACTGCACAGGTCAGTGATGGGCGGCTATTCAGTCTCATCGACTTGTGTATCTTGCAACTCGAAATTGGATGAGAACTAACAAGACTCGTAATATTTAGGCAGAAAGACTGAAAGAGCCGCATGCCGGTTAGATAATGTCTTCCTTAATAATGATGACCATCGCAATCGAAAAATATGGAGAGACTACCTACCACATGCGCTCTATTAAATAAACAATAAAGAATTGCAAATTTATTGCCATGAGCATTATGGATTTCGTTCAAGAATAGGAGGATGTCTGCAGAGTGGTGGAAGATATAATGAGGCTCACATTTTCTTTACTCATGTTATGGAGATCGCGGAGACAGTTATCAGTCCTCAGTATCCACACACTCTCACTAGTGTCGGCTATATTAGTTCAGTGCTTGCACGACAGGCAAGTATGAAGAGGCCAAAGCCATGCATCGGCGAGTACTAGAATGCAGAGAGAAATCTTAGGTCCAGAGCTTCCTGACACTCTCATCAGTGCCAGCAAGCTTGGTTCGGTGCTTGAACGACAGGGAAAGTATGAAGAGGCCGAAGCCTTGCACCGCCAAGCACTTGCAGGCTACGAGCAGGCTCTAGGACCAGATGCCTGGATCAAGTAGCACACTAAAGAACAATGGGTGGAGGCCTGGCGCCAGTCTCCGCATGGCTGACACCTCCGGGACCTCCTCCCCGAGATCAGCAAGCATCCGATCACTATCTAGGACAACCTCACCCCCGTGGAACGCAGTGTTCCGGCCCAGATGCGTACCGGGAAGATGGGGCTGAATCACTACCTCCCAACCAGTAACTGGGCCGACGGACCCCGTCTGCCTGTGTGGCCGGGCCCCAGAGACGATCCACTATTGCTATTCAGCTGCACCTGACACAAACGACCTTCAGTAGATAGTGTAGCCCAGCGCAGAAGGAAACCCCCGAAACCTGACAGAGGTCTTAACAGAGAAGTAGTATGTTTAGTGGACCGCGTGGCTCGTGTTGAGCACCAGCCAGCTGATATATCTGGCAGAGGCTACCCAGCTAGCATGGCTTAAGTCGAGCGCCCCAGCAGCGTGTAGCTACTGACTGCCCAACCGATAATAGCTGACAAACCGCAATCACACACTATTACATACTACTAGTTACTCCCACTGGCGCGGTGTTGCCACCTGCAGCCCCGGCATGCTATCAAGCGGCCCTGTCCGGTGGGGGCGCCCCAGAAACCCTCGCAGGCCTGGGAACCTGCGACATCCGAATGGGTCAGCGGCTATCTAGTGGACTTGGCTTGTACGGGCACCTAGGCAGGCGGAAGGGCATTTACGGGGGAAGCAAGGACTGCAAGGTAGCACTCACTGATTTCGGCCCCGGTCGACATGGATCTACGGGGAGTATGGCCTAGCCTAGGGGCCTGAGATATATAGATATTTGTATACTGACGGCGCCAGTCTGCAAAGACGGTCGTCAGTTAGATAGTCGCTGCTCATTAGGAGCCTCCGGCATGGCCCAGCCCGGCGCCGCAACGGAGTAAGGAATAATCAATCAATCAATAGATCCAACCAATCAGCATAACAGTATCCACCAAATTAATGTTTCTAGAGCAGATGAGCAAGTTCACATCTTGTCACGTCTTGACTAACCACCAAACCGACCGCCCGGCGGTAAGCAGGATGATCACAGTGAGAATTCACGCCCCCGCACGATCGCCTGCGTCAATGGGGAGGAGCGTATCCAAGATCGTCTCCTCCTCATGGGTCGCAATAATCTGATGCTCCTTGCCGTCCGGGTTTGTGTCAATGGTCTTCGGTGCGGTTGATTTGAAGTACATCAGATTGGCTGTGATACCGCCCAGGGCCGCCATTTGCGACTCCAGTCCGGGAGTGAAGCCATCCCATGTGGACTGCCACCAACGAATGCCGCAGGTATTATCAGGCTGCTTAGAGCATTGCTTAGAGATGGCGAGGGCAGACCCCTGCAGGACTGGGTAGATCCGGGTTGCGGTTGAGGGAACGAGAATAGCAGTATGCGCCAGCCACATGGCCGTGTATCCTTTAAAGCCTATCTGATTGCAATCACAGGTCATAATGGGCTCACAGGCAACCTCAGACAGGATGTTACCACCCTTGTCATCGGGGCAGAAGGTCCCAAGAAGGGAGTTCAACAGCCCGTTGACTCTCTCCAGCCACTGTTCATTCCCGTTGGTCTTTTTATCACCACATGTAATCAGCGAGCTGGTTAGGTAAGTCACGAGACACAGGACCACTTACATAGTTATACATGAATGAGGCTTCTGACAAATAGGTGCCATAATTATATGACCATTGAGTATTTCCGGCATCCTTGCACTTGGCTTCAATGGAGGTTGAGTCAGCAATGTACCAGTGATTAGTCTGTAAGAGCGGCGTGCTGGCCGACCAGTCCCAGATCTTCTCAGCCCATTGCGCATAGGTGTTATTCATAGTGAAGCGTGCGAGCCGGGCCGACAGTTCAAAAAGACCGCCATTAGATATGGCGTTCTTCATTGTGTAACCCGGCAGATAGAGTGGGATCTGCCATCGCATGCCGCCGTCGCAATCCGTGGTATCCCATCGGGCAACCTGCATGTTGAAGACAGCCCGCGCCAGGGAGGTCCAGGTGGGTTTGTCTGGGATCTCTGGGAACCCAGTCTCTGAAGCGGTGATGGAGGCAAGACCCCAGAATATCTGATCATCATTACCCTGGGAGAGGTTAATATAGATAAATATGAGACCAACGCGATGATCAGCTCTATCAGCCTCCTAGATTCACCTAGATATCAGACACCTCGCTTAACAGTCACACCCCAAGGCGAAAAAGTCGATTAATCGGTGCGTTTACCACAAAAGGAAACCGAGTGCTAACTCCAACGGCAGGGGCCGACTATAGCGAGGTTCGGGCTTCGGCACTATCAGACAGACCAGACAGACCAAGCAGACCATCAGTATTAACGCTAAACATGGACTAATCGTTGACTTCCAAATCGCCGTCTATCAGCGTAACGGTGCGATTTGCCGCTGGTCCCGATAGGTGGCGATTGTGAGGCTGGGGGCCCTGTTAATCCACGTTTTCTCACTAAATCATACAGCAAGTTATCGGACCCGGATGGTGATGGAAGGATAATGCTGCCTGGAGTGATAAAAACATGGTTGTGTACTTCGCCAAGGGCGCTGGTGTTTCAAAATGGAATTAGCCCCCAATAATAGATAAACCTCAAGAGTATTGTGGGGTTAATTGTGATTTCAATGGGTGATTGCTCACCTTGTTTATTCTGCACTCACCTAAGCTCACCCAGGGTTGCGCAACTGCAGCACCCACCAACCTTTTGACTGCGTTCAAGCCACACGCCGGCCGGTTATAGGTGGGTGGCTGACCACTAGTGAATCCCGGCTGTTGTTTGTTTTTGATCTCTTTTCTTTTCGCTTTTTGCTATGTCAGTCCGGCCTTTATGGCTCTGACTCTCCCCGAGATGCTGTAAAGTCGAAGGGTATATCGTCAGCTTTCACTGGGGTTGCTGGTGGAACATCCCGTCCTGCTGTTTGGTAATCAGCGACTGTGACCTCCTCGATCTTGGTCGTGAGTCTCCTGCGACTGGAGGATGCCTAGATAGGGAATGTTCCGAGGCAAGGCTGATCCACTGTCGAACAAATAAGCGCCACAGGACAACATCGAGGATGATTATATCCGGACCTTCATTGGCGCCATTGGGCCAACTTCCAGCTATTAATGACGGGCGGAATAGAGCAAAGATGGAGAAAAGATAGTCAATCCGTGAGAGACATGGGAAAGCTGCATGCATTGAACGAAGCCTGGCGTTATCGATGAAGTACGAAGCAGATATCAACTTCGACGACAGTCGATATGAGAGTCGGAGTAATCCGAGTTCCACAGGTTTCATCCTCCCCTTGGCCGGATACCTGCTGAACCGCGGCCAGGTTCCTACTTTATAGAGAACGGGAATGGCAAGACAATGCTGATACGTACGAGAAGATCCCATGTCTCTTCCTCAAGCCACTCCTTTAATACTCGCGAATCGATTTGCAGAATACTCTTCGAAAAATTTCCGATGTTGCGTCCCTATCGGCTTCTGAATTCCTTAGGGCATGAAATTATTCTCTCCCCTGGAAGCGCCCCAGGCACTTCTTCGCGAGAAAGCATACTGTTTTCGCCCCTTACGGCCCAAATTCACGTTCGCACCATCCTTGATTAGCAGTCGCACAATAAGGTCCTTCTAATTGACTACTGCTTTTATTAGTGAGCTGTCCCTGGTTGGAAAAGCCGTAACGTCAACCGCAGTTGCATCCTACGACCACCGTAAGGTTCTGAGTCGATTCTGGTCTCATCAAACTTAGAGAGCGGTATTAGTCCCCCCTGAGGGCGCAAGCAAGGATATCCTGGAGAGTCCTCGCGAAATACATTGGAAGCAGTGTAGCTGCGGCATTGATGAGCCATACAGCCCTGACGAGAACAAAGGATCAGCTGTCCAAGTTGGATCCCGTACAGGCGCGGTAGCCCGGAGCAAAATGAAAAGGCTCGAAAGAAAAGTTGACCTCCTGTGTCACTGACATATAAAAGTGAGACAAGAACCGCCCGTCCAGAGCATTGATCTTCCATATCTGATGAAGGTGTTCATATTTTCCTCGACCTGATTGGACTTGGTTAACTGACCAGAAGTGCCAGTGAGTCGAGACAGTAAAATACCTGGGCTGAGAGTTATAGTATTGTACTTTATGTTTCTTAAAGGATAATCCCAGCTTTTCTGAATCTCTCGAATGCATCCAGCCAGCCTTCAACGGGGTTTCTTTGCTCAGTGAACCCTAACCCCCGCAACCTCTCTGAGCTTAAATGACGATGGAAAGACAACCACCATCCCAGGGAATCCAACTGGGCACTTCCAGCACCTACACCACACGTCACTCCTTTCGGTCGTCCGTTCTCCGTAAACAGATGACGGAACTTGGTCACATATTCTCCCGGCTTCAAAGCGTCACCTGTTTCCGAGGGTCCTACTCCCTTTAGCCCGAACCAGTTGGCGATGGCAGGCCATAATTCGGCAAAGTTCACGGGGCGGTCGTTATCCACCATGTTGATGATTTTCTGACCGCATTTATCAGGGTTGAGGGCTGCATGGATGGCAATTCGACCGAGAATCTTCTCAGAGACCGGCGTCAAGAGAGATTGATATCCAGCTTCATTTCCCGGAAAGGGTACTTCCACCTCATACTTGTTTGAACTGGATGTATCATCTGGTCGGATTCCATGGTTGTAAGCGTACAGAGAAAGATATTGCGCCCAGTGGAGCGTCAGAGAAAAGGCAGAGCCATTCGGCGTAAAGCCCACGACGGCGTCAGACCTCGGTCCAGGTCCAACTGCGTCCTTTGCTGGACTCTGTGAGGATTTTGCGGAACCAAGGGTAAGCAACTGTCCTGGCGTAGTCGTCTGGGAGGTTGTCGGCCATGGATTCCACAAGGGGTGGCTGGAATATGCCACCTGGTATGTAGATACCGTAGCCCTGAAAAGAGTTATCAGAAAAGTACTGAACAGGCTGCAGACATGCTTACTCTGGTGCCACCGGAATAGACAAAGGTTTGTAGGTTTGGTGCTACCATGTTGAGGGCATCCGCGAGTCTCTGCATCATGCCACAGTTTTGTGTGTATTCTTTGACGGCATCCTCATTGAGGGAGGCAAACACTGGTGGCAGTCAGGGACAGGTAAACAATAAAGGAAACACGTATCGCATAGCAGATACCAAAGTAAAAAACATGAGTTATCTGCTCCACTCCGTCAACCTTCTCCTTCAATTGCTTTGCCAGGTCGTCTCCTGTTCCTTGGAGGAGATCCATTCCTGAGACAATCTGTAGCTGCGGTCTATCTGGACCTTCAGACGGCCAGTGGAGTTCCGCTTCTGGCAAAGAACGATTGAGCACAGCTGTGACTCGGGAAAACGAGCGGGAAGTAGGGTAGCCAGAGAGAAGTTGATTCACTGCGGACCAGCCCAGTAATCCAGCTGCCCCGAAAACGATTGCGTGGTTCGAGTCTTGCGCCATTGGGTTTGTGGTGGATTTCATGTGCGTGAGGTTTGGATCTGAGGATACGAGCAGGAGCTCTTTTATGTTGGTCAGGGTTGGATAATAAATCATTCGAGTCATGATGACTCATGATGAGTGAGTAGTTATATTTTGACCGCCAAGCATGTAAATGCGCATCTAGTGACTCCTTTGGTGAGAATGTAACCGAGACCTCTCTGACACTGCCTCTGAACTGCTGAACTGCCTCATTCTATGCATATGATGCTAGTATGGGCCGCGGTGGCCGCTGTGGCTGTTACCTGAGCTATAGCCGATATTGATACCACCCTATATAAGGAAGTGGAGAACAGGGAACTTGTAACAAGGCACGTACTGGCTCGGATGTATGCCGCTACAAAACTAGCATCCACTAGTATGTTGACCCTGGTTCCTACCGATGGTGTCCGTTGCCCCCCATCCACCGCGAGAGGATGATTGAGAAAGTGTTACTCTGTCAATTACTGCATCATATATCAAGCACAGTCCCCAAACATTCTATGCCCCAAGCCTGCGAATAGCAGGTTCTTCAGAGGAGCCGGGAATTTATTCTCCTTGATACCTCGACACTACCAGCCAAACGGTAGCAGGTTGGATCTGCACCGGGAGTCACGTCTCTCCTGACTTTCCACAACAGTTTTCGTGATCTCAACAACAAATCTCTCTCGATATCATCTGCTACCCATGTAGGATCAAGCACATACGACCACGGTGAAAAACAAGGCTTCCCATCCGCTCCGTCCAGTCAGCCGTACTTAAGCCACCTGTTGAACGCGGCCGAGTGGAAATTGAGCCGTTCGGAAGTTGCTGCTTGTTGGTGAGCATCGCTAAGTTGCAGGTGGAGTGTGGTGGGCACGTAAGCCGTTTGCCGCTCGAAACCTTTGGCAGCACCGTTGCTGATTCCGTGCAATCCCCTTGAATCTAAAAGAAACCAATTGCCATACATCTATCATGGCTCCCAGTCCTAGGCTTTGCTCTTTCTGGAACACTCCATGCAACACTGCGCCCCGACTCCAGCAAACTATCGCCTTCTTTGCTGGCGTGGGTGGGAGTTAAACACCTAACCCTTGATGTTATCATGATTGGGGAACAACTCCGGTCTCAGCGCCACAGAAGACCTCAGTCATGCTAGGCATGCGATAGTCAAGGCCCAAATCTGCATTGCTAGGTTTAGCTGTTGCGTGTGCCGCAGCAATTCCTCTTCGCCAGCGACGCCGCGCAGCGTAATGGGAGAATTCACCGCGGATGTCGGCACAAACCGAAAGGGTCATCAGGCTCCCCTAAAGCCATATCTCTCCACCCTGACGGAACTCGTTTTCAGATGCTTTGAGATTGGCATCTTCTGTTTGTTTCCGCTTGAGTTGTCGTTGCTGCAGGGACTGGAACTGATCTGTCCCATAGTGCACACAAGGAATCTGCATCTCTCCAGGAATTCTCGAAGCCGCCGGACATTTCGTTTTCAATCAGGGAGGAAAGGCTCCGTCGCCTTCCGTTGATCGCAGACTGCTTGTCCGAAGACTGACTATATCTGTTTGCGCTTGACCGGAGGAACAGTGCTACGTAACTAGACCTAGACAAGCAATAGCAGTCGGCCCTCATTCCAAGAAACAGCGTCGCCACTTCAGCGTAGGCTAGCCTAAGGGGCACTCTATAAGCTGGATACCTAACCGCTAAATTTGAATTGGATATCGGAGATCCTTAGCTGAGTTCTGGGACACCAATCCAGGGCAGAGAATGATTAACCAGGCTTAGATGTTGGATTGCCTGGCGTTACGTAGACACAAGATGAACCTGGATTTCCTTCCGTATCCGCCCAGATGATTGCAGCTGTTGGAGAAAAATAGCGGTCCCCCATCAAACTCATCAAATTGGATCGCTTCCACTGATGAATGGCGAGCTAGATAGAGCAGCACATTTGTGGATTTAAATGAGCTGCAGTGCTGGATTGCTATCGAACGCGTGACGGCGGTAAAGACGCTTTCACGGATAGCCTCTGAAGAGCAGGAGAGTCTCCGAAGGATCCAAACTTCGGGGTCTCATCGTATGATATTCGATAGTTAGCCATGATCCTGCACAAGAAATTCCCCCAGGCGATCTTTGTGAAGAAGCAAAGCTTCATATATACCTGGAGCATTGAGGGGCACAATGCCTATAAAAGCCTCTTGGCGAAGGAGAGGACGAAGATATTGGAAGCTCACCAGACGCTTGCAGACCCGATCATCACACATATAGCTTGCGAACCAAGGTTGCATCCCTCAAGCAAGATATGCTCAATAGGTAGACTGGATGCCTGTAAGTGCAGTGTAGACGGGTCGCATGAATGATTCCTTAGAGATAGCCGAGATAACCACGGAAAATGTGATATAATTCCCATTGAAGACTCCCAGGTATTCTGTGATATCGATATAAGGATCCGGTTTGCCATAAATGATGGTGCCGACATCCAACGGAGTTCTGCTCGGATGGGCATCGGCCATCCCAAGAGAAGAGAGAAGATCGTCAATCAAAGGCGTTGAGAAAGGATCACACCATTGTCGTTCACACACACATCAGTGCCGAGATAATGCTTGACGGAGCCTAAGTCCTTTATATCAAACTTGGTTTTGAGCTCATCAAGTACGGATTGAGCAATCTCACGGCTCTCAGAAACAATTTTGAAGTCGTCGACATGGTGCGGGAATGTATAAACCTGGGTCGTATAGCGAAACACGAATTCCGATCTCCTTGAGACACCGCGTCAAGATGTCATACCATATGCGAGCATGTCTAACCTGCTCTGGAAGCTGAAGCGCCAGAGCTCATTCAGTCCCTGCTGGATTCGCAGCTTCCTTTCTCTCAACAACTACTGCTCGCTGATTGGATAAACATGCACTCAGGAGTCGACAGGGAGGCTTTACATGACTAAGTGGCTGGAGTAGCACGATCAGGAGGGTAGACGACTGACGTTCACTTGCTTGAGTTCTATATACCCTGTGAGACAGATATGTACGAGACGATCCAAATTTGAACATATTGTACGTATGAGCAAAACTGTTGAATTCTGAGCAGTTACAGCACTACCTTAACCTTTCAATAAAGAGAAAAACCCTGCACAAGTGAGCAGTATATTTTGAAAGTCATTAATGATATGATCCTTATGCCTTCACCTTTGCGCTGCCTCTCACTCCTCCATCCGCGTCGACATGTGCACCTCGCAGGACGTACCCATCCTTCTGGGCCTGTTCCCATGACTCCTGGATAAGATGGGACCGCGCCGGATTTCTTTCCAGGATTCGGACGGTGTACTGCTTTGGCACGCGGATGGCACCTTCCATGAATCCCTCGTCGCTGATATCTAGGGTGATCTCGTTGCCCTTCTCGTCCAAAGGCAGCTTGAACTCGTAGGCCCAGATGAGGTTGGACACGGCCAAAAACAGCCCGTTCTCTGCCAGGTGGATTCCTGGACAGATGCGACGTCCGGCGCCGAAGGTGAAGTGGTCACGGGCCATGATGTCGCCCCCGGCTGCGTACACCGCTGATCGATGGGGATGGTTGAGGTACCGCTCCGGCTTGAAGCTGAACGGATCCGGGAAACGCTCCGGGTCCCAATGCAGTGCGTTCAGGTTTGCGAGCAGGATTGTTCCCTTGGGGATGACGTGATCACGGTACTTGACATCACCGTCAGCCATCCGACGCAGGCCCGTCGTGGCCACGGGGCACAGCCGCAGCGTCTCCTTGATCACTGCTTTGATATAGGGCATTTGTGGCTCATCAGCTAGGGTGGCCATCCGTCCATCGCCAAGGATTCGTGTGACCTCCTCGTGGGCCCGGGCCTGTGCCTCCGGGAACATGGCCAAGTACCTGATCATGCCATTGAGTGCGCTGGCCGTTGTCTCCGCTCCGGCTTCCGGCACCGCACTCGCTAGCCAGGAGACCGTCTCCTCCTCGAGTCCGTGATCGCGGTAGTTTGACTCCATGAGGTCTTTAGCGAAGCAGTCGGGCGCATTCCCGAGGGCAATCCGCTCCTTGAGGTTGTTCCAGTGCCTCATCTTGTTTGCATGCATCTTCTGCGCCATGAACTTGGCTTTGGGCCATGAAGGGAATAGAAACCGTGGCAACCAGTTCAGAGGCGGGAACACGTCAATCCAGAACACCCCGGGGCTTAGAATGATTGACAGCATCCGCATGTTTCCATATACATCACGGACCTCCTGGCAGTCCCACTGAGGGATCCGAAGGCCGTACGCGGACGTCATTACAATGGAGAAGGTCATGCGGCGGATGTGCATATAGAAATCTGTGCTGTTTTTCCCAGCCTCATGGCTGAGATCCCATAAAAGTTGCTTGATCTCAAATTCCTGGCTGGGGATGAACGCCGCCGATGCCTTGGCATTAAGCAGCTGCTTCAAAAAGGCATGCAAACGTTTCCACTTTGCATTATAGGTCATCGGCAGCACACCATCGCCCCGAAGACAATATTCTTGGGCTATCGGGAGAGGTGGTTTACCGGACGTGACAGCCGCCTGTACTGTATGAGCATTCTGAAAGCAAGGGACTCGTAGTTGCGGGGTTGGATTACCTGCCGATCAAACACTTCCTTGACCGCATCTGGATGGTTGAAAAACACCCAGTTGTACCACCCCACGCGTACCTTGAAGGTATCCCCAAACTGGGTTGCCCAGGAGTTTAACAATTTGCGAGGGCGAGCCGGCAGATCCAGGCCAATCCCGATAATGGGCCATCCAGATGGACCAGGGATATCTGCCAGACCCTTGGACTTCTTGCGCGAGTACTTGACAGTCCAGACCAGAAGCTGGGAGAACAGAAAAACACAGGCAAAGCCAACAAGGACGGTCGGTCTGCCAAGGGCAGAGACGAAGTGAGGGGGAAGGGGCAGGTCAGCGGCTTTGAAGTAAAGGGGCAGGTCAACGGCTTTGAAGTAATCCATGTCTGGCTCAGAATACTTCACAGGAACACGACAGAGGTTCCAGTAAGATAGGCAAAGAGCAGTTTTGACGGGAGAATGATGAGCAGCCACATATCCTTTGCCGCCGGTGCCTTTTATCTCTTGCACTGGGCGGGGTAGGACTTTTCTCTGCCTCGGTGGAAGCTGATATCTCTAAACAACCCATGTGGAAGCACACCGCAAGAAGGACGGTGATTGTATTGAGCATGGACTGGCCACGGCTTCAATTGGGTGTCTCCTCCTACCTAATCGAGTCCTATGTCCGGCATGATCATTTCAATGCCCCGAGTTATCGTCCGTCATCCCGCATCTCCGAGGGAAATGCCTTGATTTCGTGCTTGACCATATCACTCGGAGGCCCTCACCAACACGACAAAAACAAGATCATGAACAGAGACGCCCCGCTCCATGCAAGCCAGGACCGGAATGTCCATATTCAGCCAGCGGTCCGAAAGGAGCGCCTACTGGCAAGGCGACGAAGGATTCTCCGTGCATCATTTGACACTTGCCTGGATGGTAACAGAAGCTGACATGCATGATGCATGTCGTCAAGGCTGTTCTGAAGCTGAGAAACTAGAGGATGTGTTACTGCATTGAGTTCAGCTGGCGAATCTCATATATTAGTGACAAGAGTTCAGAATGATATATTTGGGTAAATACAATACGTGAAGAAACGTGGTGTATGGTAACTGGTATTGGTATTAATACGATATGTTTTGTACTACCTAGACATAGTTACCATACGACGATGCAGCGAGGAAGATGATCAGCATAAGCGCTAACACTACCTTGCGTTTCTCGTACTTTGGTCGTGTTGACCAGATCATGCACTAACATAGAAATGCGACGTTGTCTGGACACCTTTTGAACCGAGGTTTTGGTGGCTGAAAGGCGCCCGCCCCCAATCTAGCATTTTGCCCAGTTGCTTCCCCTACCACCCTTGGGGTAGGCTGGATGCCAAATTACGCCTTGTTTTGCATATGATCATGTCGCCAAACTGCCATAAGGGGTACCAGCAGAAACGCAGCTCCCGCAGCCATCCCCGCTCCACTGAAGATTTGCAATCCCAGAAAGCCATTATCTCCACCATGACCCTCAATAACGCCCGCAATAGGCGCCCCAATCAACACGCCGAGACTGGTAGCAAACCACTGCATGCCCATACGCGTCCCAATCACTGAAGGGGTGGGCGAGACTACCGGGTGGGCAATGACCAGCGGATTAGCGGAGATGAGCACGCCAGAGAAAATACCGAAGAGCACACAGAAGACGACAAATGAGGCGACTGAGTGGATGCCAATCCAGCCAAAAAGGAGCACCGCCGAAGCAATCACGCTGGCAAGTAGGATGCTACTGGCGCCGAGTCGGTAGGTCAGAAGGGAGGACCCGATGCGGCCGAATGCGGAGCCTGCGTTGAGGATGGAGACCATGTAAAAACTAAGGTCAGTGGAAGAGTGGAGGGCGGTAGAGGCAAAGGCAGGGACGTAGAAGAGCGGAATGAAGTAGGCCATGAATATGAGGAAGTTGGCGATCCCATAAGCGTTGAAACTCCATTCCTTCATCGCATGCCAGTGGATGAGCTGCCGGGGAGGACTGCGTCGGGTCTTGGTGGTCACCATCAACAGCGGGACTGCGATGCACGAGCAGGCTAGCTGAATGAAGCCCAAGCTCCGTACAGTCCAGGGAAACCCTATACGTGGTTGAAGACGAATGAAGATGATAGGAAAGAGGACTCCGCCTGGGGTGGAGTGATTTCAATCAGCTCAGCGGTTCAATAAACTTGAATTAGAGAAGTATACCCACGCTCGCGCCTGAGGTGACCAGGCCAACTGCAATGCCACGCCGCGTTGTAAAGCGCGTTGAGACTAATGACAAGGCGGGGACGTAGATCAAGCCACTACCCAGGCCACAACAGACTCCTTGGGAGAGAAACACTTGGTAGTACTGCGTGGACAGACTCAGCATCATGAGCCCGAAGGTGGTCAGGAAACAGCCGGCGATCATCAGATGGTGGAGGTATCCCCGATCGAAAAGGGGACCGGCGATGACGCCAGTGGAGATGAGGAAAAAGGCATTGACAGTGCCCACCCAAGCAATGCGAGACGGAGAGCTGGTGTGCAGCAGATCGGATTGGTAGTAGCTCTGGAATGCACCGAAAGCTGTCGAAAAGCCCCAGGTGGTGAGGAAGAGGAGAAACGAGGCAAAGACGCCCGACCAGGCCGCCAATCCACCGTTAGGGGGAGCTGGAGCTGGAGCTGGAGCTGGATATTCCTCGGCCTGAGTCTGCTCAGACTGCTTAGTCTCCATAGCGAGTAGGTGTGGGGCACTGAAATAATGAGGAGAATGAACGTGAAAGCGAAGAACCGAATCGGATTATCGGACAACTAAATCAGTATTGGGGGCAGAAAAACTGGCCGCTATGCCAGGTCAGAAAAGAGATGAAGGGAATGGCATATAATAGAGAAGGGGCAGCCTCCTTTTTGTTCCATTTTCGTTTCCGTCCGTATCTGCAGAAAGGCATCACAGCAAAACAAAACAAAGAGCAAAAGAACGTCTGATTTGTCATCCCCGCAGCATGTAAGCACCCTTGTCAATACTCCCCTTTGTTAATGCACAACCAATACTTTCGAAAATACCGAGGTTGAACGCGGAGCAGGTCTGTAATTCCACATTTCACTCGTATAGCCACACGCACCTGGCTCTCAACCCCCGACAAAGCGCTGCCTGGTCATCTTGTCATTGTCTGTACCTGGCTGGGGGCCTCGGCCAAGCACATCACCAAATATACCGATCTGCACCGCTCCATTGCTCCTCATGCCCGGATCCTGTTGATTGAATCCGAGGTCTCGATCCTAGTGAGCAGCTACGCCCGCCAGCGTCGACTGATCCGGCCCGCCGTGGACGTCGTACTCGAGACCCTAGCAGATAGTACTGAAAGCGACGCGCCGCGGATCCTGCTGCATACATTCTCTAATGGCGGAACCAACACCGCGACGCAGCTGCTGATTACGCTCGGGAAGACTGTTTTCCAGCCGTTGCCGCTGGTTGGACTTGTGCTGGACAGTACACCAGCAAAGGGAACGTACTGGAAATCCTACAATGCCATGGTCTTCTCTCTTCCTCCATCATCTCGCCTCATGGGCTCAGTTGTGGTTCACTTTCTCTTGATCCTGCTATACACCTGGATTGCATGCGGAAACGAGAACCCGGCAGGTCTCATGCGCCGCACCCTCCTGGATGAGGAGACAGTCGGTCCAGCGCCCCAACGAGATGACCTTGGATACGTGTGCTACATGTATTCGAAGGAGGATCGTATGACTGACTGGCGGGATGTCTGGGATCACGCTCAGGAAGCCAAAGAGAAGGGTTGGAAGGTCGACAAGGTGCTTTTTGAGGGTACGGGTCACTGCGCGCACATGCCAGATAATCCTGCACGGTATGCGGAAGCAGTTGAGAAAGCATGGAACTCCGCTCCGTGCAAGATTGAGTCTAAGCTGTAGTTAGTTCGCTGCACATACGTTATATCAGGGTCTTGTTGAATTGAGATTCACTATCGATGCAAGCCCACTCCCCCTCGGCATATGGATATGCCGTCATGAATACCTGCCAATCTTTTTGCTTGGTTAGTTGAAAGTTACTAGGTATCTGCTGTGCTGCAAATAATCTATTAAATGGAGGACTATGAGAAATACTTTGGCCTCTCTATATATAGCCCATCATTTTGTACCTGGTGTAAACTCACAATTCAATATATATGTGTAGATACGTTGGGCATATGATTTAGGAACATCATACAAAAGATATATAATGGGTTGCCCTCACCAAACACAAACACATGCAAATATTCTTGTATCGTATGTAGCTATAACAAGTCCGCGAAGGGGTTAACAGCGACTTCTTCGACAATGCAGTGGGTAACCGTGCACAATGCAAGCTACACACACAAGTAGTATGGAATTTTTCGAGGATCAATCGATCGCCAGATGAACGGCATCCCCTGCGACAGACCCCTCTCGTCAAACTGCCTCATCCGGATCTCGTCGCTAATCGCCCACATCTTCTCCCGGAACCTCCTCTCAGCATGATGAATCGCGGTCCCGGTCCGCGCCAGGAAGCTGGATCCTGAAAACATATGAGGCAGGCTTCCCTCCTGTACATCCAGCAATGGTCTGTTAAAACGTACAAGGAGGGAGGCCTGTTTCAGCGCTTCGGTCTCGTTATGCAACCAGGGGAGTAGGGAATCGATACTCCCCTTGGCTTCAGGGAGGGGCCGGTTGAAGGAGGAAGGGTGGAGAGGGAGGACCCCTGAGGCCTCGCCGACCGTCGCGCCATTGAGGGCATGATGAGCAATACCTGCGATGAAAGCCATGTGTGAGAGCACAGAGATCAGTTGCTCGGGCTCGCGCATCGGAGCCGGCACGAAATCGATAACCTCGGCCGCTTCAGTGGCCTCGATGATCCAATCCTGTAGTTCATTGTCTACATCCATTAATGCCTCCTCTGGGTAATACAATTCCACGAATGTTCGCGTAATGTCCTCGATAGCCTCCACCATGGGTGCCACTGTCTCATAGAACGGGAACGAGGTCAAGCGGGGTCCATAAGTGCAGTCCACCAGCCCGCGGTCAAACAGGTCTTGGTAGAAGTTCGTAGCCTTGAAATGCCCCGCGTGCTCCCAGTAGGCATCTGTCGCGAACTTCTTGCCAGCCCAGTTTGGAAGCGCAAATGAACTGTCGTAGAAACCCCCATCGTTGAAGAGGAATTCCTCTCCGATAGGGCGGACTGCATACGCCTGATACATCACTGTAACCGTCAGTAGTAGGCCACACTAAAGGAAAGAGGACGAATTATGGAACATACGGCGATCGAGGTATCCCCGGACAGGATGACGAGCGCTCATGGTCCGCAAGGCCGCCTGATGGACGGGTTCCGCCACGTCATGCGTATTTGCAAGGTGGTACAGCTGCGAGTGGAACAGATCGTTCATCTCAAAAGCCATCTTCGCAAACAGCCAGTCATTTGTCTCATCCATCGGGGTATATGTGAGGTCACTCCCCATGTTGGTCTTGATGGCCAGAGGGAGAAAGGCGCCGGAGCGGGGATGGATGAAGAAGTAGGCAGTGCAAGCCGCTGTCCAACGTTCAGGAGTCTTGGGATACGGCGCCTGGTATGAATGATTGGCGAAGAAAAGACGCCCGTCACGGTGGAGGGCCTCAAGGGTACTTCCTGCCGCCAGGTGCTGCACCACTCTGTCATCTACCGCAAAGGGGAGCCGGTCCTTGCGCGGGTGAAGACGTCGAACAACATAGGGATTGATTGAGAGCCGTTCCATAGAGAACAGCAGGTCCTGGGTCCAGTTTGTCAGCATACCGGAGGCAACCCCGTCCGGCAAGGTGGAGGCCCATTGGTCCTCGTAGATAACTGCGTAGCTGGAGAGAGATTGTATACCTCCCGCCTCGTTCAGTTAGCAGGGTCCTTCTGCGGGCGTCGATTCCTTCAGCAAACAAACCTTTGCCAGTGCTGTGGCTGCCTTGTCCCACTCGGGGTACACATTGTTGCTGACATATTCTACATCACGGAACCACGCAGCCTTATCTCGGGCCACCATGGCATCCCCCAGCACCCCGGTGGGAAAGAACGATGTGTTCCCAAGCAAAGGTGGCCCATAGAGATATCCCTCACGGGCCATACGGACCTCATACACTCGCTCCCAGGGTCTGATATCAAACATTGGAAGTGTGTACAGGTGGTCCCCGTCATCAGGAAGGGCTGCGGAAGGTTCCATCACTGTTTGGCTGGGAACCACTGGCAGTCCAAGAGCATAGTAAATCAAAAGGGACCAGAAAAACAGGCAATGATTGAAGACCATCATGGATAGATTCTGAATTTCTTGAAGACTGGACGAAGCAGAAACAGGACCTTCCAACTAGAAACTCACCTATCTATATGCCCTTTTTCTACCCTACACACCACAGATCCTGACCACCTCACTCATCTCATCTTGGACTTCAATCTGGCCAGTATCTGACCTGACCCACAGGCATGAGCTCATCTCTCAAGTGTACATAGGAGCATTCCTGATAAGGAAAGCCGCATTAAGCAATAAGACAACAATGTATGCAAGAATACTCTATTGCCTGATACACGTGTATCAAGACTGTATGATGTTTGTATGCAATTACCGTAAATACCTGTATGCACTTTCCTAACAGGACCACCAACATGTCCTTCTGGACACACCCACCCTCATTGGTCGCACTGAGGAGATACACGTGTAGGTTAGAAGGTATGTCTCCGTTGCGGGGCATCATCCATCCGATTCACGCATGGATGATGGAACGCTCGAAACGGGACTGAGACATCTCATTGAGGCATGTCCGCAATCCAGCAAATGCTGGTTTGCTGACGCTGGAAGTAAGTACAAGCAAGATAAACCTCGTATATAGGTAACCCATATTAAACCGAGATTCTGGAAATCTCTCTCTCTTCCACTACCCTCTGGATCACATTCCTCCTCTCCAAATGAGAACGATTATTCTTGTCTTTCTGTGGCTCACCGCCGTCAGTTCCCATCCCCGTGGAATCGACTGGGGCTATGCTATAAAGTATCACCAGCAAGTCCTCCAAGGAGATGACGATCGAGGATTTGGGCTTAACGAGCCATTCATCCCAACTCCATCTCATATCCTTCCTGAAAAGAAACCTTTTTATATTGATGAATCCGTCAATTACTACGAGAGACACTTCAATGGCTCGGGGAAAGACGGGGAATACCGTCGCTCGTCATGTCCCGCGGTAAATGCGCTGGCGAACCGGGGGTATATCAATCGAAGTGGAAGGAATATCACCTACGCTGAGCTGGCGCATGCCGTCCGCAAGGTGTGGAATTTTGGCGATGATAACGTTATTCTCCCAACAGAAGACTCCCTTGTCTTCGTTATACTAATTCTCTGCCGCAGAGTATGCTAGTGTTGGCGCCGACGTTCGCAATGCATAGATGGCCTGAGACCATTGATCTCGATTATTTCAATGCAAGATATTGCTCTCGTTTTCCAAAAGAGTATGAATTAACGCTCTAGTAGGATGACCTGGTACAGTATGTGATCAATTGTCCGGCCGCGCCAACTCGCAACGACCGTGCAGTAGGCGACAATATCAACCTCAACATGACTCTATTCGAGACCCTGCTCTCATTCTCTAAGGACGGCGAGACTTTATCCTTAGAAGACATGGCGGAGCACCATCACCTGCGACACAACCAAAGCAAAGCAGAAAACCCAGAATTTGTCTTCGGTAATCAGGGCGCTATCTGCTCTCTGTGAGGCACACTCAGACATTGTCCTTCCCCCTTTGCTAACAGGAAGCAGTGCCCAGTACACGAACATGGTGGGTGTGCTGGGTAAGTTCGGCAAGCACGGCCGAACAACCCTCTTCATTGACGACGTCAAGACATTCTATCTGGACGAGGACATACCCCGGAACTACGAACGAAGAGAAGCACCAGTATGTAGCCTCCCCCCGACGGACTCAATCCTCTTCGTAGCAGCCACGACTGACAAGTTCAGCACTACTCGCCGGAATCCAACGCGATGATTGACCGCATGTCTCACCACGTCGGATACACCATTCAGAGACCATTTCCCGACGGGGATCAGGATCCTGGACGGGACATTTGTCCGATGAAGGCGCGTTTCCAGCGGGATGAGTGTAATTGATACAAGGAACCTGATGGCCACTGGCAGGGTAGGGCTAACTTAGGCTGAGTGTATGTCGTCGTACAGCGTAAGGTATTGAATGGTACGGAATCTCTTGCCAAGAACTCGTTTTAATCACAAAATGCTGTGCTGATATGCGGTTGGATCTGCATGGTCGGTAGATCCCGATGTGAAAAGCTTACTTAGTTATCAGATTGCTCACTCGCGAATTAATCCGCGCTTGTCATCGTCCGTAATATAACATTGGGAGATTACCATCAAGGGCGCCTAACAGGGTCAGACTTTGTATGTTTTGCACTTTGCTATCGGACTCGTCAAGAGCTGCATATGAATAAATTCGCACAATGCTAGCTGTGATACTCTAGACTTGGCTTGTCCAAAAGGCACTAGTAATCAAGTACCATCATCTGAGTCTTTATGATGATCACCACATTTTCAACGTCTGGTAAGGGTGTAATGAATCCTGAAAACTCCGTAGCGCAAGCCACAAAGTCCAGTACTGATCGTAGGAAGATAGTACGTCCCACGTTGGTTGGAGCTATTCCTCGTCTTAAAAGCCTCATACATGGGCAATTATCCTTCAACAGGAACAATCACGTTTTGAGCATGAGTAAAACCGGCTACTGAATGATTCATGCAGAAATTAAAAAACCAATAGAGAATGCTTCGATTAACCTAGATCAACTTTCGCAGTAAATGAGAAAATAACTCTCCCAGAACCTTCCGTTGGGGGCCACAGAGCCGATGTAACACCTATGTGATGAAACAATGAGAGAGTCCAATCAATCTGCCGACTGTAGCGGAAATTTAATGATGTGTTGTCACCTGCCAGACCCCAGACAATGTGGGGGAGAGGCTCCACAGCCGGCTTTACCCCGTTTGTCCCGCGCCATTTTCGCTGATCCTTCATCATCAATTGAACGGAGAATTCTCCGAGTTTGGTATCGGTTGTTCCTGTTACATACTAAGTTAATTGACATGCTTGAACGGCTCTGATTACTACATTCGACTAAGGCAGGTAAGCACAGCCTAGAGCGCCATCGCCGTTCCCGCCCTATCTATAGCCTGCCTTTTGGTGATTCCACTGGAACCCGGCGAGTGTGCCTGTAATTCCACGAAGGGTCTGTCAGATCAGAACGTATCGCGTAGTTTTCTTCCGCATCTTCCAGAACCGCCAAATCGAGCGTCGCCACGCCCATTCCTTCAGTGGAAGTACCTAAACGGACCAGGGGACCCGCGTATGGAATGTTGATCTGGGAGAGTCCGCAGTAATTCCTCCCCGGAGGTCCGCCTGCATTGGCAAAGACAACAGCGCAGGTATTCTCAAATGTTCGCGCAGTCAGAGTGCTGTCAAGGAACAGGGAGGGTGCACTTGGATTCTGGCGATGGCCTGCCTCAGAGGCGCCGCTGCGAGTCCACAGGGTCGGCACAATGATGATCTTAGCTCCCTGCGACACCAATTCTCTCCAGGCTTCAGGGAAGGCCAGGTCCCAGCACACTAGCAAGCCTACAGGGCCCAGCGGGGTCGAAATGACCCGGTGTGGACTGTCGCCGGACGATCGAAGGTACGCTCGCTCGGTGGGTCCCCAGAGATTCTTTTTCACGTAGGAGCCTAGAATCTCACCGGTGTTGGAGATGAAGAAGGTTACATTTTCTAGGCTCGGTGTCTGCTTATCAGAAACAGTCCCTGCTGCAGCTGTAGGGGAGGCAGACGCAGGTCGAACTATCGATCCGGGTACGATGCATATGTTACACTCTTTAGCGAGGGCCTGATAACGATGCAGATAGGTCTCCCAGTCATCGCAGAGGGAAGCAAAACGAGGATCAGTAGGGATCCAATTCGTCAGATGAAATTCAGGCAGTACAGCCAATTGACAGCCCTGCGCAGCAGCCTCAGTGATAAATTTCACAGCCCGCGCGAAGTTGTCGGCGGGGTTGAGGGGCTAGAAGAAGAGCGTATTAGAGACGATATTCCAGGATTTGAGACATAATGTGGCTCTATTTTTTTGTTTTTACCCTTTTTCTGTTTGCTCATTGATGAAGCTATTTTAGAAAGATGCAAGTGATAGAAACTTACCTTGACATAGAGCTGGATGACGGCAATCTTGCAGAATGGTGGCATGATGACGAATACGAGGCGGGGGAGTGGAATGGAATTGAGGGCATTGGAGCCTCAAGCGCGGGAACCCATCATTTTATGTCATTGGTTGCCAAGGTCGAGACGTGTTGATCATGCTAAGATTAGCCCGATAAGGTGTACGTTTATCACGGCCCCGGACTCGGAGACGCCGGTGTACCTCGGTTGGCGCCGCGTGGATACTGGCAGGGACCGTGGGGGCTGTCCGAATGGTTAGATGCTAAGGCTGGTATGGCAGCGTTCAAAACTGTTAAGATACATACTTGGTAAGGTAAGGTACGCCCGGCGTGTATTGTATTATCAATTGGTCATTACACCTGCCGTACCGAGATCTATGCCTCAGACCTGTGCTCAATGCCCAGGGCCCAGGCCCAGGACCCATCAGTCAATGTAGTCTTGACCGGAATGACCCTTTCTTGGGCAAAGCCTCCGTGAGGATATTCCCCGTCAGCGTCTTCAATTCAAGGAAAAGTATTCTGCTTGCAGGCTCAGTCGGCTTTTCTGACGAGGAATCGGGTAGAGCCTCGCATGATTACTGATTATGGTTATATCGCCGAAGCACGCGCAGTAGAAGACACTGTTAGAGAATCTTCTGTTTCTGTGGCTCAGATTAGAGCTCCATGACGTTTTTTTCGTTGCCAGGAAAGTTGCCATTATACCGGGTGACATATGGTCTTAAATTGGACTGTTCTAAGAACTTGGGCGGTAGATGGTCTCCGTTGCCTCCGTAAGTACGTTCAGGGAAGGTTCGGATAAGACAGTGGATCTGGTACATTTCTGCTGTTTCTTGCTTTATCTCACATCAACTTATCCTGTGTTCTCGTCATGTCAGCTAAGTACAAATAGTTCCTGCTTAACCAGCTTGTGGTCTAAACCACACACACAACTATTCAATCAAGCCTTTGCTGTTCTGAAGAGTCTAAGTCCTCCGCTGAAACCATGGCCATGACTACTGTCCGGCTCACATTTTCCTATCTATTAAGCTCATCAAGCCCCAAGGTGGTGAGAAATCCTCCTGTCAAGGTGTCTGAGTCTGTTAAGAAGCAACGCGTATTCCATGCATCGCAGATCCCCGCGTGGATGCAATGGGACCCCTATATCCTTCACGGGTATCGGGCTCAGTTAGACAGCTATGGGCAGTGTTTCCGGTCTTTGTTCTACCTACACAATGAATCAGTCAATACTTGGTCTCATATCATTCCTGGCATGTACTTTCTCACACTGCTTCTCGCAATCGACTATTGGATCATTCAACTGCCGCTCGAGGTGCCTGTGATTGATATTCTTGCTATTCAGACCTATGTTGCTGGCACGGCAGGATGCCTGATCTTTTCCGTCAGTTTCTGTTGCCTGGTTCAGGAGACCTGAGAACTTGCTGACGGGCTGAACATTACCTTCATAGGCCGCATTCCATGCCACCAATGCACATTCACCTGAAGTCGCTCACGCCTTCTTGAAGCTTGACTATCTGGGGATTGTGATGACCATTACAACCACATGTATCTCCGTGACCTATTTTGCCTTATACAGCTATCCCGTCTTGCAAGTTACATATATCTTCTTCACCGTGCTCTGTGCCGCCATAATATTTTGGGTTGCGCTAGATCCCCAGATGGATGGTGCACGTGCTGGTCCATGCAGGTCAGTATTTTGCCGTGCCATTTTTGGCTCTACAGCGTCTTGACTCTGCCAACCTTCTTTGTAGAGCAGCTGTGTTTTCCCTCCTGGCCACGAGTGGCTTAGCTCCCATTTTTCATGTTATTTGGGCCGAGGCTTCTTCCGGCCTAATTAACATTCCTCTGGACAGTCTTACGGTGACCTGCTCGTCATATGCCGTCGGCACGGCGGTGTACGTCACCCGGTTTCCAGAAAGGTTTTGGCCAGCGCGATTCGATCTGATTGTAAGTTGAAAGTGGCTTGTCCTTATCACCTTTGGCTGTGGCTGACAGACATAGGGAGCGAGCCATCAAATTTTCCATATCCTGGTTGCATTTGGCCAGATTGTGCACTTGTTCGGGCTGCGGGAGGTGCTTCTTCGGATCCACATGGGCATGTGCGCAGTATAGACCGTGTCCATAAGGAAACAGGCCTCCTGGAAGATTGGATCACTTGTTGAACCCCTTCTTCGCTGGGGTTCAGATATGCGGACTGCGAGCCAGGAATATTCGTCTGCATCCCAATGATAAGGGATGGCATGCGAAGATGTGATTGTTGGCGCTTCCACAAGAATCACAGCCGCTACTGGGAATAGAGCTAGAAGAGACTTATCACAATATCCCACTATGTCCACATTTAGACGCAACGCATATATGTTGAGAGGCTAGGCGCTTGTTTGCTTTCCTGTCCGTTTAGGCTTCAGTATCAAGATATCTGCTCAACAGTGCAGCCAGATAGCATATCAACCTGAAGCAGTCTACTTATAGGAACATATCTAACTCTGATGTTACTACTAGGCTCCTCTGTGATAATAGAGAACTATATGAATAACTAGCTACATCTTCAAGGATAAATCAGAGAGCATATAATGGCTAAAAATATCAACGGAGCATTGAAAAGGAAGCCCGAAGCGTGCTCTTGGCTTTGAAATTGTTCTCCGACCCCAGGGAAGGAGTAGCAGCCCATCAGACGTAAATGTTCTCTTTATTCTGATATACCACTTTTGCGCGATTGTGACACGGCATTGAATGCTCAACCCGCTTAGCGTTTGCAGCCTGACTCTATTGCGGACATTAAACGCTTCCAGCTTCCCTACGCTCTACACAAGCGATGAAGTCGGGCCTTCAACTACTAACACAAGTCCTGAGATTCCACCAATTGACCCGCAGTTAATGTAAGATTGTAACTCTTTGATCTTAGGTCGGCATGAGCCAGGGACTTCTGAGGACAGGGAACGGAGCGACTCTTCAAATGCCACATGCAGCCCATATTTAACACCTATCCCACATCGCTCAAGTTAAGTGATGCAAGATCGTCCCTCAGAGAAGCCCTGTCAAGCGCAGAGATGACAGGATCGCCTGTTAGCACCAACTTAGAAGCTTCCTCATCCTTACTGTTACACCTGGGAAGAAAGCACTTAAGAAAACTGGGTGTTGTACCATGGATAACAAGGGAATTCATGCAAACCATTAACTAATTTGCATAATGACGTGAAGACAAGCTAATAACACTCAATGTGGCCACATTCAACGACCTAAGAGCACCAGAGCGGCAAACCATCTTTCTAAGGAAGAAGAGATCACATCAATTTCAAGATATTGGTATGTTAGCGCAGCCATCGCCGCGCGTCACTCACTTGACTTCCAGGATATGTCTTTATCAGTGAAGAGTTAATGGCAACTAGACACTGTGGATCCGCCATTTTATCACAACTTTTCGGGTTTCAAGAATCAACAGATCTTATGAATGGGTCTACTAATAGTAATGCCACCACCCTGTTTGGTATGTGACCCTGGCTGCGAGAATGGAACGCTTCCAAGGAGGGTCTCAAGGGCGACAGAGCTCGCTGTGAGTTGCTTAACTTGCTTTAGCTTCACAAATGTAAAAATATAATCAGTGCTTCTCAGCAGGATGGTCGTCCTGGCTGCAACTATGATGGAGGTGGCAGATGATCAGATCTATAGGCACAGCTAACCTTAATGAAGTTACCGCCCCTCTGCCTGTCTATGATCCTTAAGAGAAGTCCATACAGCAGGATAATAATTTAGAGAACTAACTAATGTCTTAAGTCCTCTGAAGTAGGACTATAATTAAACCCTACTTTGTCCAGAGCCCGGTGCCAAGCCTCAGATGAGATGTGCTAGGCAAGGCTTATGGTGCATGCAACCTAGAATCAGCCTTATTAACACCACATTCTGCTTGACCAAAGGTATGTCTGAACCATTCAGTCCCACTATAGGATGTTATAGCAAACCTATACCAGTCAGATTCCACCAAATCACTAACTCTGACGCGTCTTACAACCCAGTAGGATTTTTGGAAGTTAAATAGCGGCACTCGACATAGTTGTCCATCACTTTTTTTCTTTCCTTCAAGATACTCATTCTCAAAAAATGACTTCAAGTGTGATCCTGTACGGAAATCAACCATATAAGGTGATAAAGTCTCAGTGCTATTCAAGGAGGAAAGGCAGAGAAGAGTTAATGAGTTCCATAATCTTAGTGAATTGCGTGGTTTTACCAGAGAGTACCAGCAAGATACAAAAAGAGAGAGAACGACACACGCCACAAATTCCTATAGGTCAGGCTGAGAGAGTACTGAATAGCCTCTCGTTCAAAGTTAATTGATTGGAAGCGACCTAGAACCACAGGGAAACCGCAAAGTATTCTCAGTGAGTTGTTGTCTGGCTTCATGGCTTCTTGATCTCCAAGTCTGCGTCAGTGAGCTCGCCGTCCTCGAAATCCGCATCCAGGGTTATGATGGGAGTAAACTTGCCATTTTTAACAACTCCAGTACGCCCCTCAATGAACTTGTATACTTCGGAGTGAAGGGCACGCGTCTCTATGGAGTCATTCGCTTCCTAACTTTATCTTTAGAGTCACCAGTCGCATGTTAGTACACAAGGCTTCCTCCAATCTTAACCATGTACCAGACCCAGTTGTTGAGGTTTATTTTCTTGCCAAACAAGGACTCCTCGGGATTCTTGCAAATACTCGTGTCTGGAGGGTCTCTTTGTAGCGCCTGGCAGAATGAGCCTAAGTCGTCCGTGAATGTGATTCTGAACCATTCGTCCATTCTTCCAGGCTGATTTCGCTTCTCCGGAAGCCTGTCTGGATAGCATTGCCTTGTTCTATTCTAAGTATTAGAAGTATTGGAGCAGCTCATTGACGCAAGCCATGGTGTAACGTACGTTTTTGTTGATACCTCGTCGCAGGGAGCAAATTGGCCCCTGAGCCCCCTTGTGCCATACTCTCCCATGGAAACTCTTCTGCGCTATTGGTCTCCGACTTCACCCCAGGATTGGGATTTATTTGCCCGGTATGATATTTGGGCACCTGACCCTTACGGAAAGGCACCTCCTTTGCTCCCGAATCTTTGTAATTGACCTCGTTCAAACCAGGCGTGTCGACTCTTTGCCTATGAGTTGGGTCAATTCGTAACTGGGACGGTAGCTGGGCACTTATAATGGTACTCACCATGTTCTTTCTCCTCAATTTGAACCATATTAACTATATACAGTCTTGAATCAATGCACCGAGAATGGGGTTTCAGGCAAGACTAGGAAGGTTTGGGTTCACAATAAGTGTACCAATGTTTGCTTATCAAGCCGCGGAACCCATTGTTAAATTTGAAGGTTCTAAACTTTAAGGGCAGGAGGGAAAGTATGCACATACGTGTATTGTTCTGCTGACTCCTGAGAGATTCACTCTTTCCATTATTGCGCGTGTGCCTAGCTAGTCTCATGTATTGTTTTCGTTTATTTGGCTTATTCCAGTATCTTGAATATACACTGTTTATCGACCTCATGGATTCACACCTGAGAACCTCAACAGTAGTCTGGCAGCTCCTCGTCAAATTGACTTACATCGGTGGGTATGTGCTCCTGATTAGTGAATATAATAGCTAGATAATCTCAATAATCCTTGACAGAAAGTATAAGATAAAAGCTTCAAAACCATGATCCTTAGGACTGCTCGACACTTCTGACCTTCGCAGTGTGCAGGATGTGTCAAATTTCAGTGATAATGTGTGCATGTAGCTTACTCTCTAGTTCATGGTATCTACGTGCTGTGTGCCTAGCAAACTGTGTAGACATAACAAGCGAACGGTACAAGTCACTATTTAGAATAGTCTGAAGGATAATGCATTTGTCATCGTACTAGAACCAGAAATGTTACAAGTTGGTGTATTATGAAAGGCGCTAGAGAGCTCTATTCATCCTCGTCACTGTCTTTGCCATTCATACATTTCACTGCTTTGAACACGTTGAAGATGCCAGTTTCATTCGTAAATTTCTCTGGGCATCCAAAGTAGATCGGATAGGCAGACTCCCGTGGGGTCCACATAAGAGAGCCATGGAACTCATCAGCTGCGCGATGATCGATTCTGAAGTCGTACCAGGTGTTGGCCTTTGGAGGGAGAGGTCCCCATCCGTCAAATTCGAAAGTAGGCTCTTCCGGGCTAACTTCTGGGTAGTAGAAGCTCATAAGTAGAGTCCCGTCTCGAGCGCTTCGCTCATCTGCGATAGCGATGACAATCGGTTCAATAAATTTAACTTTAGCTTGGTACCACTTGTCTAGCGCCCAATTTTGGCATTGCTCCTTAGAGGCGTTGATGAAATCTGAATCGAAAGTCTCGCCGTCTTGTAATTCAATTCTAAACCCCTCTCGCTTGTCCGGGCAGATCTCCGATTCAACAAGATAGTACAGAGGAGGGGCATCCTTCTCGATGCTAAATTCGCGCAAAGCCTTAGGTATGATCTAATAACCAGAGTCAGCATCGTTCTGTTACTGATATACAGTTGGAATTATTCAGCCTAGTCCGATAGACTTTCAACAACGTGTTCCTGATCAATCACAGATGGACTTACAGGCTTGGCCTCCTCCCCAATACAAAATAGCAAGGTGCGTGTCATGGCAAGGAATTTATGTCATGTCTTCCAGGGTGGTATCAGGCGTGACAAGTAGCACTGAAAACGGGCAAGATAACTTTTTTATACTACAGATCCACAAGTAGGGATGCAATGACCTCATCATCAACTTGGCATAGCCCCACTAAAACAGGAACTTTTGCGGCCCCAGCCTCCAGGCGCCGCTGCAGGGTCCCGCCCCGCCCCGCCCCGCCCCGCCCCCGGCTCCCAACGTGGAAGTCGCTGCCATATCTAGCACAGCTACACTGTAGAAAATCGCCAACAAACTATAGAGTATTTTGTTTGGCCTAAATCGGCGCCGGTTAGTAGCTGACCACCAGCGAATCCCGGCTGTTATGCTGTTGTATGTTTTTTTCTTCTCTCCCTTTTTAGCTTCATGCGAGGCGCCTCTGCATGAAACGCCACTGCCTGAATCTGGTTTCATGTCTTGATTGGCGCAGACCCGGCTAAGACTCGCTCAATCTGACTTATGTCGCAGAGAGTATTTCCCGGGAATCGAGTTATTCCAGGAACGCGAATGACAGTCGGCAGACTTAGTCGTCTTCGAGAGTCGGCAGTGCCGAAAAGTGCAGCATAAGAAGTTGCGTAAGATCGATGTAGTGTATACGATGCTTCTCGGTTTATAGAGGCCGTATATACTCCCTATTCGCTGCTTGAGCTGATAGCAGTCATAACCATCCTTGACTGTCCTTGTTCAGTCCCATTCCTGGTTGACTGGCTTGGATTCTGGTGAGATATTTTTGCCATTAACTCATGGGTCCTGTGTTCTGTGTTTTGCCTCCCTCTTTACTTCTCATTGGCACGGAATAAGATGATGTTGGTGGCTCCATCAATGCCCTTGGATGTACTGAACTAGTGTTGTTAAGGCCAGGGCCCCAGGCAGGTTCTTTTGGATCTATGCTGATGTGTGTCATTGGTTTAGCCTTTTGGGCTGATACCTTAATGATACTATATATATGCCGAGCTAGACTTAGCCTTAGCACTAGTTCCTGTGTTCTCCCGCCACGTTGCCTATTTCCTTCATGATTCTCATGAGATGATTGCTCTTCGATGACTCGGGCCGTCAGCTTGATGAGTTTGCAACAGTGGAAAGGAGATGTAAATACTGATATCGCGAGAGCTTCTTGGCATGTAGGTCCTGCTCTAGACCTGGGCCCGAGTCCTACGATTTCAGTTCATTGATCCAAACACAATACGCAGCAAATCAGCGCAGGACGGTGCTCTCTTATTCTGGAGCTAGTGATAAGATGTCAGAGATTTCCCTTATGTTCTTTGTAGTCCTTGACACCTAATATATATTTTTACATGAGCCCTTAAGATAAGTCGGTGCTTGGATATACTCATTCCTCCGTCACATCTATCCGGTCTGTTTTCCTGTGAGTGAACAGGTGCAGCCACGACTACCTCCTCATACAGCCACAGAAGAGTAGCACTAGTGGCATGCACGGTGTGATGTGGAATGACATCCGCGGGACTACCACAGACTGTAAATATATGGCAATTGGCTGCGGATGAATGGTATCAAGGTGCTCTTCACGACAGGTAACCTTTCAGTACAAGCGCAAATAGCAAGAGCAGCAGTTCTTTCCTGCGATAGATGCATGACACTGCTGTTCATGCCGAGTTGATTGCAGCAGAGAGACCGATAGGAGATACGCAATGCTCAGGTCGATCCTGCTCGGGTCTGAATCGCTCACTTAGCCTATTCGTGGCTTCCGCCTCACCCACACCTCCTTGTCGGTAGCCTTAGAAGCCCCATCAGTTGATGCGGGAGGGTCACGCAGCTGAACCTCCCAAACCTTAAGCTTGTAGTTGCCACGATCCGACTGCCCGGAAAAGAGGTCAAAGGACCAGCCGTGCTTGGGACATGTGATACCGGCGCTGAGCACGACGCCAAAGTCTTCGATGTCGAAGAGGCTCCCCTGTGACAGTGGGAACGACGAGTGCGGGCATTGCTGGAAGGGTCAGCTTGATTCTGCGTATTCGTCTCCGTCTCACTCACGTGATCAATTGCATGAAATTTTCCCTTATATTTGAACACAAGGACCTGATCCTTCAGGTCACCTGGTAAGTCAATGTCCGCTTCGACTGGACACCGTGCGTCTTGAGGCCCGTTTGTATTGGGGTTCGGGATCCGGAAAGCTTTGCATTTCGCTGTGATCCGTCGTCCATCATAGTCGATATTAACGTCCGGAAATGTCGATGCAAGGCCGACCTTGTGCCAAGCTCCCTCTAGTCGAGACGGAGCTCGAAAGGGGTTCATCGCTAATGTAAGCGACGTGGCGGATTTTCTCACAAATTGGGTGAATTCGGTCGGCATCGTGAGATGAGACTGCCGTCGCACGTGATCTTCCATACAAATCAGAAACGATCCGCGTTTGTCATGTGATCATTGGATATCCAGTTGAGGAAAATGAACCCATCTGGGTCATCTCGTCTCTGCGTACGAAGCAGTTCCTCGAGCTGACCTCCATGTCGACAAGATGCGGATTCTTCCCATAGGTAGTAATGGAATGGATTACGTTGTATCCTAGTGGGCTGAGTGAATGTTACCACGACACCCGTGAGGCAACAGTTGGTCCACTCTCGTCCCTGCTGGCCCTGATGAAGTAAGTTGTTGAGTACGTTTCTCGTCCACACTTATCATGCTCCATGGTGATTGACACCGACTACTGGTAAGGTGGTCGTTGAAGCCGTGGTATCGCTACCAGACGGACCCCTTGTGCTGTTTCCCTCTACTGGCTGCAGTAATGAGGAGAGAGGCTGGGGCACACTAAACTGTTGTGGGGACTTGTATCTTGAAAAGTAGGTACTGCACGCAGTGGAAGCGGAGAAAAAAAAACCACTCATCTATCTCTATTCAAGATTACCAATGCAAGAACAAGATATCCAAAAGTAATCAAGCTTTCGCCCTGTTCGCTATCCTAACAGGGTGGGCCATTCTCAGAGGTCCATAAACCATGGATGTTCCAATGCCTGACGCGCTGTGAGTCGTTTAGCGGGATCCAGATTTGTCAGTCCTCGAATAAGGTCTCTGAATGCAGGATCGACAACCTCTGGCCACTCAGAGAATGGTTTGTATGGGATGTCCTCGTCAGTCCTCCCGTCCCATAGCATCTTCAGAACTTGGCAACTAGATTTATCCTCCTGGAGGTGTCTCAAGAGACCATTAACCCCGTCATGGTTGCCAAAATATGAAACCTGGCGCTGCAAGCGAATAATGGCAGGGAATACACCCTGCATTTGATGCATCCGGAAATCATCATCATCAGGACCAAGGATTACGCGTCCAAGTACAGCATAGATGCACTAATAATATTTGTCAGTAACCAGTAGCAGGAGCAGAAGTTGAGGACGTACAACAATGCCAAATGAGAAGATATCAGTTGGTTTGTTCAGTTCACCCTTGAAATGGGCCTCGGGACTGCGCCAGTTGTCAATTCCAGCGAGCATACCCTTAATGCACCTTCCCTTAGGAAGGTATGCGGCATTTTCAAGGTCAATGATCTGAACGTCCTCAATGATCGGCCCATGACCATCTTGACGGCAGTCAACTAGTACATTGTCTGGCTTGATATCTAACCATGATTAGTTCCCAAGTCTGTGATTGTGTTAAGGCAGAATACCGAGATGAACAATATGCCTTTCGTGCAACTCAGCAATGGCTAGGACGCAGTTTTTTAAGATTTTCTTCCGAGCTTGCATTGGAATACAATTCCGGACAAGGTGTAAGAAGTTATCCGTCAAGTATTAATAGACTAATATCCGATGATCTGGAATAGTGTCGCATGGAAGTCGGATGTAGCGGCTTTCAGGAAGCTGGGGCTTTATATTCTCGATGAAGTTTGTATAAATGTCCTTTGGTATGTCTTTCAGGACAAATTTATCACGCCCAGATCTAGAAGATATTAGTTCGCGATCGAGATAAGTCCAATTGGCTTGATATTCAAACCTTGCCAACCAGACACGTCCTACGTGTGGTCTCTCTTGCAGCAATTCCTCAAACTGATAGCGCCGACCAGTAGTCCCAATATGTTCGCAAGAAACCATTCGAGGAATGGTTCTACGGAACATGCTATATGCTGCACCCGATTGTGTCTGGATTTGCAGCAAGCATTGAGAATGTTTCATATCTGATGCCATCCATATGAGAAGGAAACAGTGACGTAGAAGGAGTTAGGAAGGTCAAGGGCCCGTCGAAAGGAATGACGTGACGTACCTTAGCGCCCAGACGATCCTTGCGTCCACTTCTGACTCGTTCAAATGATACTTTCCTAAACTCTTTGATGGAAATCAATATTAACACGAGATTTGTCACTATCGCTACTGTTTCAGTAATCCACTTCCCTTGTTTTCCTCAGGCTGTTTCGGCAATATGTAAAGCACTAACCAGAACTTGAGTGCGCCGGTATGATCAAACAACAGTCATCCTTGCCTCCACCCGGAAACAACACCTACCTCATCTTTAAGAGTCATATTTAGCCATCCAAAGCCAAATTCGCAATGGTGTAGGAGACTCACGTTCGCCAATTCAGCTGTACAAAGGATACTCTGGCTCCACGAGCGTCGTTTTCAGCAGCTATGATCACGTCTCGATAAGTGAATCTGTGCTCAGGAGACATCACAGTGTGAGAGAGGATATTTATGAGAGTTAAGACTTCGAGCATGTATTCTTTGCGACCAAGCTAATGGTATAAGGTGCATGCATACCCTTGGAACTCCGAAGTTGGAGCCTCTATTAATATAACGTCAATCTGAGATCTACTTGATTCGTTCCTTGAAATCGGCGGTAGAGCTTATCTACAACCAAGGTAAACAGGGATCGCGAAGCCTGGGCCACAAAATCTCCTGACGATCAGTAAGGTGGACTGATTCTACGAAGCAGTAGTAGCGTGATTATCTGGATTAGTCGGATCGACCTGTCTATATAATGAATCTATGGGTTACAGAATCCCCCCTTGATAGCTTCCGCGCTTATAATCCAATTACAGCATGGCACGTTGAAGGATCGGCTGATATTATTCTCTCACGCCGAGATCTATTTCCCTTCCTCTATAGCTGGCCCAAGTCAGCATTGATGGACCACAGAGGACTCCGAAAGCAGCATGACGAAGCTTATTCATCAAGATCAAAATTATCACGGCCCTCCAGGTTCTATAGGCACAGTAAGAGGCGTATACGCTTGCCAGTCCGTCAGTCAGAGTTAGCAAATCGATTCATTGCGCTTGAGAATCTCATGCAACCACCTGGCGTGCAGCTGCGCCAAGGACTATCTTTTCGTGGGAAGTGGAAAGATGCCTACAGGATGATTATTCTGCGAAGATGTCTTCAGAGAATTGAGAATCTTCAATTCCAGGCCAAATCGAAAAGTAACGAACTTGAGGAACTAAAAAAGCGCTTGGTGGATAGAAATTCTATTGTTCCAACCTGATTTTGAGTGCAGCCATGTCCATGTAGGCACCAAACTATCTCTGCAGGAATGGTTGGACTTTTTGTGACTTACGGGGGTTTCCCTTGATTTAAGATCCAAGGTCCCGATCAGGAGATATAGCCGTACATATGCTAATCAAGCGTTTTCGTTGCCTGTTGGTTTGACTTTTGTGACGTATTGCTCAGCGCTTACAATATGCTTCATCTTACAACGGTAGCAGCGCAGTCAGTCCATTTCCGAAGTCTGCAAGTCCAGCTATTAGGAGTTGGACAATCTATGTGACTTATCAATGACCATTTGACATGCAGTTACGGTGTTTATTTGGGATATCTTCAGGCTCAAGCAAAGGAAACGAAGGACATCTAACAACCTCTACCATTGGATGACCGATCTACGCTGTCGAGTTGACCTCTGAACTAGCGCATCTAGACAGTAGATGTCCCGGAACAGCGAATTAGATTAAACTAGCTCATATCTTGACACAATATAGTACGTCTTTGGAGGTCAGCAAGATGTGGCTTGTGTCCGATGGGGGTATTAACGTTTCGAGCCTCCATTGCATAAAAGCTTCATATATAAGTTTCGTATGTAGGAAAAGAAGCCACACAAGGACAAATCATCCTGCTACAAACTCCAGACATCCTACTCGTCGCTGATGGTAACTGGAACCCTGCCCAAGATACCGGATTCATTCCACTTTCCGATGTTGATATTGTATCGTGGGTCCTGATCACGCAGCATGAATGTATTCCTCTTTCCAGGCTCCATAGGAGCATTCCATGCTAGGGTGCAGATTCTGGCATCCTTTACATCGTCGATGAGGTCAATTGTGCCTTGCAGCCCCTTGAAGCCTTTTTCTTCGCCACAGGAACAGACATGCCGCAGACCCCCGTTATGGCGAATAATCATATCTTCAATGTCGTCGGTGGTTAGGGTATCGTTTTGGTCACCCTCCCTGTAAAACTCGCCGCTACGCGATGTCAGACCAAACTGCAAGTCACCGATGATTCAGGCAGACTGAGAAGTAGATACCTTTCTATATGAGCATTTTCGATTCGGATGTCATACTTCATGTCATCTTTAATTTCAATGTCGAGGTATTGTTGTCCTGTTGTAGATGCCATATCGATTTGATAGGTAGATGGAGGATTGACACAGTGTTTCAAATAGTCAAGCTACAATGCAATAGAGATCTTACACGCTCGGAAGAGAACTGACTCTGCTCAGGAAGGGAACGAGCACTATATACGGATTGGATGGATGCGGAATCGATGACGGAGGTCCTTTTCTGTTTTTATGGTACGGTGCGGGGTCCGCATCCGCCAATCTATGTCCATTATCATCTCTTTTATGAACAGAAGTCAAGGGATTGGTGGTTACGATAAAGTATCGACAGCAGATAGCGGCTAAATTAATCCAGTGCATGGGTTGGTCTAGTAGCACTGGTTGTGCGTCATTGTTACACTGACATGGCACGCCGCGGAGCACCACCAATACCCAGATTGCGGCATCGTCCCAACAGTATGAATGTGACTGAAATCTTTGATGAGTAAGACTTTGTTGGGATCTGTGAAAGGACAGCACCCCTAAGCAAAGTCTCTCTAAGTATGAACTTGCGGCACTCGGCCTTGTTCTAAAGTTCCTCATTGAATCAATAGCTAAGGATTCTGACCATACGAAAGTCACCATTGCTTGTTCTGTTACTCAAAGCTCTTGATACAAGCAGGAACATGAACATAAATCGACCAAGTATCAACAATCCCGTCTCTCCTTCGGCACAACATCACAGGCCACGTGACCTGCGTCGAATCTAGGGCAGGGATTCTCTGCTTCTCACAGAATAGTCTCTTTATGAACTTCGATAACGAGGTATAGACAACGGGATACGGCAAAGATAGGTGTCGTCGTCAGCGATGGGCTTCCCAGTCACTGCTTGGACAGCCTTCGTAGATATGACGATCTGTGCGGCTCCCACATCAACGGCAAGACTGGTGACAGGTATGGTGGACAATGGAATGTCGACTATACTGGACCCGACATCATTTGCTGTGTTTATCTCGAAAGGAAAAGATGACTGTCGGACGCCAGACATATGCAGAGAGAAGCATCAAGGACAATGGTAGGTACCGACGTAAGAAGGAAAATCCTCTCTAAAGGTCCCTGATACCTTTCTCTTCATAATGTGAAGCAGATACAGGAATATCGCGCCCCAACTTTGCAGATGCTGGTGAGTGCGAGACCTAGCGTATACCATCTCGCGTGGGACCAGTTGCCCTCTTATCCTCGCGCTGGTCAGATCATCTGAGTTTGAGGCCTTCATACAGAACAGTAAGCTTATTTTCCCAGGCCATACTAGGCGAATCATTGGCGAGTAGTACATACTGTAGTTCGAAAAGCAGGGCCCACTCCTCTCCACCCTCTGTCTTCTGCCTCAGTCATGGTGTTACGCATTCTCCCGAAAATTCCTCGATTCCTTCGATAAATATGCCCTATGGACGGAAAGGAAGTGGATAGGTTGCCTCATTTCGTTTCCATCTTAAGCTGCAGACTTGGTAAAAGCTGCAGCTGCTTAATCTCATAGGCAATACTGACCAGCGGGTCGGACATAGAGTCATGGTATATAACCTTTCTGGTGCTGTAATGACAGTTGTCTAAAGGCTACTGCAGTGGTGGACGCTATGTGTCTTGTGACCAGTATAAACCAGCAGGATCAACAAATGCATTGTTGTGTTCCATCATATTTTGGTTTCTGAAGCGGGCATTGACACATGACTCTCATATTAGAGTTAGAACAGGCTTTGGATCACACGGAGCTCAGAAAGCTTCCTGGTTTAAAACACTCCGGAGCCAAATTTGTCTTCGAGCAACCTTGGTAGAGTGATTTACACTTCTGGCTCGATATCACATCTCGCCTCTGGGTCAGGCCACATCTTCAACAGTATATAGTTGCCTCTCCGGAGCAGTCTGCGTTCATTGATAATCTGCTCAGATTTGTCTTTAAATAAGTCGGCAAATATTCTTCTGTACTTGTCCGAGACAGCTTGAATACGCATAGTTATGTCCGCGACCAGAACATACAGTACCTTTAGCAGAGGGTTGGCAAACTCGAGACCCTTCTCTACCTGCTTCTTGGCTGACATTACACGATAAATAAGCCTAAGTGCGTTTGCAATTGGAGCCATCGTTGGCGGTACCTCTGCATACCGATACACCATGGCGAAATATAGGGTGCCGCAGAATATCAATCTCATTGTGAGTATATACCACTGTCTCGTGAAAGGTTCTCCAACATAAGTCAGTCGTTACCAGCAGCGGTGTGTCATGGCGGCTGGAAAACTACCAGCTGTTTGTTGCGCAGGACAAGCTGACTATAGTTGTAGATGCTACAGAAGCGACTGCTACTGCTTTCGGGGCGCGTTGCAGAACTAGAGAGACGTAGTATAAGGAAATCTTAATGGAATGGAAATGTAACTTTCGATCCTGCTTGTAGCATTCTATGCGAAAATCTGACTACAGGATTTAGCTGGCAACTGGACATCCTTCTTACCTGTGTATACCCCGATATGACTTGTGTGCCAGAGCAAGAGCAAATAGCTGCATTCAATTTTGTTCATAATCAGTACAAATGTGTCTATCTGATTTCCTGTACAGAAGCAATATGATACATGAGAAGAAATAGCAGTAGTACATCCACATAGAGCATATTGACCATCAATCATTCTTATGCCTGTCGTCCACATCCCTGTTGTGAGTCCTTACATCATCCGAATCATACTCCTTACCCAGCTCGCCGCTCTCCGGGTTCGGTCCCTCCCTGTAATCCTTGAGGCTGTAGTACTTTTTCCCATTCGAGTCCACAACTACTGGCCGAGTCGACGTTGTCTCTTTCTCTGGTGGCGGTTGCGGAAATTTTGCATCATCCTTGGTTGTCTCTTGCTCTGGTATATTTCGCATTTGTCCAGTCCGGAACCCTCTCGGCCAGCCATTACTCTGCGGCCTCTGCACGCCGATTCTGTGGCAATTCCGGGGAAGAGCCAGTATAGCGTTGGGACGGGGGCAGGTTCTCAAGGAGACGAACCGCACCCGACCTTTTGGAGATATTGCACGAGACAGGCTGATTTTCGGCATAATGACAGCTGCCGGTTGAGACGGGCAGGTAAACTGCTGGATTCCATCGGCGAAGCTGGCATATCGCCAGGGTATATGTATATGATATGTATATGTGGGCCCATTGTTTGGCTGGGGGTGGCAATTTCCGGGTTCGCGTGACGTAACTATCGACAGCCCTACCAGGGCACCGAGCTGATATTCTTCCTTTGAATCTTGGTTAGGATACGAAAGTTTGGAAGCAAGTCCAGTCTGTGGATTCGGAGAATATGTACCAGAGAACACTAAGAGACTATGAGAAGGGCCGGGGCCAGTCCATGCATCCATCTTCCGACAGTAAACAACGCAGTGTTCAGCCTCAGTTAGATCCAATATCAACTTGTACTTGTGCTCCCAGCAGGGCTTTGACGATTTCAATATACCATTTCTGGCAGCTAACGAGTGGTGTCTGACTTGCCTATCCGCCTCCGTCTTCACCCTCACAAAGCAGCAAAAGAACGCGGTCCATCCCAATCTATCATTGCTCGTCCTTTCTCGAAAAGAGGTATGATGTGATAACCTCTACTTCTGATATAAAGACTATCGCTTTGTATACACCCCAGTGCTCACAGCATGGTACCCCTTCCTGCCTACCTTCGCCGTCAATTCACTCCTCCACTCTTTGCCCATCACCAACCTCTCCACCGTCTTCTCAAATGTATACTGTGGCTCCCATCCCAGCTCCCTCATCGCCTTGCTCGAATCATACACTCGATCAATCCTCGGAAGATGCTTCCACCCTTTCTTCTCAAACACGGCCCCTAATCCCGGACACATCTCGTTAAACACTCCTTCCGGGTTCCGGTTAAGCCTGTCGAGCGTGTTCGCATCATTCTTGAAGAGCGGCGGCGCGCTGATAATGTACTTTCCCCAGCGAACATCCCTCGCTTTCTCCATCGCGCAGACCGCCGCCCGCACGATATCCTCAATATCGCATCTGCGATACGCAAGCTCCAAAACCTTCAAGTTCTCATCGTCCATGGCGGCGCGGCGCCCCTCGTCGTCGTCCTCTTCGGGGAAAAAGCGACTCGTCCGGAGAACCAACACTGGCATGCCGCTCTGCTTCTGGATCAGCGCGCAGAGATCCTCCGCTGCGACCTTTGTCACGCCGTATATGTTTTTGGGTTCCGGGACAACTGTTTCGTCGATCCATGCGGCGGGGAATCCCGGCTTGGGACTGAGTGCCATGCCGAATGTGCTGGTCGTGCTGAAGAAGATGAAGCTCTCGATCTGGTGGGTATACTTGGCTGATTCTTCGAGGAGAACTAGCGTTCCCAGAATATTCGTGGAGATAAAGTCCTCGTTTTTATGGCTGCAGATGTGTGGCTTATGCAATGTTGCAGCGTGGAGGACGTGCTTGATGGGGTGGGACATTAGGATGGAGCTGATGAAAGCTCGATCCGTAATAGATCCTACACTTGTGGTGGTGGAGGAGGGCAGGATATCAATGCCAAAAGGTGTGAAGCCGAGCGAAGGAAGGGAGAGCATGAGAGCAGTGCCAAGGTGGCCTGCTGAACCGGTGACAAGCACATCATATGAAGACATTGATCTCGTATGTGTCGGCTGGAGTACGTATATACAAGTCTCCTCCAATTGGTCTCTACAGACGCAGCAGAGTAAGTTGCAGGAAGTAAACCGATTGAAATTTCGTCCAGGACTTTTTTATTCAATAATCATGTGATTGAGTATGTACAAGAACCGGGTTTAACCTACCGTTCCATAGTTATTTGAATATCTGTGACTCATACTGCTGTCGCTTCCGCCAAGTAGTCAGTTACTCGAATCGCTTATTAATCACCCATATTCTGAGATGAAACTTCGTATTAATCACTTTACCAACACGTCCTAGGAAGAATCTGGCACTTCCTTGTAGAAGTTAGTATCAGCCCTATATCATCCGTTTGATTATGTGTGATTGGGTTGGAACTATCCAGGGCTTGTCACTTAACGCCTCTGGCACCTTTGGCGTTATTTCAGGATGGACACCACACATTACGTAAATTGTCGGAAGTTGGAACCACTGCATGACTAGACAGTAGTAGAGTTGGATATGTCAATGGTAGCAAGAGGGAAGCTGGTTATTATATGAGCCAGAAACACTGCAAATTTGCGATAGAGGTTCATAAATAGCGCAAAGAGAGGGCTTCTACAAGGATATCTTGACCAAGTGACTCTTCGACATTAACTGAGAGTTTATGTTATTTGAGCTCCGGTTGAGAAGCCGGGAATGAATCTTATCTAGATACGTCAAATATGTGTCTCCAAGGAGCTATTTTCCTAATAATGGCAGTACGATGTATAGCTTGCGTGGTATGCAAGAGACTTCGCAAGAAAGATTAAGACGACCAACACACAAATCCCTGTCGACCATAACATACACTATGAGGATTAAGATTCCTGCCAATTGCCAGTTCCAAGCTCATTTGCTTTATTGATGACAACCTCGCGTGATTCTCTGCGAGACATCTCAGCGAGACTTCTGAGCATCGTCGCAAAGAACGAGATTGACTTCTTGATCGAGGACATCGAGGATATGCTCAGGAGGGAACACCGGCTTCCAGCCAATTTTGAGGCCATTCCTTGCTTCCAAAAGACATCTGTGTGAAAACCAGTTACTCTTGTGACCTTTGACCTGAGAGGGATTCGCATACTCGCCGCCAATTTGGACCGCGACCATCTCTTTCGGTGACTCGAGCGCCGCAGCCATAGCACCTAGGATGTCATCGTCGGACGAATAAACAGCACTATCCTCGAGGAGACCTCTTTTGAAAAGCGCAGTGGCAATGGATGCGTAAACGTCTTTCCATGCAACCCGACCACTTGACGGGAGGTAGTAACCATTTCGACCGTGGGGGATATCTTCGCGTGAAAGTATCTTCCGCAGTATCTCGACGTACAACGTGGTGTTGTCAAGCAAATGGCAGACCGGCCAAGTCTGTCACCCGGAGATTAGAGTTGGATGTCATTGCGTGGGAGATTACTCACCCAGTCGTCTCTTTCATTCAGATTGTATACTCGCCCAGTTGCTTTGGCTGCTCTCACGATAGCAGCTGTTTGGATCGACACCATGTTCCCGAATCCTTCTCCTTTACCATCTGTGTTTACGTTCAGTTCCTAGCTCTGCATGATAAGCGCAATAACTTACAAACCACGCAGGGGGAGAATATGTAACTTTTCACACCGAGAGATTCGCTCAGATCTATGATCCGATTGTTTGTTTCCACGCCCTAAGACGTAATGAGATTGAGAAACAGTTGATAACCTATCAAACTAACCCGTTGCATGATCGGGAGCGAGGACCGCTGAGATTTCTGAATCTCGTACAAGTTGGGGTCATCGTCGAGAAGAAGACGATCAGTTGGAGCTCCAGCATGGTTGGAGAACGCTTTCGCTCCACTGGTCTAGGCCTCGCAATAAGAGTCAGCAGCTGGGAATTAAAATACCCAAGGATGAGAACTTGCATGAAGAAAATGCACGTCCTGTCCAGTCGTCTTGCTCAGTTCCGCCAACGCCTTGATAAAGGACTCTTGAGTGCTCGAGCTGATTGCGTCGACGAGAAAGAAGACAACATTGATTCTCTTTTGCAAGATGATGTCGCGCACGCTGGCCTCGTCCTGCATATCAAACTGCAGGGGTTCGGCGGCGTACTGCTTCACGGCCTCGGCCTGGGCGGAGGTTCTCACAGATGCAAACAGCTTGTGGTATTTGGGGAGGTCTGCGCTTTTTAACTGGTTCAAAAGTGTGCCTCCCAGGTAGCCTGAGCCACCGGTGACGAGGATGTTATATCCCATTGCAGGAGATAATAGACGGACTTGTAAGCACAGATGACACGTGGACAGGTGGTGGCTCGAAGATATCTCGCAAAGTGAGAGATACGGGAGTACCCCCGTGGTGAACGTTAACTTATATTCTCTATAATAGCACTGAGTAATCACTGACGAAGGAGAAATCGAGTATTGCTAAGAATTGATAATCCTACGAGTAGCACCGGAGACTTTCTATTCTTCCGCTTTTGTTAGTGCTGGCGCTATACCCGACCGAAGAATAATTAGAGTCACCATTATCATCACTGATATTCAACTGCGGCAATTCCATTGCTCATTTCGCTGAAAACATGGAGCTCCTCATCGAGACCTAAGTGGCTATGCTGGTGATATGCTCGAGAAGAAAAGAGGCCGGTGATCTGGGTGAACAAAACATGTCTAGGTCTGCCACCCAATTGGATATGCATTACTAAAAGAAAAAGATGGATGAGATGTCCTTCAACTCTCCTCCTGAGCTCCTTTTCCCTCAGTTTGCTTCTTGCTAAACTCGCTAATTCTAGCATCAAACTCCCAGGCCTCCCCCAACCCAACCTGGTCGAAGAAATCTTTGATCGTCTGTCCCTCGCACGCTTCAAGATCCGTTCCCGTGGCTTTTAGAGCACCATACGACCGTTGCATGGCCAGCATCGCAGGAATGAACCCGGTACACGGGTAGATCGCAGCCCGAAAGCCCAGCCGATTGCACTCTGCTATCTTCAAGTTGGGAGTGAGACCCTGGATACCCTGTCAGCACACCGCTGTGAATCGCTCAAAAGAGACCTACTCACATTGGGAAGAACATTGATCAGAACGGGCACATCTCCCATCTCCTTGACCAGGGTCCGACACTCGTCCTCGGTGCGCGGGGATTCCATGAAGACCATATCGGCCCCCGCAGCTACAGCAGCCTTGAGCCGCTTGATCCCTTCATGGAAGGCCTCCGATCCAGCGTTTGGACCGCCAAACTTCTTGGCTTGCCGCGCATCCGTCCGCGCGATGATGACAAAGTCCGGATCCTGGCGTGCCTCGACGGCGCTGCGGACGCGCTCAATGAAGACTTCCAGGTCCACGACGTCTTTACCTTGGAGCTGGCCACACCGCTTGGGGAAGACCTGATGTGATTGCAGTCAATACGGACAAGGTACATCCGAATCGGAAACCTGTCATACCTGGTCTTCAATGTGCAGTCCCGCGATTCCCGCGTGCTCATACAGTCGCACAGTGCGAGAGATGTTGAGCGGTCCGCCGAAACCGGTATCCGCATCGGCAATGATAGGTAGCTCTGTGTGCAGCGCGACCATGCGCCCCAGTTGAAAGAACTCGGTCTGGGTCATGACAGAGAGGTCGGGTTCGCCGCAGTACGAGCCTGTGGCTCCGCTGCCGGCCAGGTACAAAAAGTCAAACCCGACCTGGCTTGCAACGCGTGTTGAGATCCCATCGAAGACCCCGGGTCCGATGAGGCATTTCCCTGGTATACGTGTTAGGGATTCCGGCAAGGGACGCCGTGGACATACCTTGCCTCAAGGCTTCCCGAAAACGCCTTGTTGGTCTGTTATTTTGTATGCTACTCATTTTGCCTGAGTGTACAAGAGCATACAATGGCATGGAGGAGAACAATCAATGGTGCAGAGGGCATTCTACCCGCAGATGGGAGCAGAAGAGGGATGAAGTCATCGTGACGGAGGGAGAGACACGTCAGTATACTTGCTTGATTGTTTCAGTCTCTTCTTGGTTGCACTGAGATGCTTAAATTTAGATTGCTGGTCGAAAAATGGTATCAATTTCCTCTTTCAACATGCATTCGTAGTTACCATAGCTGCAGCGCACGGCCATTGCTGCGGCATACTAAGACAGCGAAATACCGGAGAGAACACGCCATACCTAGGACGCATACCCTCACAGGCAATTGCCTACTAGTTATCGAATCCAAACGTCGTTCCCCACGGCTGATATCCTTCTTCAAGGAACAAATCCTGCAGTGCCCGTCGGCGGATCCCCACATTCCCTCCGTCAAAAATAGGCAGAACAAGCGCAGTAGCGAGGAGGGAAGCAAATGGCGTTTCAAGGTTATACGCCGACCTTCCAGCAGCGTTAGGCTGTGCAGACAAGATTGAGATTGAAATACGTACACCCCCACCGCATTGATCGCGTCCAGACACGACTGCACCGCTGCATCGGAGCAATGTACCTTGGCCAGCAGGGCATGCTCCCGCCGCTGTGCATGCTCGCCAGGACCCGACGTCAAACAGTGCGCGGCTTTCCACGTCAGGTAGCGCGATGTCTCTGTCCGCATTTTGATGTTGATCAGTAGGTCCGCGACGGACTGACGTTGGGCGATCGGGACGGTGCCACCGCGTGTATCGTGAGAGAAGGCCAGGGCCGCATCGAACACGGCTCGTTGCACCCCGACGCCCATGGCTCCCACAAGCATTGCTGTAGATGTCAGTTGGCTCTCTCCTGGGGTGGACAATACCAACCCGATATCTCAAAAGAGTGTAGCACGATGGGAGCGCCGGTGCCTGGCGCGCAGAGCACGTTTTCGACTGGGACCCGGAGGTTTGTGTACTGTCTCTTCAGCGTCATTCGTAATGTAGAGGAAAGACCAAACCTACCTTGATATGCGGTCCTGAGGTAGCTTTGTGTCCCGCGGTCTCGACATGTTTGAGGACCTGGAAACAGTCTGGTCCGTTTCTTTGGATATCCTGCCGAGTAACCAGCAGAATCATGATGAGGTCCTGGGGACAGGAAGCTTGCGCAACCTCGCCCTCGTCAACGCATCGACACACCACGCAGCTCAGATCGGCGCCTCGAAAGTCCCAGCCTGCGGAGTTGGTCGCCCATATCTTTTCACCGTTCACAACCCACTCATCTCCCTCCCGGCGTGCTGTTGTTTGCAAACCAGGCGCTCCAGGTTCCAGCCAATTTGCCTAAGACGCGATCAGCATAATCATACAAGAACCTGAAAGAAGAGCGGAAAGCATACCACGCCGGCAGGCTCCGAAAACACCAACGAAGCAAGCGGTGCCCCCTCGCTTGCAAGGAAGGGATCCAAGAATTTCTGAATTGAAGGCCGATAAGCCAGCGCAACAGGAGTCAAGCCCAGTCCGGTTCCGAAAATGGTTAATGAAGCGGATGCCTCGACGGCGTAGAACTCCTCTACTAGGATCGCAGCCTCGACCAAATTAGTGCTGCTGCCCCCGATCTGAGCCGGAACCTGGGCTTTGATGAGATTAGCCTTGACTGCGGCGGCATAGATGGGCTGGAGGCTTTGAAATCGCTCTTCGGGTGTCGCGAGATCGGAATATATTGCTTGAGCGCCGGCTAAGTGGGCAGCAGCAAAGCTGCGTGCTGCCGCTCTTGTTTGCTGTTCGGAGTTGGAGAGGGTGAAGTCGACCATGTTGCCGTGCGCCGTCTGATGTGATGGTCTCCTGTTCGAAAGAAGAAAAGCCCATGCCACTATAGATACTTATTTATGTTGTATGGAACTCGACCATCCCCGCCAGCGCTGTCTGATATCTACCCCTCATGAACAGCAGGGGCTGGGATGGTATATTCTTAAAGATCACGTCAGATTTTAGCTCAGATAGCCAAGTACATATTCAACAGTAATGTGCTTTCTGAGCTTGTCATGTTTCAGCTTTTCGACAACTCTTGAGAATGACTGAGAAACCCCGCTCTTTCATTATTTTGGTTAACTCTGTCCTACTCGGAAGTTGTCGAAGGCTGACAGCAAAGCACAGAAGACCCGGAGGTGTGATGTTTTATTTCTCTCTGGAATGCAATCACTGTGATGTCAGTCCTGATACTCATTCGCTTCTCTAGAGAGATGGCTCGTGGCCTTGTCGATGGCAACTGGATTGTAACAATCGGTGTCAGCCACACCTGCGGTACCTATCATGCCTGTTAGCCCAAAATCCTGCATCTTGCTGTAAGCTAGCCTGATATTCAGATGTAGTGGTACACCTACATGGCACATATTGAACAGAAACAACAACTCCGCCTACTGCCCCGCCATCAATTAAGCGGAGTTTGTCAACCGCATGAGGCAGCACACAACTGCTTTCTCGCAACACGACCTCGTTATTTCATTACATAGACAGCATATTCAATTGATCATGATTTGAGAACCCTATTATTTGAACCCTTCAAGGCGATTAACTCCCGTCATTAACATCCGTAGCTGGTCGGATTGCCGGCCTCAACACCGATTGGATTGCCCCGCACAGCATCACAGTTACTATCGCTGACGATCAGCCTTGGTGTCACGGTGGCTGACTGAAAATAACACTAATTGAGTATCGAATACCTGACAGTAATACTAACCAGTCCAGGAACTCGTTGCTTGATCGATGATAGGCTTGACCAGGACTGAATGAGGGGACAGATCTTGCTGAGCCACATACTTAAGGCTCATCTTCCTGCCAGTCACCAGTGAATAGTATCTCTCTTAAGTTCCAGTTCATTCTACTACTCCACCAACGCATCAATCCATCATCATGTCTTTGGACATTACGGTAATGATTCCTATCCCTCGGTCGCCGTCTACTAACATGTCCAGACCTTCCACAATGTCATTAACAATGAGTTGACCACCACCTTGCAAACCCGTCACGGCATCAACCCTGCGAACAGACAACCCAACCCCGAGGTTCCCGTTTCGACACAAGAAGATCTCGATCGAGCCGTCGATGCCGCTCGCAAAGCCTTTCGCACATGGTCGAAGACCTCGTTCGATGAGCGTCGCACCGCCCTCAGCGCCTTTGCCGACAAGATCGAAGCAAACAAGGACGCACTGGCTCGGCTCATGACGCAGGAACAAGGCAAACCGCTCAGCCAGTCCACCGTCGAGGTCGGAATGGCCGTGCAGTGGGCCCGCAGCATCCCCACAATTGAGATCCCTGAAACGGTCATCGAAGACACGGACGAACATAAGATCATCCAGCGGTACACCCCCCTCGGCGTCTGCGGGGCCATCGTGCCGTGGAACTTTCCCGTCCTGCTGGCCGTCGGCAAGATCGTTCCCGCTGTATACACAGGGAACACTGTGATCGTCAAACCCTCCCCATATACGCCGTACTGCGGCCTGAAGCTCGCTGAGCTGGCAGCGCAGTGCTTCCCGCCCGGGGTGGTCCAGGCATTGAGTGGAGGCGATGACCTCGGCCCTATGATCACGGAGCACCTGGGCATCGACAAGATCAGCTTTACCGGCTCGATACTCACGGGGAAGCGCGTCATGGCGAGTTGTGCGAAGACCCTGAAGCGGGTGACGCTGGAGCTGGGCGGGAACGACCCGGCCATTGTCTGCGACGATGTCAATATCGATGCAGTCATTCCAAAGGTATGCACCTCGTTTGTAGCTGATGCGCACTACTGACGTCGCAGATCGGGATCCTCTCCTTCCTCTGCTCGAGCCAAATCTGCATGATGGTCAAACGACTGTACGTGCACGAGAAGATCTACGACGAGTTTCGGGAGAAGCTCGTGGCGTTTGTGGGATCGCTCAAGGTCGGCGACGGCACCGAGCCCGACGTCTTCTTTGGCCCCGTGCAGAACAGCATGCAGTACGACAAGGCCAAGGATCTTTGGCAGAGCCTGTCCACAGAAGGTCTGACGACGGCCCTTGGCGGAACCATCCAGGACTCAGCGGGCTACTTCGTCCCCCCGACCATCGTCGATAACCCTCCTGAGTCGGCCCGGGTCGTGCAAGAAGAGCCGTTTGCGCCGATCCTGCCGATGCTCAAGTGGTCGGACGAGGACGATGTCATTGCGCGGGCGAATGGCACCGACACGGGGCTCGGGGCATCAGTATGGAGCAAGGATATGACGCGAGCGCGTCGCATAGCCGATCAGCTTGAGTCGGGGAGCGTGTGGATCAACTCGCACTTTGATGTTTCGCCCAAGGCGCCGTTCGGAGGACACAAGACCAGCGGGATTGGCACGGAATGGGGACTGAACGGGTTGATCGCGTATTGTAACTCCCAGACCTTGTGGGTGAAGCCAAGTCTTTAGCCTTATGCAGTCATATCATTGGTAATGCAACATGATCATCTTCATCGATCTTCCATAATTGAAACTACTCCACCGGCCGGCGATCCCTCAGTCTCCGTCAAGACAGCCCCAGCCGCCACCTGCGGACTACGTAGCTGGCCTCGTCCATGGTCAACAGCTCCCCGTTCCGAATTAGTCGACCACGTCGTCGAGGGGTCGACGGTGATGACGTTTGCGTGGGAGTACAGCATATCGAGATAGCTTTAGTCAGTCAATGAGCTTGAGAATGACTGGACAGCATATTGAAGGTGTATCTTTATTCCTCTACCCCTCTGTAAGTCACAGCGGAAGACGCGCGAGACTGACCCTCGGTCTCAACTAAGCGATTATGTATAATGCTAATTACTTTTGACATAATTCTGATGCCATGTATAGTCCCGATTCTCCAGCAAAAACCCCCGAATCGCCTCCCGCGGCGTGGTGGGCTCCCGCCCCAGCACCTCCTTCATCAACGGATGGGTATGGCTGATTTCCCCCTGCGCAACACTTTCGTACCAGCTCACCAGCGCCTGGAAGAACTCGGCGGGCTTGCCTCCCTGGTCGTTTGCTGCGCTCAAGCGCACATACTCGTCCGGAGAGACGATCTGGAATCGGACGTTCCGCCCGGTCGTCTCGTTAATCACATCCACCGCCTCGGCGAAACTGATGGTCTCCCCTGCTGCCAGGAGGACGATCTCGTTCTCGTGGCCACCCTGAAGCATCAATCGGGCGTTGGCTTCCCCGAGCTCTTTTCGCAGAGTGAAAGCGCAGCGTCCGTCTGCGGGGAGGGACACGGTGGTGGTATCGGGATACCAGTTGATGAACAGCGGGAATGCATCGGCGTAGACTCCCTCGCGGATGGAGGTGAATGTGATTCCGGACCTGGATGGTCAGTGAACTGTACATCTAAACGTCATGGTCGTATCTTACTCTCGGAGTAAATCTTCCGTCTGGAGATGGGCCTGCTGAATCGCCGCTTTGGAATCGGATTTCAACCCCCCGAATGCGAGCGACGTATACCACACCTATCCAGTCAGCCCTGCTGATGAAAATGAAAGATGGAGGGAATGTACATGTTTGACACCCGCTCTCTTGGCAGCCTCCACGAAATTCCGATGCTGCTTGATGCGCCTCTCATTGTCAAAGACATTGGTACTGACAAAGAAGAGATTCTCGACGCCCGGAAACGCTGCGTCGAGCGTGCGCGGGTCATCATAGTCTACATGGCGAAAGGCAATTCCTCGTTCTTCGAATTGTTTTCGATTCGACTCCCTCGATGAGGCGGCTGCGTATTCTGCGGAGGGACGGTTGGCTTCGAAGTAGGCGAGGACTTCTTTGCCGAGGCCGCCGGTAGCTCCGGTAATGAGATATTTGAGGGTCATGGTGTTCTTATTCTGTTGATTGGCATCGATAAAAGTTTACTCGTGTCTGATGTGAGCGTAGTTTTATAGTTAGTTGTTGAGAGAGATGATTTATAATCAACTTGGGCTTGCATGCGACATGGTGATTCGTAAGCAGCAGCAGGTGCTGGAGATCTCGAAGCCAATGACGATGCACGATGGGCCAACTGCCGCCATAGAATCAGATCGAATGAGAGCTGAGAAGGACTGTCAAATAATAATGGCATTTTACGTAAATAATCAATGGCTGTATTCTCTCGTTGATGACACCTAAATCTAACCAAACATGTGATGATGTGGAGCCTGGCATCACTAGTGCACGAAAGCCATAGGACAACATCTTCACAACTGTCCTTTCAGATCAAATCTCCTCGTCAGCGATGAGCTCCATCCCACGAACTTCCCGAATGGTATTCATCAACCGAAATACATTCTTATTCAACAACCGGATCGCCTTCAACATCTCGCTCCTCTCTTGTCCCGACGATCCAGATCCAGCATTTTCCTTGGTAGGTACTTCCTCTTCATTCTTGCGCTCATATGCCTCCAGAGCATTCTTAATCCCAGTGCATGCTCTCCGTCGCGCACGACCAGTGGGTTTCTGCGCCGCGGAGAGCGGGCCGTAAAAGTGATGCGGAAGTCCGCTGCATTCCGCGCCGGCTTGGCTGCAGGAACGACACTTCCCGAGCGCAGCGTCGCGGTGGCAGACGGTCGAGTCATCGTCGGTCCATTTCTTGATGCACCGGAGACAGGGCGAGAAGGTTGCAACCATAGACCCAGTGGAGATCAGAGGGGGAGCAGGAGGAGCGGCTCGGCGAGCAGCTGGGGCTGGGACCGGGGCGGGAGCGGCGGAACGGGTGGATCTCGGCAGAGCTGGAGATGGGGGTTGACTGGGAATCCGGCTGAGCTGTTGTCATGTCAGAATGATTTGGGAGATCTGCTTGGTAGATGTACTTACCACAATGGGCTCATCCGAGTCGCTGTTTTCGGGCTTTGTGCGCCGGGTTTTCTTCCTGTCTGATCCTGCAGGACCACTAACCGCTGCGCGTCTCTTCTTGGACTGATCCGTCATGTTGGTTTGAATCTTGTATAAAAATTTCTAGAGAGAGAGCAGGCGGTGAGAATATTTAACAAGTCAGAGTCTTCGACGAGGAACCCTTACTATTTATGATGCCGTTGCAAAGACTGTCACTTCTCTATTCTCAAATGGAAACAACTATTGTCGAATGCCTTAGATCAAACATCATTTGCTCGTCGATCCGGTGTCGTGATTCTTTTCCCTATTGAGCTCGATTCAACAATAGGATCCGTGAGCCGTCGTATTGACTACTTTGGCGGTATTCGACAGAACAAAGAAAAGCATCGCTTAAAGCATACAAAGAGCCGTTGACACTGGACAAACTCGGATATCCTTTGACATGTCGTGGAATTGATCCTAGATTAGATTCCTTATTCATCGAGTAAAGTCCACAGCGGAGACTTCAGGCAGCTGGCGGCCTCTCAGTGCGGATGTCCACAATGCAACGTCCAGCAGTAGGATTGGCCGCACTAGATGCGGATAAACCTTTGTCAACTACTGCGCACATGGAAGAAATTGAACGGCTCTTTTTTCCCATACCTGACCGCTCAAGTTTTCCGTCAAGGAATTCATGGCGCAACCACAGTGTGTGGAAAAGGATCATGGGCTTAGAGGTGGACCAAGTCTCATTGATTGCCTGTAAAGAAACCGCCTTGTTCAAACTAGCCTGATACTGGATTCTTTGCTTGTTGTAGAGTGGTTTATACAGCTGGTCAACCAGGCCATCCAAGGCTGCGGATCGGACCTTTAGGTTGTGTGGTGGATTCGACCTGGGTGAGCTTGTTGTTTGAATCTGTAGCGGTTGCTTTTTCTTGATATGCTCGTAGCTGAGTATTGATGTGTCGTCTGATGCTGAGACGGTTGTTGTCGAGAGAACCGAATCCGCAGATTATCAGCAGAGAACCGAGCATGCCAGATAAGTCTAATGCAGCTTTAGAAAGGTGTCCCAAGTGGCAACATCGTAGAGTACATACCGTGCTATGCATATAGCAACAAGTAGAGCCAGGCTCATTGATCTTCTCAGATCAAAGCATGTTGGCGTCTGTTGTGGTGGATGTCAATGTGAAGTGCCGCAGCATCACGTGGTTCTATGGGTGCCGGTACAGGCTCCGACACAATGAGACCCTTTGCTCGCTGAATCAGTTTACAAGGTCTCGGTCTTATAGTTTTCTGCGAGGTTAATTGGACTGTTCTGGGTTTGCATACGTCGTCTTACCATTTCCATCGATCCTGAAGCTATCCGGAATCCTTTTCCGCCCGCCCGCTGATCCCAGTGTCCACATCTGAGCTCACGTTTAATGTACATGCCAATCACTTCATGGACAGTGACTGTTTAAATCTGTGGAATTTCCAATCAATTTGGTCTTTATTATTCACCTGCGGAGAGCTGATACCGACAAACTGCCCGTACGGTGCTCATCATCGATGAGGAACTGCCAGTCGGGAACTCTCTACATAACATGGTGAAGTAAAATTCTCGAGATGTTTGCTCTTTCATCAAGTGATTCAAGTCACGCAAGACTGACACATGAATTTGCCGCAGAAAACCATATACAAAGTCAACTCCGACCAACCAATCTATCAATGCAGCTCTTCATAAGATAACAAAAGAACTGAACCTATAAACATGTCCGCAGATACTCTCCCAACGCCATGATTGCCATCGCCTGTCCGTATGGCATCGCCGTCAGCGGAATGTCCTTGTAGAACTGCAAGCAATCACCCATTCCCGTGCCAAAGCTGGTATTCTGGAGCTCTCCGTGCTCATCCACTGCGCTCATCACGGCCAGAATCGCTTTCTCTGCGACGGGCCGATACTGCGCGCCGATGTACCGCTTGCGGACGGCTTTCAAGATGCCATACGCAAACCCCGCGGTTGCGGACGCTTCGATGTATGAGTCCGGATGGTCGAGGAGGGTATGCCAGAAACCCGTCTCGCTCTCCTGCAGCCGCTGCAGGGCCTCGCACTGGGCCTCGAGCGTGTCGATGAGGTGGACGCGGATCGGATCTGTCGGCTCGAGGTCGAGCAGCTCGATGATCTCAGGAATGACGATGGTGACCCAGCTGTTACCGCGGGCCCAGCGCGCTCGTGCAAAGTTGTGCCCTCCCTCCTCGAAGGTCCAGCCGTGGAACCAAAGCCCTGTTTGGGTGTCGAAGAGGTACTTGATGTGAACGAGAAATTGCCTCTTGGCCTCGGCAATGTACTCGGGACGGTTGAGGAGCTTGCCGATCTTCGCCAGCGGCAGGACGGTCATCATTAGCGTGTCGTCCCACAGCTGCTGGTAGTTCTCGGTCAGGTAGGTCGCGTGCTGCATGCCGCCGTATCGCGTGCGAGGCAGCTCGTACATGGCCCATTCGGCCCAAGCATCCAGCCAAGGCAGGTAGGTCACGTTGCCCGTCTTCTCGTAGACGTAGGCCAGCGTCAGGAAGACAGCCATGGTGTTGATATTCTTGGTGGTGCCGCCTTCGGCGAACCGTGCAGCAAACCAATCTTCAATAATGCGCAGGAGGGACTCGTCGCCGGTCATCTCATAGTACTTCCAGATGCCGTACAGGCCGATACCATGCGTCCACTCCCATCCGTGCCAGGATTTGGTGTCAATGACGCGGCCATCCTGTAGCCGCAGCAGGAACTTTCCTGTGGCGTCTTTGATGTTGACCAGGTTATTGATGAGCTGCTTGACGGTCTGATGGACCTCGGTCTGCGAGGGTCTGTTGGAAGCCATTCTTGTTTATTTGTTTATGCAGCAATGGTCAATCGGCAAGCGGTCTTTCTTTATTCACTTTCTCCGGGATAATAAAAGGCTGACTCGCTGCATCTGGCTATAAATCCTGCGGGGTGGAACCGGCCACTGATGATACGCGGAAGAAATGGGGGGAATTCTCCGCGTGGGACACAGCAGTCTTCGGGCCATCGACGCACCGAAACCCAACGCCAAGCAGGAGCCAATTCGAATCTAGAAGCGACGTTATTGGCCGTGTCTAAATCGGTTACGGATAGGAACCGTTGAGTGGTTGACCCTGTCAGTGCTCTCGGGCCATTCCACCCCGCTTACCTCTCAGATCCAGTTATCTCCAGTCATTTGTCCCATGGGGAGGCGTTGCCAAGAAAGCCGGGGAAAAGAGTCAAGCCAGCCAGGAAACCATCCGCACAGTCGATTTGTGTTGCGACCGGGGTAATGATCTCTCGAATTGGCTGTTTGTCTGAGACTCGACAAGCCTGGGCTGCTTTCTCTTGATAAAAAGGCCAGAGCTCCCCCGTGTCTTACTTCTCGGTCGGACCTCTCCCCCTTTGCTGCTGGTATCTGTTCGCACTGCTCTCAAGCTTTGGTTTCTTTGATCTCCATATTCCACAAGCTCTGATTCTACCGTCATGGCAGAAAAGCTTGCCTCGAGCCCGGTGACCTCCAGCTCACCAGAAGCTGGAGATGACCGGAAGCAGCCCAAGGACATCAACCATGTCGAACGGGTGTTGTCTGATGGGCTCATGAAAGATGAGGCCGACTACTCTCGGATGGACAAGGATCTCCAGGAGTATGTGGCTCGCGGACAGGTCGATGTCGATGAAGCTACCAGCAAGCGTTTGAGACGCATGATCGATCGCCGCGTGCTGATCATCATGATCTTAACGTATTTCCTCCAGGCTCTGGATAAGGGTACCTTGTCTTTTGCCTCTATCATGGGAATCCGTACCGATCTGCATTTGCAGAACGGCCAGAAGGTGACTTTTTCATCCCTTTTCTCACTGGGATATCTTATATGAGCGACGGATGCTAATGGCCATCGCTCTAGTACTCCTGGCTCACCACCTGTATCTACATCGCCGTCTTGATCGTCGAATACCCGACCAACTGGATTATCCAACGTGTTCCTATTGCCAAGTACCTGGGCATCAACATTTGTCTCTGGGGTGCCGTGCTGGCTCTGCATGCTGTTAGCAAGAATTTCACGCACATGGTCGTGCTGCGTACCCTGCTGGGTATCTTTGAGGCCTGCTGCCAGCCAACCTTCGTCTTGCTGTCCAGTATGTGGTACAAGAGAGAGGAGCAGGCGTCGACCGTAACCTACTGGTATGTCGATCACACAACGTTAACATGAATGCTCCTGACAATCCATCAGGTACATGATGAATGGTGGTCAGCAGATCGTCGGCGGTCTGCTCGCATACTGCTTCAGTCTGATCGGCAAGGACAAGGCCATCCACTCGTGGCAGGCCCTTTTCATCACCTACGGCGTCATCTCCGTGCTGTGGGGTGTCTTCGTCATCTTCTGGATGCCCGACTCGCCTATGCGCGCCAAGTGCTTCAGCGAGGAGGACAAGCACCTGATGGTCGAGCGAGTCCGCGCCAACCAGACTGGTATGCAGAACAAGAAGTTCCGCGCCTACCAGATGTGGGAGGCCTTCCGCGATCCCCAGATGTACTGCTACTGCGCCATTCAGATCTTCACCACCCTGCCGACCAGCGGTCTGGGTGCGTTCGCCAACATCATCATCAGCGGCTTCAAGTTCACCGTGCTGCAGACGCAGCTTCTCGCCATGGTCCTGGGCTTCTATATCATTATCGTCCTCCTGGGCTCCGCCTGGCTGGTCAAGAAGACCGGACAGAATCTGCTCGTCATGCTGGCTTTTGTCATCCCGTGAGTTTTCCCTTTTCTACTGCTAGCGTCCCATCCACTGACACCATGGCCCATCCCAGATCCTACGTCGGAACCATCGTCCTCATGACCGTTGAGAACAAGAACATGGGCACCAAGGTCGGCCTGCTAATCAGCTACTACATTACCCTCTCCTTCTGGTCCGCCCAGACCCTCTGCCTCTCCATGGTCTCCCGCAACATCGCCGGCGCCACCAAGAAATCCACCGTCGTAGCAGCCACCTTCGTCTCCTGGGCCGTCGGCAACTCCATCGGTAGTCCTCCTTCATTCCCCCAAAAAGCAGACTCCAAACTGACACGAATCTCATCCAGGCCCTCAAGTCTTCCTCGACAGAGACGCCCCCCGCTACTTCATCGCTTTCGGCGTCCACCTGGGCTGCTACGTCTGCCTGACCCTCGCCATCATCTTCCTGCGCTTCTGGCTCGTCCTCCAGAACAAGAGGAAGGCCCGTGTGCTGGAGGAGAGTGGCCTGTCCGCGGCGGATAACAACCTCACCCATGCCTTTGAGGACCGCACGGACCAGGAGAATTTGCATTTCCGGTATATCTACTAGATGTCTGCACATGGTTATGGTTATGAAGGGTTTATTTATGTACGTGTTGGATGTTATCGATTGGTAATAGCACAGCGTTTAATGTTCCCGTATGTGTTTTCTGTAGCGGAATCTTATTCATCCGTACCCGCTCAACCGTACATTTAAACGGGTGTTTTGGTTTTTCTGACGACCTCGGACTGGTCAGTGCTGTAGAGTATGCATAAACTCTTGCAAATACCAAAGGCAGTCTACACTCCGAACTGCTCTCCGGCATAGTGGAGAAGGCTAGAGCCTCTTTCACAACTCACCTAATGGGATTTCTTCGAGACACGGCCAAGGCGTTAGTTACTATTCGGTTCGTCGTGTGAATTAGACAAATACTATCTAGTATCTATTTCTGAAGCAGGTATACAGCCGCGGCTTGAAACTACCGCTTCGCACTGTTTAGATCATATTCCTCGATCAACACCTCCGCGCAGGTCATACCGATCATATACGCGGGAACCTGCAAGTGGGTGCTCAGGAGAACTGGCACAACGCTCATGTCCGCCACGAGCAGATTCTCGATGCCGAACACGCGGAATCGGCTGCCCACTGCCGCGTCCGCGTCACCGGGTCTGCCCATCTTGACTGTCACCATCATGTGGCAGACCGAACTGACGGTGTTCTTCCAGAACTCGAAGAGGTCGTCGGATTCGGACGGCGGCACAACCATTGGGGCCACGGTGTCTTTCTGGAATGACTCGTCCCAGGTTGCCTCAGAGCCCATACTGTATGCTTAGACAAAGGAACCCCGCCAAGCTGTTCACCAAGGAGCGGTAAGCTAGTCTCGGTGACTCATGGATAAGAGTGCAGAGAATTGCAAAATGCACAAATCGAAAAGAGAAAGAGGAATGCCTGATTCTCAGTATTCGATTGGCGCTAGGGGTAGCTATCAAGCGATCTGTGGTGTAGTTTCAGCATGTTAAAACGCAGTCAGTCAACAGCTGTAATCGAGACTAAGTGTCTCAAAGTATGGAGTTGACAGAGCTACACAGTGACCGTGGACGATAATTATTCTTTGACCGGCTCATTGTCGGTGGGAAAATATGCATCGACGCCGGAACTGAACTCTGTGGGTTGGAGTTCCGAGCCCCGCTGGTTTGTTGACGGCTGAAATGTGCCAGAGCATTGCGAGCATTATGATGCCCTGCACAAGGTGTATCTATCTGATTCACAGTCTCATATCCCAGTTTCCCGTGAAGCCATGTTCCTCTGGCACTGGCTTGAGGCTAGCAGGCGTATCCTCCTAGCAAGCTGGGTCTAGGACCCAATTTACCAAGCTTCGACCAATTCCTCGCCGTTGATATTCGGGATGAACCGCCAAAATAGCTAGATACCATAGCTCCATAAAGGGAGAGAATGGACATATTCTGTCTTCAGAGCGTTGTAGCTCGCTAGGCGAGCTTTGACGACACTGCGGTCGGGATATAGACAGTAGAAGAAAAGATCGGTAGGGTCTTTGAGAACTGAAAGAGAGAGAAAGCTTGCGATTAGCGATGTTCCTCTCCTGTGTGTTCTTGGATCAAGCGCGATGGAACAAACCATTCCATCATATTGTCTCCTTCGTCCCCCTCCATTGCGTCGTGGACTTATCCGCCCTTGTATCAACGCGTTCCCAGGAAGCGTATCCGACAACTCATGGTGAGAGCTCGGCGCTATCCGCGACCGGTAAGACGTCCTCGACGGCACCGATGATCAACCAGCCTGACAGAAATTTGGAGCGCAATCTGCGCAGGAAGTTCTAATAATCGGCATGATACTCTTTCCGCCAGAGGCAGAGGTATGCAAAAAGCTCATCTTCAAGCATAGCTTGTGCGGCCACGTCTGCTATTGAGGGCAGATCTTGCGACCTGGGTAGCCGTAGATGCATGGTGCTTCTGATGTGAATTAAGTAATCATAATTGTTTCACCAGTCATAATAGAAAACAGATCGTAAAATGAGAATACATCGTTCAACCCTTCACCAAGTAACCGCCATGTCGTTTAGTATCAACATTTAGGTATGCTCAGGAGCCGAGGACTGTTGGTCGGAGTCACTGTCACCGAGCTAGGCAAAGGACCCGAGAAAAGTGGACACTTTCCCAAGTGGGGTCCTCTCCAATTCCGAGGCTTCCAATTGAAGTTAAAGCAGCAGAGATCCAAACTTGTCCTCGCAGAGTCAAGGCGGCATCAGACAGCCACTTTCCCAAACAGGTCACCAACGAAGAGATTCGTCCTCGTATCTCCTCGGAGGTCACCTGACTCGAGCCTCTCCCTGGGAGTCCTCGTTAAATGGTAGCAGTCATGCTCTGGACATCTCGGGCGAATGGGAAATGTCTGTGGACACTTCTGAACGTGGATCAAAAGTTTGCTACTGCTTTTTCGATCAATCAACAGCCGCGTTTCCACAGCAAAATGACTTTTGACTCGGCCGGCTCGAAGTGAACCGTGGACTGCTCAAAGGCCACAATATCTGGACCTCAATACACTGGGCACCCGCCACCACGGAACCGACCTGACAACCAGAGGAATACCATACCATTGGAGGCAAATCAACGAGCAGCACAATTATGACGGATGGAGAACTTTTGGATCGCGTCTTCCAGTCGCCTGGTCCATAGCGAGCCATTCGGGGTTCACTTCGACGATTCGCCGACCTCTATGTGGGCTTTTCCGCCTCAGGCGACATGAGGCATTCATATACCGTATCAGGTTTAGTGCCAGCCCTGCCTCTCATTCCCCCATAATTTTCTGGGTCGATGGGAAATGATCGAATCGCCTCAAGGGCGAGAAAGCTGGGAAAAAAATTGGCTCTTGAACCCCAGACCCCACGCGGCCCATGCGTTCGTTCCCTTTTTACTTCCTTCACTTTCTCATCTCCTGAACTTCTCCATTCATTCCCTTGTGTGCTTATTTATTTCCTTTCCCTCACCAGCCATTGTGTTTGTTGTTTTACATCCGCTCTTGATCGGTCTCTTCGGAGGAGGGGATTCCGCCGCCACCGCGTTATCCCGTTATTCGGCAATCCAGAAAGCCACCCCCATAGCCAGGAAACCTAGGCTACAGCATTTATCCCTGGTGGTTCGGCTGGTTGCTCAATTGAGGTCTCTTCGACTTGCAATCTACTCCAGCATCGGTCACCATAGGAGATGCAACTGCGAGTAGTGATTGTCGAAACAAAGGCATCAGCGACTTGGTTATGACAAACAGGAGATTTGCGAGATTCGATCTGAAGAGGGTGGCTCTGGAAATACTATGGCGCTCTACCTGACAATTGCAGACCAATTTGTGATATTCGAAATTCTGGCAAAACAACTTCTCTCGATATCGCCGCCTCATTTGCCGTGACTGTCTCAGCCGGGTCGTTTCCCTCGTCGCTCCTTCTCAGCAACCTGTCTTCCAACGCTCTTTACGAACACGACACTTCGTTTCACCATGTTGAACTCCATTACTGAGCTTCCTGAGGGTGTGGGGGCCAACCCTGAAATCCACAGTCTGGCAATTCGGATCTTGGTGGTGGTGTTTAACTCGATCGCTCTTTACAATGCCGTTGAGCTCGTGATTCTCATTTTCCTTACCTTCAATCGCTACAGCGGCCTCTACTTTTGGAGTCTTTTACTGTCGGGTGTACTTGGGGTCATTCCCCATGCTGTTGGTCACCTGCTGCAGTTCTTCCGTATTGGGCCCATTGGCCTCGCCATCTCCATTGCCACTATTGGTTTTTACTTCATGGTACCCGGCCAGTCGTTTGTGTTATACTCGCGACTTCATTTGGTGGTGCAGAATCAGAAACTTCTTCGGCGCGTACTTTATATTATCATCATTGACTCCATCGTCCTGCTGATTCCAACGACCGTTCTCAACTATCTGACCGTCTACGTCGGCACTCAGCCCGTTATCAAAGGATACAATGTTGTGGAGCGAATGCAGATTTCCTGGTTCGCAGCCCAGGAAATGTTCATTTCTGGAATCTATATCGTGGAGACCGTCAGGTTGCTTCGGCTGCGGCCGGACAAAGCATCGAGCCGAAACAAGATCATGTACGAGTTGATTGCTATCAACCTTGTAATGGTACTCTTGGACGTGGCTCTTCTGGTCTTGGAGTATCTCGGTCTCTACACGCTCCAGGTCACCCTCAAGGCGGCGGTATACAGTGTCAAGCTCAAACTCGAGTTTGGCGTACTGAGGAAGCTTGTCTCTCTCATCCATGCTCCTCAAGTCTCGAGTACCACCGACATCGATGAGTATCCCACCTTTGTCGACCCATCTCAAATCACTGGCGATGTTACACACGCGGCGCCGGTCAATCAACGAACCTCCTCACGCCGATGGGATGCAATCTCACTCGACAGCCTTGTTCGATCCGAACGGAACAGTCGACACTTTGAACATACCGAACCTCCATGACACTGCACATGATATCATCAACCTTTTGAAAATACGCACTAAATGTGTCTCAACCTTCGAAACAGGGTAGGACGGGTCCTCTTCCAGTACATCCAGATTCTGGAATATTGGTATCGACGGCAGCCTGCAATCACTTTTGTCTCAGCCAGACTGAGATTCTAAGCAGCCGCCTGCACCGGGCTGACACCATCATCGGTATGAAGCTTTGCCGTCGGTCTGGGCAATCGAGCTTGGCCATCGAGCTTGGCGTCATGTACGATTTCGGCAAGTACACACTCGTACACCTCCAGCCGTGATTCGGCATCTGTTGTGCTCTGCACTGTACTGTCTGTGAAAACACTCTGACACGATTTGGAAAGCATGTCCTTGTCACCTCATGTACATTGATTGCATCGGAGATGTATCTTACTCCTGTATATTATGACACCACCTTTGTAGACATGAGTCTAATATGAATATATGAGCCTATATTCATAATCCATGAAGATGTCATGTTGTTTCTTGCAGGTACCTACGGTAGAGCGGCGATTCATCTGTGCAACGCCACACCGGTGGCACTCATAGCCACCACATATACACACCCTGCCCGTAACCAGACAAAACCTACGACCAACCTACATCAACCATGCAGCAAGTCTACACCCACGAAGGACCCTACGAGTCAATCCCCTCGACCGCATCGCCAGGCCTCCAGTTCCTCAGACACTTCCTCCCAGCCCTGGACTCCCTCGATCCAATTACAAATCCCGTCTCCCCCTTCATCCACCCCGACGCCCGTGTCTTCGTGGGCAGCGGGCCCCCCAACAGAGGCACAGACGTAGTCGGCCTCCTAAACGTCCGCCAGCGACATATCCAGCACTTTCACCACGAGGTCCACAAGGCGTGGGATATCGCACGACCGGATACGGGGAACGGTCCCCGGACGGTGATGTTCGAGGCGACGAGCGGCACCGTCTTCCGTAATGACCCGGATGAGTTCGAGGTGCGGGTGAGGGAGTTTAACATCCTCGAGCTGCAGAGGGCAGGCTCTCAGTCCGATGGCGACGACGAGTGTAAGGGTGGGTTTGTCGCAGTCGAGATGCGGACGTACATGGATGCTCGGCCGGTGCAGGACCAGGCGGCGCGGTTGCAGCGCGAGTCGGCGTATGGGGAGGCAAAGTCGACGGGGTGATTTGGCGTTCAGTATTCCATAGCCGTTAGAACGTCGGAGAAGCTCCGTTGGGATACATGATGTCATCCATAACAAAGTTGCCGCACTGGCGAATCGATGATGTGTACTGGGTTTTAGGATGGAGTCTCTGCAGGAGAATGTAGCAGACAAGTTGAGATGCAGGCCAGCGACGCAAGTACGAGTCATTTGCTGGGTGCTGCGCCCCAAGTGACTCAGGGGGTGCCTGAGGCGCTAATCAGACCCCTTCTTGGCCTCAAATCTCGCTTGGGGATACTCCGTAGATTACTGACACCTCAGGCATCTATCTAGGCGTGATTCATGGCTACAAAACGACGGAGAATGTAATTGGCGGGTTCTAGGCCTAGGCAGAAGTGGCGCCTCAGGCATTCACCACAAGAGGCAGGCTTCAGAACGATCATTGGATAGCCAAGCTCGGCGGGTCGGGAATTTTCGATGAGATGGGGCTGCTAAAACTGGGATCACTCCACTCTCAACTGTCGTACGTCCTTGCAATGGGTCCAGCCAAGTTGGCAACAGAATTGAGCTCTGTGCGAAGTCCAGTCCTATGACCTTGATTTTCACGACTGTGGGTTTTCAGTAGTCCATCTGCCGCTGCGAATGTGTACTGACTAAGATATTCCGTCAGCTTGGTTCGATGGAGGGACACTGGGGCAGTTGCCCGCAATTCGCAACGCATTGAAGCCCTCTTGAAGTTTTCGGTAGCGTCGTACATCATATGTTTCTATTCGGCTCTTGTTTGTCTCGGTACGGCTATCTCACCCACCTACTTCGTTAAACCGTCGCTAACTGTTTTCTGTCATGTTCAGAGCTCCTTCCACCTGCCCCGCATTCAACTGGGCTCTGCGACTACGATTTCTCTTAACTTTTTCCACAGTGATTCGCACCCGGAATCCGCTCCATCGGCGCTTTCTGGCTGCCTTTCGAGCCAGCTACGGTGACGAGGTACAGGGGCCGACCTGGATTTACGGGGTGGACTTGAACCCGAATTCGACGTGATTGGGGTCGTGCCAACCAAACAACCCATTCGCCAAATGATGGTATAGCCACGTCGGTGGCCGCGTTTCGATTTTCCAAGCTGTCGTCCAGCATGGCGTCAGGAGCCAATGCCTCCTCTCCAACGAGGCAGAAGAATGACGAGGACCCCTCCGAAACGACGTCAGGAGCTGTAGGAGAGGAAGGCGCCGTGACTCGCGCACCGAAGTCAGGTATGGAGCGTTCCACCGGCTTCGAGAGTGAAGACCGAGTGTATCCGATCCGGTCGGTCATCTCCGTTGATCCCTCAACGGTCTCTCAGTCGCAACAGCAGGCGCAGAGTAATTTGAGCTCACCCACCACTGGAGCGCGAGAATGGTCTATTATCAATGCCGAGACCTGGGATAAGATGCAAGCGCAGACAAAAACAAGCGCTGGTGAATCTGCCGCTACTGAGCCATCTCCGCCAGCACCGGATACTGCAGGTTCATCATCGGAGCTACCCGACCAAGGCCGTTCTCACGGCCTCGGTCACGCGCCGGTTCCGGATTCCGCTCTGACCAAGACTCAGGTTCCAGAGGTCGATTCCGAGCATGGTCTTGTTACTGCCCGATTTCGTCATGTAGTGACCGATGGCGGCCATATGGTCATCACCGGAAGAGCCAATGACTCGTATCAAGCATGCGAAGACGAACCGATCCACATCCCTGGTGCGGTGCAGAGTTTTGGGTGTTTGCTTGTGCTGCGGGAGGAAATTGAAGGAAAGTTGGTGGTCCGTGTAGCCAGCGAGAATTCTGAGGTCATCCTTGGACACTCACCCAAGTGTCTCTTTGCATTACCAAACTTCTGTGACATTTTGGATGAAGAGCAGACAGATAATTTATTGGATCATCTTGATTTCGTCCGCGATGATGGATATGACCCTTCCGTCGATGGCCCCGAGGTTTTCCTTTTGTCTGTGAAGCTCCCTTCTGGTAAACCTCGGCGATTCTGGTGCGCCGCCCATCTCAGCCCAGCCGACTCAAATTCGGTTATCTGCGAGTTTGAATTGGAGGACGACCGAATCAATCCCTTGAGTGTTTCCGGTCTAACTACCCCGGTGACACCGACCGATACTCTTGGAGTCGAACCGACGCCAGAGCAACTCGAACACAGCACAGTCAATATCAGTCAACCCCTGCGAGTGCTACGAAACGCGCGTCGGAGACGAGGCGAGGCCGCTGCAATGGAAGTGTTTAGCATTTTGTCTCAGATCCAAGACCAATTGGGTCGTGCCAAGTCGTTGGATTCCTTGTTAAACACGGCCACTGGTTTGGTGAAAGAATTGACTGGTTTCCATCGTGTTCTGATCTATCAGTTCGATACCGAATGGAACGGAACTGTTGTTGCTGAACTGGTTGATCCCAAAGCGAGCGTCGACTTGTACAAAGGACTCTGCTTTCCGGCCTCTGATATTCCGAAGCAAGCGCGTGACTTGTATCGAATCAACAAAGTCCGCTTGCTGTATGATCGCGATCAGGTCACATCGCGATTGGTCTGTCGGACGCTGGAGGACTTGCAAACGCCTGTAGACATGACACATTCCTACCTGCGTGCAATGTCGCCCATCCACCTCAAATATCTGGCAAATATGGGCGTACGTGCTTCTATGTCGATCAGTATCAGTGGCTTCAACGAGCTGTGGGGTCTCATCTCATGCCACACCTACGGGACTCACGGCATGAGAGTCTCCTTTCCGGTTCGAAAAATGTGCCGGTTGATTGGCGACACTGTGTCGCGGAATATCGAACGTCTATCTTACGCATCACGGCTCCAAGCCCGCAAACTGATCAATACCGTCCCAACCGACCAAAATCCCTCGGGATACATCATCGCCACTTCGGACGATCTGCTCAAACTGTTTGACGCCGACTATGGTGCTCTCTCAATCCGTGATGAGACGAAGCTTCTGGGAAAGATGACGCACTCACAGGAAATCTTGGCTTTACTGGAATACCTCAGGATGCGACGGATGAATTCTGTGGTTGCTTCACATCACATCACTAAAGACTTTCCAGATCTCTTTTATCCTCCTGGGTTCAAACACATCTCCGGCATGCTCTATGTGCCTTTGTCGCCCGGTGGCACCGATTTCATGGTCTTCTTCCGTCGGGGACATCTTACGGAGATCAAATGGGCCGGAAACCCATATGACAAGAAATCTCAAAATGGCCATCTGGAACCGCGCAAGAGTTTTCAAACCTGGCGAGAAACAGTCCTAGATCAGTCTCGAGAATGGACCGAGTCCGATGTCGAGACGGCAGCTGTGTTATGTCTCGTTTATGGCAAGTTCATTAAAGTGTGGCGACAAAAGGAAGCCGCAATGGAGAACTCGCAATTGACGCGGCTCCTCCTCGCAAACTCGGCCCATGAATTTCGCACGCCGCTGAACGCTGTCATCAACTATCTGGAGATCGCTTTGGAAGGCTCCTTGGACCCTGAGACCCGCGACAACCTTACGAAATCCTACTCTGCATCTAAATCTCTGATCTATGTCATCAACGACCTTCTGGATCTGACCAACGCTGAAAAGGGCCAGAAACTCATCAAAGACGAAATATTTGGACTTCCAGTCACTTTCCGAGAAGCCACTGATATGTTTGAGGGAGAGGCCAAGCGTAAGAAGATTGATTACAAAGTAGTAGCGCACCCTGGACTTCCCCCAGCGGTTATTGGCGACCAGCGTCGTGTTCGCCAGGTGTTCACCAATCTCATTTCCAATGCCGTTCGGCATACAACAGCAGGCAGCGTGACCACGGAGATTTGGCGCTCTCTCGAGCAGGCGCAGCCAGGATGCGTGGTGGTCCAAATGACCGTTTTGGACACGGGATCAGGAATGTCTCAGAGCACCCTTGAGGCTTTGTTCCAAGAACTTGAGCAGGTCTCGACGGATGATGACAGTTATTGGTTTGATCCAGAAGACCAGACACACTCTCCCGACTCGTGCGGTCAGGATAAACGTGTACTCGGTTTGGGTCTGGCGTTGGTCGCTCGAATTGTTCGCAACATGCACGGCCAGTTGAGTGTTCGGTCGGAGGAGGGCAAGGGCAGCTGTTTCAAAATCTCACTTAACTTCCCAGTTCCGGACGACGTGGCATCTGGTAAACCAGAAGAGCCATCCGTGCCAGAGATCGTGGAACCAGCTGTTCCGATTCGGCCGGAAGTGGAGTTCATGCTCGTCGACAGCAAGTCCACTCGAAGCGGCGAGCGGCGGCGTAGTACTGGCAGCAATAACAGCAGGGGCAGTTACAATAGCTCTCGCAGCGGCAGAAGCAACAGGAGTGAAGCCGATCGATTGATTAGTGCCATGCAGGAATCCCCTCTGCTACAACGAACAACCAGCGAAGGATCTGAGGAGAGAGGTCCCAGACCAGTGGAACGCACTCAGGACAGCGCGCACAACAGACATGCAACGTCTACCCAATCTCTTCCAAACTTAAAGGACAGATCGATCCCGCAACAATGGCCGGTGACACAAGCTCGCGCCTTTCCGAGCATGGCACGCACGATGATGCCTCCGGTCTCCCCGCCTTTGCCTGGCCACGAACCCGTTACCGACTCTGGAGTCCCAATGACAGCGATACGAATTCCCCCAGAAGACGTGGAGCCGCCACCTTCACCCCCTGCCAAAGCTTTGCTAAGCCAACCTGGGACCTCGGCAGAGCTGCCAAGCGCGGCTGAACCATCCTCAGCACCTGCCCCCAACGCTGAACCGACTACTCTGCGCGTTCTCGTTGCCGAGGACGACCCTGTTAACAGCAAGATCGTGGAGAAACGACTGAGTAAATCGGGGCACGCTGTCATCCTCACAGGAAATGGCGAAGAATGTGCGGCTGCGTTTCGCCGTGATTCTGCAAAGGTCGACGTTGTTCTGATGGATATTCAGGTAATTAACTTCATTTCCTCAGCGACGTGTTCAAGCCATGCTAACCCGGGTTAGATGCCAATTGTCGACGGTACAGAGTCTACCAGGATGATCCGCCAGTTCGAGCAAGAATTTCAACTCCCGCTGTCTGAAAAAGCGAGCAAGAATGGCCGCGTACCCGTCTTCGCGGTCTCAGCATCGCTCCTCGAAAAAGACGCACAACTGTACATTGAAGCCGGTTTTGACGGGTGGATCATGAAACCTATCAACTTCAACCGGTTGGGTGTTCTCTTGGACGGTCTTGAGAACCACGACATCCGCAATGCAGCCACTTACCGACCCGGCCACTGGGAGTTGGGAGGCTGGTTCAAACACCATGGGGAGCTTTGAACTTTTACAACTTTTTCTCTGCCCCTATATCATCTCATCACATCACCATCGACACCTTACCTCAGCAGCTCGTTCCGACGGGTCTCATTTGTGGAATTGTCAGTTGTCGTCATCAATCATTAGCGGAGGGGTTTTTTTTTTTTTTTTTTTTTTTTTTTTTTTGGCAAGGTATCCAGGAGTTCAAGGAAGTTTTCCATCGTTATCTGTTTCGTCATTTTGATTGATTTTGCCTCACATATACCCAAGTGAAGAATATGTCCATATCATGTGTCACTGATTGGTGAATGTCATGTCATGTCATGTCGTCAGGCAATGATAGCTCTGCGTGCATTGGATGGTTTTCTTCTTCCGTAATTGTTCGTGGTGTTAATTAGCTCTCTCTCTTTATTTGGCAATGTTGAGACGGGATAGCAAAATATGCCTGTTACGAGAGGTCGCTTCCCTAGTCACCACTTGACATCCCGACCTCTAGATTATTCCCTCTTCTTCATGTAACTACCTACCATATTCGAATCATCAAGATACCACCAGCTTTCTTCAATTCCATCGCAGAATTAACTGTATCTGCGCGCAGCTCCACAAAATCTTCCCTCTCTAGCCAACGAGAGACATCCTTGGGCGTACCGACAGAGTACTCCGTGAGTACAGCTTCGTCTTATCAGTCAACGTCTTCCTCCTCTAGGTAAGGATCTACTTTTCTAATCCCGTTCCTAGCTCTAAGTTTCTATAGCTGCGTGCGTAACAGAATCATGTCTATTCACTCGACCCAAATGGATGTCGACACTGCTCCAGCTCAATCATCCCCAGTGGGACAACGTTCGACCACAGTGATATACCACGGTCCAGATGTCCAGAATCAACCAAAACAGCTTCTGTACTGACCCAGACGTGGGCTGGTACAACCAGATCAGTCACCAGCCCTGCCGTTGTTGCAGATCGTATCAGAGGTTGCATGTGTTGCGAAATCTCCTAACAAATGAGCTGGATATGCAAGTGCTTCGGACCGCATCAAACAGCAACAGTTAACTCCTAGCCCCATGCTTTAGGAGAAATGGCGCAAGATACAAAGTATGAAAGGCTAAAATCTCCCCTTAGTATTACCGAGACTCATTATCATGCGAATAAAAGCATATATAATATCAGTTTCCACTCTCCTTCAGAATTCAGCTGCTGAGGGCGTAACTGTACCAAGAGAGATGCGGAATTAGCCAAGCGCTGTCATGAGTCAGCGGATCCGTGGAAGTTGTTGCCTTACAGTATTCTTACTGTAATCTTACTTCACAGGTTGGGGCAAGGTCAGCACGATGAGCCAAGGTGCTAAGGAAAGAGGTTGCAAGAAATAGTGTGTACATAGTGACGCTGTACAATCAAAAGATACACATCTTTTTAAAGAGATCTCGAAAGACTGCTATCTGCCTCCATCTGATAATGCGAATGAACAGCGTTACTCATACAGACGCATAGCTTAGTAATACGCGTTCGATCGCCGCCGACCTGTCCATCCTCCCCCAACGTCACTTTTTTGCTTTAAGTAATCTCTTTCCTTCCCTCCTTTCGTGCTTACGAGATCATCTTTCTGCGAAGTTGCAATCAGGCTGATTTATCTGCTTGGATCTCCCGACACATCTGCTTACCTCATCAGCTTCTCTCGCCCATTCTTCCTCATCATCCAACTCCCATCTTGCGTGACGAGTGACTGTGCCGTATAGGCAGATCTGCTTCTTTTGCTCTTCTCTTGAACTAATTCGAATTGATTGCGTCCTGTGTGTTTTCGTTGGGCGCGTCTTTGTTGTCTTGTTCATAATGCAACCGGCATTAGCACCTCATCCTTCTGCTCAGGTAAGCAGCTTCTTGTCGCGGTTTGTCATCGGATCGTCTTCCCCAATTTCCCCAGATCCCAAATCCCCTCAGCTGCTGTGTCATCCGGTGGGACTTGATATCCTTCCTTCCATCGTCGTCGCCGCGATTTCCTCGGTCGCGGGTCTCTCTGACGCGATGGCGATCGGCCTCACCTGCTTCCCTCAATGGATTTTCGAGTCTTCTGCCGGTCGCATCGACAGCTCGCTTTCAACCACTTCTTCTGTTCATTCGCTGAAACCTGATGCTAATGCTGTTGACGTTGTAGGACCATGCGGATCAGGGTAAGTGACTTTCCATGTTGTACCAGTTGAGAATACAGCACAACGCGCGCGTTCCTGCGCATGCTATGCATTCCACCCGCCGACACCTTTCACACTTCGTCGCCTTACAACTGCTAACATCATATCTCTAGTGCTCCATGATCAGCTTCTAGCTGCTCAACATCAGCATCTGACGCATCCTCAGCAAGCTCGACCCCAACCTCCTGCACCGCAACCTCCGCACATGCAGCCCAATACGCCGGCTCGCGATCAGAATAACATCGATCCTGCCATTTCAGGCGCTACCATGCTGACCGGTCCACCCCAAACTCCCACCCAGCCTGATGTAACTGGCCAGGAGACCCCGAAAACCTACGGCAAACGGCCGTTATCCACCTCGAAACGCGCCGCACAGAACCGTGCTGCGCAGGTACGTGCACTCCTAAGAACTGTTCACAAGATTTTGTCTAACTTGCGCGTAGCGGGCGTTCCGTCAGCGGAAGGAAGCGCACATCCGGGAGTTGGAAGGCAAGGTGAAGGCATACGAGAACATGGGAGAAGCGATCAAAGCTCTGCAGGCGGAAAACTACCAGCTCCGGGAGTACATCATCAACCTGCAGTCTCGCTTGTTGGATTCTCAAGGCGAGGTTCCGGAGCTGCCTGGCAACATCGACCTGAGTCAACCGCGGAGTGAAATTCCTGTGCCTCCTATTCCAAACTCGGGGACGACCACCACTGCTGCCCCTCCTCCGACTGCACCCCAGCAACCCCAACCTCCTCACGCTCAAGCCCCCACATCGAATGACGATATGAACTCCTTGAACCGCATAGCTGTTGCCGGGCTTGGAATGCGCAAACCTCCTACCGAAGAGGCAAATTATCTCGGCAACAACTTTCAGGCACAGGCAAGGCGCGTCCGTCCTGATGAAGGACAAACCGAAGCTTCGGAACTGCCCAAGCAGGAACAAACACATGGCCTCCCGCTCATATCATAGGTCGTTCTCAATCTCCTCTTGTTAACATCATTCTTGTTCTCCTGCAATATCGTTGGCCCCTTCTATTGCTGGCCAAAGGCCTCCGCGTTTCTCTGCCTGAAAGCCGGTCCTGCGATGTTTTGCCTTGGTTGTCTCCGGTGTATGGCGCGATTCTAGTGGATCTATCGTATTTCTGGCCCTGTTTGAGGCGGAGTTCTGTGTTCTTGCTTTAGACTGGAACCGGAGGGGTTGGGACGTCGATATTGTCTGTATGATTTTGTGTTTCCAGCTGGTTCTATAATGCATGTGTCTCAGTGCTTTTTCATGCTCGTTGCTCCTTTTCCTATCACTGGATCCCACCTCTCCTTTACCGACATCGGCGGACAAGGTACACACTTCGGAAGTCAAGAGGCGGATCCTGCGCAAGGAAATATGGTGATTTGATGTAATTGGCTTCATCTCTTGTTCAGTTCTTCTGGCGAAGGCCCGGAAGCTTCCTGTGGTGGTACATTTATCATGTCGGGTTATTGTCTTGTGACTGCGGATGCTACCTAGATACGGAGTGTATACATGTCCCCTTTAATTGATTGTAATCATGACAAGAATGTCTTTCACTGGCCCCGCTGGACTTGATCATTGAAACCTTGCTGTTCCCTGATAGGTAGTGAACGAACTCTCACTCACTGTGTCTATGATATTCTAATACTGTTATAACGTTAGCAACAAGGCTGCAGAGCTGCTTTATCTGGTGTCCGCTCATCAGCCCCGCCCCACACTCTGTTTCCCCCTCAACTCGGCGTTTAGATCAAACAGCATTTGTTGAGCTGCCATGCCTTCAGGATCATCTCAGATTCATTTATGATCTCTCTTGCAAATGGCAGGCAAATGAGGACTTTTCTTCTGCTGGTCTGCCTTACCTAGGTTGTCACAATTCTTCACAATGGCCTCCTCCGTTACTGCATGCCAAGGTGCCTCTCCTTACCAGCCACGGAATTATCAGCTTGAGATGCTGGAGGCTAGCATGAAAGAGAATATTATTGTGGCAGTATGTTCCCTTATTCCCTACTTTAAGCTTCAGAATGGCAATGATAACGACCCTTTAGATGGATACAGGGAGTGGCAAAACGCATATGTATGTCTGTCTGTGTGGTCCTTGCCAGACTATCATTGCTCCTTCCCCTCAGTGCGGTACCGCCCCTTATTTTGACAGTCAACTGTAGAGCAGTACTACGAATCAAGGCAGAGCTGGACATTTGCCCTCCGGACAAGGTATATTCTTATTGATCCTGAGCACTGGCATTTTCCACTTCAAACTGTGCTGATCATTCCCTCTCCAGCTCGTCTGGTTCTTGGCCCCGACAGTCGCCTTGTGTATACAACAGCATGAAGTGATCGCGTCCAATTTACCAGCGGTGAGAACGCGGACACTCACTGGACTCGACAAAGTCGAATTATGGACGGAGCAGTCCATCTGGGACGCCGTTCTGAATGGTTACCGAGTCATTGTATCGACGCACGCGGTCCTTGCGGATGCCCTTAGCCACGGCTTCGTGAAAATGTCTCGGTTGGCTCTGCTCATCTTTGATGAAGGTATGTCTACATTCTGCGCTCTGCTCATGGAAAGAATTGTGTTGATAGAGAAGAACTGTAGCGCACCACTGCACGCGACGGCATGCTGCAAACAAGATCATGCGGGACTTCTATCATCCGACTTTAACGAAATCTGGCCCCGGTGCTGTCCCTCGCATTATGGGCCTAACAGCCAGCCCGGTGGTCAGATCGAATCACCAGGAGCTCTTGTCAGTACGCTAAGCTTTCACGATGTCTCTGCTTAACCTTGCTGACTTGCCATCCAGGACGGTCGAATCCAACCTTGATGCGGTATGCAGAACACCGCGCGTGCACCGACAAGAACTCGTGAAATTCACCCATAGACCGCACTTGCAGCAGATTTGGTACACGCCGACTGATCCTGCGGGGTTCAAGAGCGCAAGCCAGACTTTGGGGGCACTTTACCACGCCTGGGAAACCTTGGATATCGGGGATGACCCCTATATACAGCGGCTCAGAAAAAGTCCCCTTGACGACACAGCTCTGAAAAAAGCCCTTTTAACGGGCAAAACGTATTGTCGGGAGCAGTTGAGAAGATTCGTCGATCGAAGTCGCCATATCTTCGAGGAGCTCGGAGAATGGGCTGCCGAGTACTACATCTACGCGTCCATCAAGCAGCTCGGGGATCGCGTCCGCAACTCGTATATGAGCGGTGACTGGGACGAAGCCGAGAAAGCGTACCTAGTAGACTTTCTCTCCAAAATACCGGCTTCAGAAATCCAGCTTGCGTTGAACGATCCGGGTAGTTTTCGCATCTCCCCGAAGTTTGAATCTCTCCTCAACTTCCTGGACTCATTGGATGAGCGGGAGTTCTCGGGGCTGATCTTTGTCAAACAGAGGGCAACAGTCAGCGCAATGACTAGCCTTCTTTCAGTGCATCCTTGCACGCGCGAACGGTTCAGATGTGCTGCCTACGTTGGCTGGTCCAACGGCAGCGCCAGCAAGGACATTCTCGGCGATCTCTTGAACATGCAGTTACAGCGCGATACACTGGATGATTTCCGCAGCGGCCGCAAGAACCTCATCATAGCCACAGACGTCCTCGAAGAAGGTATTGACATCAGTGCCTGTAGCGTTGTCGTGTGCTATGACAAACCACCCAACCTCAAGTCCTTCGTCCAACGCCGTGGGCGGGCAAGGCGGAAGCAGTCGACCTTCGCAATCATGTTCCCAACAGACGATGCTTCTGCTGATGTTTCCAAGTGGCAAGATCTCGAACAGGCCATGATAGAGGCCTATCAGGATGACGAGCGACAGCTGCAAAGTGTCTCTGCATTAGAGAGTCTGGATGAGGAAGTTATGGAGCGACTTACAGTTGAGTCTACGAGGTACGATTCCTTTCACTTCCCAAGTTCCTTGAATCTTCCTAGTAACGACCTTTTATCATCAGCGCCGTCCTCACAGCTGACATGGCCATGGCACACCTGCACCACTTCTGCGCCGTATTGCCTCCTCAACCTTACGCGGACATGCGGCCCGTGTTCTCGTTCGAGACGAACGAGGACGGGCTTCTAAAGGGGACGGTAATCCTGCCCAGTTGCGTGCACCCGAAGGTCCGGCGCACTGAGGGTAGAAGGTGGTGGCGCACAGAGAGAGCAGCGATGAAAGAGACTGCCTTCCAGGCTTATAAAGCTCTGTACGAGTTTGGCCTCGTCAACGATCACCTCCTGCCGTTGACGAAAAGGCCAGAACTAAAGTCGCATGACTTGGGAGCTATGCCCTCGATATTGGAGACTTCAGAACAATATGATCCATGGATTGAATGGGCCTACTCATGGTCGTCGCCTGATATCCATCAAAGTCGGATCGTGGTGAGAATGAACGAAGGGCGAGGCGATGAGCTGTGTATGCGGTTGATGGGACCTACGTACTTGCCGCCCCTCTCGCCGATGACTCTGTTTTGGAACAATTCGACCACATTTACTGTGACCTTTGAAGCCGCAGAGCGGGTACCACTCGTGCCCTTGAGCAGTGTCGAAGACATGAGGGCGATCACAGCACTCTATCTCAAGGCGACCAACTCTCGTGTCTGCAGCTCTGAGAGAGATTTTACGGCACTGTTCGCACCCGATCTGCATCACACAGAGCTGAAGGGGTGGCTGAATGCATATGAGGGATGTGACCCGGCCATGGAAGTCTACTCGCGTGGCCACAACCCACTGCTCATGGGCGTGGTTCGGGATCATTCGCGTTACGGAGAACCATTTTTGTTCCGGAAATGGCTTGTCTCCGACCAGAACCCGTCATGTTCGGTCGTTGAGTTGGAATGTGCTCCCTTTCCACATCGACGCAATCTCCTGCATCGTCAGAGGCTGGCTAATAGCCAGGTGGATGTCGATGAAGAAACCCCCGAGTCTGCAGCCAAGAATCCCATTGTCGCTGCAGATGCGTGCACCATCGATAGGCTTCCGTTCACAATGGCTATATTCGGCCTGTTCATCTCCGCCATTGTAGAGCGATTGGAAACTGAACTGATCGCAACCAGACTCAGAGAAACGATCCTCAGAGATGTCGGTTTCAAGAGCACTGATCACATCATTACCGCAATCAGTACCCCTTTCGCTCACGCACTGACCAATTACCAGCGGTACGAGTTCCTAGGCGACTCGATCCTCAAATTCTCCGTTTCCTGCCAGTTGTTTTTTCAGCACCCGAACTGGCACGAAGGGTATCTATCCGAGGGGCGGGCCATGATCGTGCAGAATCCTCGCCTTGCCAAAGCCGCGCTGGACACCGGCCTGGACGCCTACATCGTCACCAAGAGGATTGCGTCGCGAAAATGGTCCGCTCCGTTGATTTCGGAAAAGCTGGAGCGTGTGCCGGCCAAGCGCCAGATGTCGACGAAAGTGCTGGCAGACGTGGTAGAGGCGCTGATCGGAGCCGCATACATGGACGGCGGCCACGCAACCGCACAGGCATGCATCCGCCGACTCTTGCCCGAGATTAACCTCCACGCGGTGGACACTCGAACCGCAACCCGGAGTGTGGCTCCCGAAAGCGCCCGGCATATGATGAACGAGCGACTGAAAGACCACATCGGCTACACATTCGAGGACGAGTCCCTCCTCGTCGAGGCCCTCACCCACCCCTCCTGCGACTACGACTCGACAACCCAGTCCTACCAGCGCCTCGAATACCTCGGCGACGCAGTCCTCGACATGGTCATCGTCTCCGCGATCTTCAACCACCCCATCCAACGCCCGCAAGGCGACATGACCAAGATCAAGCATGCCGTCGTAAACGCGAACCTCCTCGCCTTCCTCTGCATGGAATCCGCCACCTCCGAAGAGAAACTCGACGTCGCACAGACATCCAAGGACTCCTTCGCCGTGACTACCTCCCAGGAATCCGTCGAGCTCTGGCGCTTCATGCGCTACCGCGGTCAAAATCTCAACGCCGCCCGCGACGCCTCGCTCGCCCGCCACCGCGCCCTCCGAGACGAGATCGCGTCGTCCCTGTTGCATGCCCCGCATTACCCCTGGCACGCTCTCTCCCGGCTCAACGCGGACAAGTTCTTCTCGGATATCGTCGAGAGCGTCCTCGGCGCGATTTTCGTCGACTCAGGGGGCGACCTTGCGCCTTGTGAGGTCTTCGTCGAGCGGATCGGGCTGATGGCCTACCTGCGTCGGATACTGGACCAGGAGATTGACGTTAGGCATCCGAGGAGCGTGGCGCAGCAGTTGGCTAAGACAAATATCCAGTTTGTGTTGCAGCGGGTTCCGAACGAGGAGGGAGGTGCGAGCTATCAGTGCTCGGTTCGGATTGAGCAGGCGGAGCTGTTTGTTGTGACGGGGTGCTTGACGGCTGAAGAGGCGGAGGTGACCGCTGCGGTTGAGGCGATTAAGTTCCTGACACGGGATGAGGGTTCTACACCATTGAACACGAGCTGAAAGTCCCAGTCCTTCCGAGATTTTGCGGAGATTCTGACATGTATGCACCATATGAGTGAATGCCATTTGATGATGTGACGCCCAAAGAATACCCTATGCTATAGTGACCGTAGGTATAAATATAGCTGGAAAATACATATCACCCGCTCATCCTTTCCTGGTCCCCTTCCGCCGTCCGCGGCCTGACTTGCCGCTACCACTGGCCTCCGGACTCTCCTTCTCTTGTGACTGCTGATCAGCTTCATTCTGAGACTCCTCCCCTGAACTCCGTGCTTCAACCTGCTCATCCTCGCTCGTTGCGACCATAACCGCCTCATCCGTTGCGTCACCTGCCGAGTGCGAATCCGAGTCCGGCTTCGCGACCGATTCCCACGCTCCGTCCGCAGATCGGGCCTGATTTCGCATCCCCGCGAGCATCTTCTTCGCCTCGCTCTCTTCCCCATTCCATGCCCCGCAGCTTCCACACCGCCAGCGGCCGAGCTCTTCCAGCGTCTTGACGCCCGGCGGGGCTTGCCCGTTGACGAGTCGGCAGGTGGCGCATATCAACGCCATCCGGTTCTTTGGTTGTGTCTCGTCCTCGCCGAGTAGGACGTCTAGCAACCGGTCATACCAGTGAGAGTGCTCGACATATTGCGGAGCGCTTGGAAACGCGTTGGGCGCAAAGCCGGGCTCGTCAAGTGCAGGCGGGACTGGTGGATGGAGGTTCTGCGGTTGTGGCTGTTCTTGAATCGGGTACGGTGGCGGAGACTGAGGCTGGCCGGGAGAAGACACTGGCGATTGAGCCGGAGTTGGTCTTCGAATGTTGGCGGTCGGTGGGGGAGGAAGCCCGGTTCTCATGACGGGTTGTTGCGGGGTAGAAGGCTGCTTGCGTTTGGTGTCCGTCTTGCGTTTCTCGTCGCCGCCCTTGGGACGCGAGGGCTTGGGTGACTCTCCGCCATACTTTTCCAGCAGCTGTTGAGTCGAGTTATATTTCGTTGCGACCTTGAGCTTCTCGATTGTCTCGTCCCGCTGTTTCTGTAGATCATCGAGGTATCGCTGGGTCTTGTTGATGCGGTAGTCGAAGAACTTGCTAGCTACGGCTCGGACAGCGTAGATCCTGCTCAAGTCAGACGTCATACAAGGACTCGAGGTTATCGTGGGACATTTTCGTACAGGACTGGACCCCCAATGATGGCGGCATATTCCGTCACGCCCCAATTCTGCCAGCCGAGAACGAGAGCTAGGATAATCGAGTAAAGGAGGTATGCGAAAGTTGTGTAAAGAGTCCAGAGAGCCTTGAATCGACGGGCATGCTGGCGGTGAAGGTCGAGTCGGCTCGTTGTCTGTGTTATCTTTGTGGAGAGGGCTGAGAGGGCTTTTTCGAAGGATGCTGGAGAATTGTCTTCGCCCTGCAATCGTGCAATAGACGTCAGTACTCTGTCACGCGCATTCGAGGAGACACGGGTAGCTTACCTTCCACGGCCACAGGGACACCATGGCTGGCGGTTCCTGAATCGAAAGGAAGGAGCAGTATGGATACTAATCGCAGGACACTACCGCAAATACATTCTGCGGCAGATAGAGGGAGGAGACCTCGAATTCCAAGGTAGAGGGTGATAGATGAGGAAGAAGGTCTGGGTGTGTTTAGAGTGGAGGCATGACAGGCTGCAATGACGATAATGAGGAAGTTGATCAGCAGCTTCAGCACGGACCACCCCCTCGATCTCCTGTCCATTCCTCCCAACTGTCAACACTGCCAACTATTCTGAGCTGAGTGTGATACTACGATCTGTCTCCTGAGCCAGACTATTTATGCGCAGTGTATAGTTTGTCAATCTGTCTCTAAGTTTGAGGTTAACGCTTGAGCCAGACTAGTTTCACATGAGGAGTCTGTGTGGACCGTATATATATATATCCCAGCATCATCCTGCTCATGTCGAGAGAGACCACATCTCGGGATCGAGCGACTACAGGTACACTGTATCGTGAAATTGAAGAGACATTTCAAATAAAGACCAATGTCTTTTGTTCCTATTCAGTCTTTTGAGCACCCCACTAGCTAAAGTATCTCTGATAACGTACCTGGTGTAAATCTTGTTGTTCCGGAGCATACGAGACGAGCGCAACATGAAACGTCCAAACTCGAAACGTTTCCTAGTACTACAGTGGCATGAGATTATTTTGACCTACAAGAGTAAGCTCATCTTAGCTTCGTCAGTCTATAGTTATACACAAGTTACTAGACTCCAGCACCACGGTGAGGTGTGAGCTTGTCGCTGGAGGCCTGAGGCCATCGAAGACGACCAGACACCTACCTGAGCAGAATTTTGGTTCATCGTAGTGGATGTCGAGCTGAGAGAAAGCCTTGTAATCTGACTCTTGCAGTGAAAAGTCGATCGTCATCGTCAGATGGCTCTGCCAGCCATTTGTCTATAACTTCTTTGTTATAGGTCTCCGACTCGTTGTCATCATCTTCTGGGTCTGGGTCCTCTGCGGCCGCAGATATGGCCATGATGTGGCTCGACTCCCACGCATACCCTCAACAACACGGTGTAAGTGGGCTCCCAGAAACTGGTTGCTTTCCGTCACAATCTGCATTGCAAGGAAGTTCTCATAGGTGATATTGAATTTTCCGAGTATGTCCCTGACCTCTATATATGCTGAGTAGTCCTGTTCATCTGCATTATTATCCGTGCCTACGCGCGCACTGCGGAGGCGGTTTAGCTGGGCATAGAAAGAATTAATCCGACGCAAGCCTCGGCACACCCGCAGCGCATTACCAAAAACACCAGAGAAAAAATGAAAAATGTGATTATTGGAATTGTATCCACACTCTCACATTTACAGGACAACTCAGTTCTCAAAGATACCAGTCATTTTCTTTAATGGCATGTTGCATGACGGCATTTCAGGCTTGATCAAAGACCAGCGCCACTTAAGACTTCATCAATCCCTCTCCTTCCAAGGAGTCCTTTTCATGTTCGGACACGCTTCATGCGACTGGGCTTCTGATCCGAGACCTTTCTGACTATCCTCATTGATTCCGTGGTCAACGTTTAAGTCTTCCAACCGAACTCATCAAAGATCTGCTCCCGCAGGAGCCCTCTTGATCTAACTAATTCCCGTCGAATCTCACCTTCGACCGGCTAATAAGACGTAACACTATCTGATAACCTCATTAGGTGGAAACTGGGAGTGTCACCTCTTCCGAGAGCTTGACATCGCTGTGTCCCACAAGGCCACAGTCTGGTTAGTACTTGGCATGTACTGGTCAAACAGTGCATATTGGATGGTGGGCCCATCTCTGGTTGACATGTTTGCGTTCCAGTAGCCCATCTTCTGTCTGGAGCTCCGCTATAATCTCTTCCCTGGTGTATCACCTATATATATACACCACCATGCTTATTTCCCGTATCTATGTATTATGCCTGGATCTGACACATCTTTACTTCACTGACAGAGTTGTGATTGAACTAACTGCGGCTCAGCTGCCCTGCACTACTACTACTCTCTGAAGCTTGATGTCTGAATCCCCATGATAGAAAGAGCACATCCTCATCAGTCCAATCAGTTTTCAACATTATCGCATTAACAATAATAGAATAGTTTGCTCATGGAGGCACATTACTTACACTATAGTTATAGTCCTAATTAGAAATAGGCTGTTAGTAGTCCACAATAAAATTACAGCACAAAGCCAGCACACATTTAGGAAAGCAGCAAAGATACTAAAGAGCAAGAGAACACAGGGTTTTTTTCATAAATAAATCAATACCCCCCAGTTTTATCCTCAAAAGGCCACGCCTCACTCCATAACAGCCGCTCCTCCGGAGTTATCAATTCTCAATCTAAGAACCTTTCTTTCACAATCTCAAGTCTCCTAACAACCTCATTATAGTCACCAGGAGATACAGCTCCATTCCAGCCTGTATACACCCCTATTTCATCAATCACTCATGCTTTCCTCTCAATGTCCCTCTCCCATTTGGCATACTCCTCACTCTGTTTATCTAAATCAGATTTTATGTAGTTCAGAGGACATAGTACTATTAGATTGCCATGATCATCTTCCCCAACCAGTTATTTCCATGCATCATCCCTTAAGATATCAGCAAGAAGCTTCTGGACATGTGGCTCCCCATCATCAAATATCAATCTAATAAGACTTAGTATCTCAGACACCAATATCTCCCGGTATTCAAATGCACAAAGCAAATCTAGGGCTTCTTTATAGACTTATGACTCATAGTAAAGCCAGAGTGTCTATATAAGAAATAGCTCCTTAGCAGTATTTTTGTCTTCTGCATTAAGTTCTTCAATATTCTCTGGAAGACTAGGTTAAATAAAGCATTATAGCTTTGGACCGTTATACTCTATAAGAGATAGATGGTGGGCGACAAGAAACATCAGGTAAATAGGAACTGCTTGCCAGTCTATGATACTGGTTATTTTAGTAGGATTATGTTTGTCAACAAAGATATTATCTATGTGTAGGTCATTATGCCAGATTATGCCCATATTAAGTGCATCACCTTTTGGTAGGATATGTTGATAGATTTTCAGAAAATCTTATAAAACAGAGACTTTTGCTGCTTTTATTGGATGGTAGCCACCAGGCCCATTAAAAATACCCTGTTAGCAATCTTAGGGAAATTCTGGAAATTTTTTTAGACAGGCTAGTTCCCACTGAACTAAAGCATCTATAGTGCTCTTCATACTTAACCCTGGTAGGAGATGCAATCAGCCTAATAAGTATATAGTTACAGAGCTAGAACAGCTTACAGGGTCCTCTGTCCACATCAACTTCCCCTCTTCTATCATCAAACTAAGCTCACCCTGTTGTGGGTCCGATTGCAAAGGTCTAGTTAATTTTAATACTCTCAGATTCTGAAACGTCTTAACAGCAGTATAATGAACCATAAAATGGGAACTTTGCCTGAGAGAGTGTGCAACTAATAGAACCAATCTGTTTCACAATAGATAATTTATCATAAGGCTTGAGGTTCTCCCATAAGCAGCTAAGCTTAATATCTTGCGCCTTCTCCATGACAATATACTCTAAACCTAGCTTACTCTCAGTACTCCGGGAACAGTAGGTGAGAACTCTGGGAATAGGTAGTTAAAGATTCTCCCTTGCCTTAAAGAAGTCAGTCTAACTAAGATACTTTGGTCAGAAATTGCAGGATTTCACACATATTGTATTGTTGCCACTTCCGATGCAGTTGTATAGTGGGTAGGGCCAGCATTAGGATTCAGGATCTTAACAACTAGCTCAAACCCATCTTTCATGGTAATAAGAAAAGCCTTATTAAAGTTTCCCTCTAGTAGCTTTAAGACATTAATGCAAACTATATTATCTCCAGCGGCTTCCTGAGCAACTTGAATTAAGGCATTCAAATTAAATAAAATGTATCTACTTTGCAGCTACTTTATTTCATTCCAGATCCATCACTAAGCTAAGTATGTGTAAAGGTCCTCCAGATCACAGTCTGAAACTTTGTGAGCTTGGAAAGGATATTATCATGAAGACACAATACTGAAAATCTTCATTTCAGAGATTTGGCCTCTCCTGCCTATGTGTGAGAGCACCTATAAGATGCTCTCTATCGAGTGGTAGATAGCGTGGTAGTAGCAATGCCTTCGTAGTTGAACTAATCGCTGAGGTGCGAGCATCTCTCGCACCTCAGCGGAGATGATATCTCCGTGGGTCACGTGCTATCCACGTGACCACCCACAGTTCGCTACATACATGTTCTTTGTGTCTAACACTATGATAGACAGTGGCTAAGACAGTATTACATGTAATCTTGAGTACTTAATAATAGATAGAAAAGATAATTTCTTTGTGATTATTGATGGCATTTCATACAGGATTTCTTAACAGGACGGAAGTTTGCCTTCACAGTTTTCAAGGATTCCTCACTATCTTGAATATTCTTGCTTAAAATTATCACATGATATCTTGTGCACCAGTTAATCCGACACTACACAGCCATTTAGATATAAGCTAAGCAGGCTCTGAGAGGCAACACTTCATGGTCATTAATTAGGTTCAAGATAGTATGCGCTGCGTTGGCACAACTTAAGGTTTATCCTAGTGTGAATTGAAGGTTAGGGTAGTGCGCTGAACCTGGCACTTAGAATTAACAAGTGGACTCTTTATATTTCGCGCAGAGACATCAAATATAGAAATCGCACCTTAGGTACTACAGAGATCATCTAGATTAGCCGCCTGGCAAGCGGCTGCATTTGGTACTTTTTTTTAGCTGGTAATATATTTAAGGATGCTATCATCATGTACAATACTCAATAGAAAGCTCTTCCATATCTTCCCCAACAGCTGAAATCTTTCTATCTTCATCTTCTTATTGAGTTAATTGTACTAAAAGTATATTTGTCCCTATAAGTCAATCTACAGAAAGCTATAAGCATAAACTTATATAACATAGTGACACAATGATGACTATAATTAAGAGGGCCCTTCAGAGCTTGTTTGC